AACATGCCAATGTTCATTGTTCTCTACGCTGAGCAGACTGAAGACTTACGTCCTGTTTGTAAATTATTACAGTGTTACTGGCTCCAACAGTGGTATATTTCCATGCATTATAACCTTGGAAATACAACGAGATTACTTACCAACAACAAAATGTGCTGTAAAAACTAGATAAGGGACCTGAGAGCAGGTATTTAGTGCAGATAATTTACCTTGTGGCATTGATTGTGTGGTCCAAATGTTGCTCATTGATTCATCTTGCAATAAACCAACCGTTCACCATTGTTTATCGCCTATTGACGAAACTTGTGCAGTGCCTAAGGCAGAAATCCTCGCTAGAATTTACAGTTAAACACATGACAGTGGGTAAGTTCAAACCCCCGTATTGGGATTTGTAACCACACAACCTAAGCTGACGCTCCAATGCAGAGCTGGAGGCTGTTGCATTGTCAGAGGTGCCATCCTCGGATAAGACATTAAACCAAGGTCCCGTTTGCCTGTTCAGGGTGACGTTAAAGATTCCTTGGCACTATTCAAAAAGAGAAGGGAATTTCTCCTGGTGTCTGGCCAGCAATCCCCCAAATAAAATTGGTCACTCACTTCATGGCTGTTCGTGGGACATTGCTGTTCTGCAAAACTGCACAATAACGTCCCACAACAGCCATTCAGTGAATGGTCAATTTTGTTTAGAGGATTGTTGGCCAGGGCTCGTCTCTTTTCGAATTGTGTCATGGAATCTTTAACTGAACAGACCTTAGTGTTATGTCTCATTCAAAGGACAGCACCTCGAACAATGTAGCATACCCCCAGCACTATACTGGAGTCTCAGCCTAGACAATATGAGTTCAAAGTCCAAGAATGGGGCTTGAACCCACAACCTTCTGATTTAGAGATGAGTGCTACAAACTGAGCCAGACTGGCACACCGGATACAGGTAAAATAGTTAGGAGCAGGACATTTTATATTTTATCTTGAAATATAAAAAGTGTTCACATTCAGGAAAATGATCCAAGGGACAATGAGAATCAAGAGATGAAACCATCATATCATATGTTTTGCAGCAATAACAAAATACACACAATATATTCTGTAAATTACTATGAGACGTCTTGAAGACACGATACGATGTTACATCAAATGCAAGGATTATTATTAAATACCAAAATGGACTCAATTACACGATGAACAGAGGACAAAGTGAAATAGGTCAGATCCAGATTAGAATACTAAATGGATGTTTTATCACTTAATCTTAGGAAGGATATTATTGTTCTTGAGAAGTGCCATAAAAATAATACCAGGTCTGAAAATCTAAGTTATGTGGAAAGGTAAAGAAAGGTGTCTTGTTCTGATGGGATTGATTCTTTCATTTCTACACATTGATCCGGACACACTGTTCAAATATTTGGAAGCTTTGGAACTGCGGAGGACACAAGTTAAACATTAAAGAATTAGGAATAAGAAGGGTAGTCAGGCATGACGTTTTAGACAAAAGCTAATTGACCTGTGGAATAATATCTTACAGGAAATGTCAGGGAAGCAGTCAGTACAAACGGCTTCAACAATTAATTAGGGTGTTTCTCGAAATCAAAGGAATTCAGAAACATTATAAGCAAGTTAGTAGCTGTTGCCAGACATTTTGTGGGTAACTATTATCCACTCCCTGTACTGTTTACGTTTATGTTTACTTTAACATAAAATATAAACTGCAAGATTCAGCAACAGCAATTGGTGCCCAGGAATAAAACATCATGTGAAAATTGTGAATTTTGTTTCTATTTCCCTCCTTTTTTCCCAAGGTCTTGGAACAAGTTGTTGCTTCCCAGATTTGCTCCTTCCTCTACCCCCAGTCCCTGTAAGAACCTTTCCAATCTGGCTTTCGTCCTGTTACAGTATGGAGCCATTCTTTTGTCCATTTGTGACCAGGGCTCTCTCTGCCTCCTCGTCCTTCTGGATCTCTCTGCCACCTTCGACACTGTTGAACTCTGTATCCTACTCTACTGACTCTCCTCTCAGCTCCACCTTCATGGTTCTGTTCTTTTCTGTTTCACTCTAACCTTTCCCATCGTCTTCACTTTGTATCCACAAATGGCTTCTCCTCCAGCTCCCGCTCTATCTCGTGAGGAGTTCCTCAGGGCTCTGTCCTCAGTCCCCTCCTCTTCAATATCTATATGCTCCATCTTGGTGACATCATCCACAGACATGGGGTCAACTTCCACATGTATGCGGATGACATCCAACTCTAACTCTCTGCCTCCACTCTCGCCTCCAGGACTCATTGCTGTCCTGACAGAATGTCTGTCAGACATCAAGTCCTGGATGAGAGATAACTTTCTACAGTTGAATGTCAACAAAACCAAGGCTCTCCTGATTGGCGCCTCCTCACCTCAGACGCTGACAGCATCACCATCCATGGTTGCACACTCCACCTCACTGAGCCAGTCCGGAACCCTGGGGTCTTGTTTGACTCTCAACTATCCTTTTTACCCAAATCCAAGCCATGACCCGCTCTGTCTTCCCCCACGTCTGCAACATCGCCCGCCACTGTCTCATCCCTCAGGCTGCCGAAACCCTCATCCACACATTCATTATGTCCAAGCTCGACTATGCTAACTCCCTGCTGGTCTTCCCAACTCTTCCCTCCACAGGTTACTGTTTATTCAGAACTCTGAAGGTCGTGTCCTCTTCCGCACCAGGCTCCATTAATTGTTGTTGTAGTTGTGTTGTCTCCTGTTAAGGCCCTACTGCAGTACTCAACATCTCTGATCCAAGAAGCAAAATGACCATTGATTTGGAGGTATTGGTAACGCTGCAAGTCACTGCTCTGTGACAGTACAACTTGGAGGAACCTTCCCAATTTCTTCATCAACCTGTCCCTCCTCTGATGGCCCAGCAGAGACTAGCCATTCTGTGAGGGCAATGCTGAGTGTAAACTTGCATCCATCACCATGTGGTACCTTTGTTTTTCTTGTCCAATACGTCTTCATTTCTTATCAGGTTGTGTACCTATAAGGTGTGTACAGTACAGCTTCGTTAAGGTCTCACATTGCTTTCTTCCGTGACATATTACGTCAGTAATCATTGAAAAAGATTAGCAGCTTATTAACAATAATTCTTGTTGGAACTTCAACTCAATCTGTTGAAATGCTGAGGTACATTGGTGCAGATCCAGATTTAATGGCATCTGATCTAAACGCTTATCTAAAGGCTGAGGTTGTGATATCTTCTCAGAGCCATGGAGTCCTATAGCTCAGTGGTTAGAGTGCTTGCCTCACAAGTGAGAGGACCTGGGATCGATTCCCGGGCAAGTTTCCTTGCTCCACACAGGCCTCTGTTTACTCAGTAGTAAGTTGAAATGGTTGTTAGTTGATTGGCGGATCGCTTTTCCAGGGAGTAATAATCTCTTCAAAATAATAATAATAATAATAATTTGGTGACTGAATCCACGACTGTTTGTGGGACACTGCTGTGCACAATGGGCTTCCGCGTTTCGCACATAAAATATAGTCAATTCACTTTACAGAAGCACTGTGAGACATCTCAGATGTAATAAGGTACTATATCAAATGCAATGATTATTATAATATTATTATATTATTATTCATTTTTATAGGCTTGAGGTGAATCTAACCTTTAAACAGAAGCACAGTATATAGCCTTCTTCCTCATAGCATGTATAACATTTATGGATATAGACAGAGAGATGACTTTACACAACACACATGGATGATTTTTTTTGAAGGTTCATTCTATCTCTCCCCATCTTCTCAAAATACATTTATTCAGCATTTGACCATACATAAATGCATCCAAAGGTGCTTTAAATAATAAAAAAATGCATTTGCAGTTGTTCAAAACCAAATTGATTCCATTCTTGGGGGGATCAGCCGGGTGTCTGATACAAGCGGAAAACATCACCTGCTTAAGAGAATCCAAACCAAGCTGAGAATTCTGTGCATCCCACCTACACATAGAAATCCCAGAGATAGATTATTGGACTGGAATGCTCACTCTCTCTCTCTCTGGAGGGACACATCCTGATTACCTGTGTACAATTGGCTGCCACTTTTCGCCCACAAAATATATAGTCAATTCACTTTACAGTATATTCTGTGAAGTGCTTTGAAACAACAACAACAAAATTACATTTGTATACCTCCGTTCACACTGGGAGGACATCCCAAGATGCTGGACAATCAATGTCTCGGACCTGAGCTGGTGATTGAGATCGGGGAGGGTGGAGGGCAGGGGAGGATGTCTCGAAGACGTATTGAAGACGTGATAAGGCACTATAACAAATGCAAGGAATATATACCAAATTCTGGAAAGTATAAGGCACAGGTTGGCAAGATCCAAGGTTTTGGGGGAGCCCAGAGTGTGCATTGGTGTAACTGATGGAGTCTAACCAGCTAAACCCACACAGTTTGCCATTGATATCACTGTCTAGTAAGGTTTCCCGCTGCTTGTCTAGCTGCTTTTTGCTTGTAGGGTTGATTCCATTTGTGAAAGAACTTGAGTAATTCACAACTGATTTAATTCCTCACGAGTTAAACACAGTTTACTTGTATTCAACAGTTTCACCTGAAGTTATCTGTCATAAAGGAGATGGCTGAAAATAGAAGCAGTAATGTGCACTGTATCTCTATTCTTATCAGTAAAGTACTAAACATTCTGTATCTATAACTAAAATATGCTGATTCATCCGTTCCATCTGTCTGCTTCGTTCTTAATTTTGCCTCGTTCTCTCAGGCTCCTGACTAGCCGAGGTGATCATTGTTTCTTGTGTTTCTGTGACCTCCCTGTGAAGGGCTGGGGTTGGTGATAGATGATAAGGTGCTGTATGACACCCCAGTCCATTCTCCTTGAACATCCAGGTGCTGCCTGTCCCAAACCCTCTCACCTCTCTTTGTGACAAAGTTCAAGGACATTTTTTTGTGAAAGGTGGTTGTAGTTAATTATTACAAACTTCGGGGAAACATTTTTAAAGAATAAATGCGATAAAGAGATCAGCTAATTTCACTTGAAGCCACTGCAAGGTCACCAGTGCCCGAGTGTACATGTCCTGTGGGATTCACCTTTCCCTCCACACGCTGGGAATCCATCAGGTAAATCTCTCCCTGTTCTTCCTGTTCTATGAGTGTGTTTTAGGAATTTGTGCTGTGAGATTTGTAATATTTTGTGATAGATGTCAAACATATAAATCCATGACAAATTATTTGATTATTCTACTATATATACTGTACTAGATACTAGATTATACTGTATACACGATATTATATATACTACAAACTATACTATACTATATACAGTATACTAGACCATACACTGTACATTCTACACTACACTGTACACTGTAGACGATATACACTATACTACAAACTAGACGTATACTATACACTTGACTAAGTCAGACCAAACAAGAACGCCTCATGTTTAGGGCATGTGTGCAATTAGCTGATCTCAGTCACAGTGACTGTAGGTGGCAATTGACCTCAGTTAATGTTGAGGGGTGAGCAAGGGAAGGAGGGTAAGAATTGGGCAGGAATCATGATCCATGCCCAACCTTACTCCACACGCCTAATAATAATCCCTCCAAAAAACCAAAAACAATAATTAAATTGGTCATTTTCAATCTACGACTGTTTGTGGGACATTGCTGTGCGCAATTGGCTGCCGCGTTCGCCCACAAATATACAGTCAATTCACTTTACAGTGTGTTCTGTGAAGCGCTTTGGGACGTCCTCCCGACGTGAAAAGCGCTATATCAAATGCAAGGATTATTATTATTATTATTAACCACTACTGCTGGACAAGTGTGCGTGTGTGCTTGCATGTGTCTCCTATGACTGTTTGTGGGACGCTGCTGTGTGCAATTGGCTGCCGTGTTTCGCCCACAAAATATACAGTCACGGCACTTTACAGTATATCCTGTGAAGCGCTTTGATATGTCTCGAAAACGTGATAAGATGCATTATCAAAGGGTTATACAAGGATTGTTATTATTATTCAGGTGTTGCAATACCTATTTCTGTGAGACGTTGTGAATTTAAAGTACGAACTGTGATACAGACTTCACTTTAAAAATTGTGGTTGATCTAAAATGTCAAATGAATGTAGGACCCATATAGAATCATAGAATCATAGAATCACAGAACCATAGAATTGTACAGCACAAAAAGAGGCCATTCGGCCCATCAAGTCTGTGCGGCTCTTTGAGAAGAGCAATGTAATGTCCCCAGCCCTTTCCCCATAACCCGCAAACCCGTCCTCCTCAAATACCCGTCCACCGCGTTTTTAAAAGTAGTTATCGAATCGGCCTCGACCGCCCTTTCAGGCAATGTTCCAAATTCGAACAACTCGCTGCGTGAAGCAATGTCTTCTCACCTCTCCCCTCGGCTTCTTTTAGAGACTATTTTGAATCTGTGACCTCAAGTCATCGATACACCCACCAGTGGAAACAGTTTTTCCCTTCCTAACCTATCAAATACCCTCATGATTTTGAAGACCTCTATTAGGTCTCCTCGTAACCTTCTCTGCTCTTTGAGATGTCTCAAAGCGCTTCACAGGATATACTGTAAAGTGAATTGACTAATTTGTGGGCAAAATGCAATCCATACTTGCTCCCTCCCTCCTGTCTTTCACAACAGGTCTCAAACCCTATCTCTGTGAACAGCTTTTGGTCATCTTCCCCCTGCCCACTCCCCTCGGCTCCCTCCCCCAGCTCGGGACCCACCCGGCACTGTGAAGCACTTTGAGAAGCGCTATGTAAATTGTATTGTATTTTCCAGTGGTGTAGCTGTATTTGGAGAAAGGAATTTATGTTCTAGACATGGTGATGAGCACCATGCAGGCTGCCACCCGGTACAATGTGGCTCGATCAGCTTACTCTGAAAACACCTTTAAAAGGGACAATCAGAAAATGGAGAGATATCACAAGACCCCAGTTGATCATTTTCAGGCCTATTTCAGGTAAGTGATGCAGATGACAATTGTACTAGCTTTAGTGAGATGTAAACCCAAGCCTGTCCTTCATGTAAAGGTCATTAGTTGAAGAGGATATTCAATCATAAAGATTGTTTATCAAATGTAAGATTTATTATTATTATTATTATTACTACAGTAAACCTCACATAATTAGTTGGGAAAAGACATTTAATATGACTTATGCAAAGTTTCGCCAACAAAATATACAGTCAATTCAGTATATCCTTGAAGCACTCTGAGATATCTCGAAGACTTGAAGCGCTACATCAAACACTAGGATTATTATTATATTCTTAAAGGATGAGTTATGTGAAACTTGCATAAATTACAGGAAATTTAACTGGATGCAGATGTACGACTTAGGTGATTATACGATTTACATAGTTCAAACTTATATGAGCTTTACTGTATTATTATTGTTATTACAATAGTTACTGAGATTAGAATAAGAATTTCATGAATTATTTCAAAAGAGAAATGAAAAGATACTTGAAAGAGATTATTGAAAAGATGTGTAGTGAGCAGGAGAGTAGAGTTATACTAAATGGTTCATGAGAAAATCACCAGCACAGACTTGACGACTTGAATGGCTTTTCCCAGTTACTATAATAACAACAATAATACTAATGTATAGTTACTATAATAATAATAATGTTCTGTTACTATCTATAAATTCCAGTGCTCTATTAACAATTGACATTTATATAACAGTCAAAGAGGTAGGTGTTAAGGTATGATGAATACAGGTAGAGAGAGCAAGTAGGAGGGTCTATATAAGATATATGGAGGCATATGTTCATGTACTGATATATACAGGACAGTCAATGGTAAAATGGTGGTGATGTTGACATAACCATAGAGATGATAATTAAGTCTGATTGTTATTTTTGCTAATGTAATACAATAAACTGACAACAAGTGAGTTATATAAACACAGAGAGGCTGAGGTTCTTATCTGAAACATGAAATGTTTCGACAGCACCACAAATGGTTCCCTTTTGCAGTATGGAGTTTATGAAAGAATTCAAGATAACTTTCACAGATTTTACAATTACAGTAAAACTCACATAAGTCTTATCTTTATAAATCATATAATTGTCCAAGTCGTACATTCACCCGAGTCCCACTCTGTTTCCTATCAAAACCCCTGAGATTTCTTTACAGAAGCCAATTGCACATAGCAGTGAGTGTCCCCACAAACAGTTGTGGATTAAGTGACCACATTTTTTTGTTTGAAGAGATTATTATCCCCCGAAACTGATCTGCCAATCGACTACTGATAAACAGAGGCGTGTGGAGCAAGGAAACTTGCCCAACATTTTACCCTGACCAGTAAACAAACCCAGGTCTCTCACTTGCTCTAATCACCGAGCTACAGGACTCCTCACTGTACCAGTTAATATGTATTTTGTGTTTCAGTTGTTCAGTTGTAAAGGCAAAGCGGATATTTTATACATTGTTTCCTGTGGCTTCCTGGCTGCCAACATACAACTTCAAGGACTGGCTCGTGAGTGACATAATCTCTGGCATCAGCACTGGGCTTGTGGCTGTACTACAAGGTATTGTTCTGGGGACAACCCAGCCGTCACAAGTCATTCATTTACTAAAACTAGATGTGAAAAGAAAACTTTGACCTTAACAACAGTCATTGATATTTACAGCACGATTAGGAAGCTGAATATACTGTCATATTTTATCATTTCAGTTTTAGTGGACATTACCCTGAATTGTATTAAACAGATCAGCAGTAAACCTGAGAGGGAAGTGTGTTATCTAATTAGGGTCAGGAACTAATCTGCAGAGTTTAAAGATCACCTTCTAAGGAATATAAACACAGGAGAATCAGATATTACCAATAAGCAGTAACTAACCTGTGATTGAAAGTGTTTACTTGAAAGTGTGATTAAAGTTGACACTTTTATATGTTTAGGTCACGTAAACCTGTTCCAAAGGTTTACTGTTTATAATCGTTGCATTTTATCTTATCACGATATCAAAACAACAACAAATACATTTGTACAGCACCTTTCACGTCGGGAGGACGTCCCAAGGCATTGGACAATGGCAGCATTTCAGACCCGAGTTGGGGTTGTGGGGGGAAGGGAGGGGAGGGGAAGGGACTTGAGAGAGCGAGGCAGAGTGTTTAGGGGATGGAATTCCAGAGGTTGGGGGCAGAGTGGCTGAAGGCTCTCCCACCAATGGTGGGGTGGGTGGTTTGGGGGACGTGGAGCAGCCAGAGCTGGCTGAGCGGAGGGAGCGGGCGGGTTGGTAGGGGGTTAGGATGTCGCAGAGGTGAGAACCAGGACCTTGAAACAGGATTTAATGTACATTGACAAAGGCAGCCTAGAATATGCGACATGGCACATCATTAATCCTTGACTGTCCAGCACTTTAGGATGGTTCACTTTAGGATGCCCTCCTGATGTGAAATATGCTAAATAAATGTAATTTGTTGTTGCCTTTGCAATCCTTCATTTAAAGTCAGTAATATTATATATTATTATTAATGGACTGCCTCTCACTCCTCTCACTGTTGCAGGTTTGGCATTTGCCTTGTTGGTGTCTGTACCTCCTGGCTATGGTCTCTATGCAGCCTTTTTCCCAGTGTTGACCTATTTCCTGTTTGGAACCTCGAAGCACTTATCAGTTGGTGAGCATTACCATTGCAGGATGTTCAATGTTTGTTTTTCTGAAGCTGCTCATGTATTAAACAGGATGAATGTTTCTCTGGCAATAGGTCCCTTCCCTGTGGTGAGCCTGATGGTGGGCACCGTGGTGGACAGATTGGTCGTTGATGGTGTTGCTGGTGGCAATAGCACCATCTTCCCCGAGGGAATGAGCGACGAGGACAGAAAAGTGTGGGTTGCCACGTCTGTCACCTACCTGGCTGGCATTTTCCAGGTCAGTACAGTGTACATTGTACTATCAATGTTTAATAATAATAATGTGGTCACTCAATCCAGGTCTGTGCGTGGGACACTGCTGTGTGAAATTGGCTGTCGCGTTTCACCCACAAACTGCAGTCAATTCATTTTCCAGTATATTCTAAATGTTTAGCTAAGTGAAGACTGTTTCTCTCCTCACCTCTAGCTGGGCCTCGGCTTGCTGCAGTTTGGATTTATTGTCGTCTATCTGTCAGAGCCTCTGATTTCTGGCTTCACCACAGCAGCAGCCATCCACGTCTTGGTGTCTCAGCTTAAGTTTGTGTTGGGAATCAGAGTTCCCAGTTTCATGGGGAAATTGTCCGTTATGTATGTAAGTACAAGATGCTAATTATTTCCAATGTGTTTACTGTCATTATAATTCTCATCCCTGTTAGTAGCAGTTTATCATTCAATATATTGTTAATATTCAGGGCTTAAAGAAAATTCAGGTCTTTAACATTCACTTTGGGGCCTCTCTGCCTCCATCTGGAACTCCATCCCACAGTCCCTTCACCTCGCTCCCTCACTCCTTCAAGGCACGTCTCAAGACTCTCCTCTTCAACTGGGCCTTCAGCCACTCTACTTCCCCTCCACTCCCTGTCCTCCATAATAATAATAATAATCTTTGCATTTGATATAGCGCTTTACAGAAGATGCTGTAAAGTGAATTGACTGAATTGTGGGCGAAATGCGGCAGCCAATTGCGCTCAGCAGCATCCCCACAAACAGTTGTGGATTGAGAATGACCAATTTGTTATTGGTTTGTTTTGGAGGGATAATTATTAGGTGTGTGGAGTAAGAAAACTTGCCCATCCCTCCTGATCCCAACCCACAGCTCAGGGCCAAATCCCTGACTGTCCAGTGCCTTGGAGTCCTGTAGCTCAGTGGTTAGAGCACTCGCTTTGCAAGTGAGAGACCTGAGTTCAATTCCAGGCAGAGGGTGAAACCTTGGGCAAGTTTCCTTACTCCACACAGAGCCTAATAATAATCCCTCCAAAAAACAAAACAATAATAAATTGGTCATTTTCAATCTACGACTGTTTGTGGGACATTGCTGTGCGCAATTGGCTGCCGCGTTCGCCCACAAATATACAGTCAATTCACTTTACAGTGTGTTCTGTGAAGCGCTTTGGGACGTCCTCCCGACGTGAAAAGCGCTATATCAAATGCAAGGATTATTATTATTATTATTATTGGGACATCCTCCTGATGTGAAAGGCTCGGTGTATGTGACATTTGTTGTTGTTGTTGGATGATTGGAAGTATGTTAGTAGCTCCCTAGTGATGGGGTTGAATCTATTTCAGGCTGTTGGCATGAGGATCTGTCATGTACTGAGACACACTATGTAAATAAGATTTGGAAAGTATTAACTCAGTTCTAATTGGTTTTCAATTCACATTTTGCTTTATTTTAGACCCTGGAATATATCTTCAACAATATCCCTGAAACTAACATCACTGACCTTGTTACCTCAATCATTGTCATTCTTATTGTATTTATTGTGAAAGAGATCAATGATCGATACAAGTCCAAGCTCCCTGTACCAATACCCATTGAAGTTATAATGGTAAGTAAAGTCAATATTAAATCTGGCTTTCACATAAAGATGTGGCACTAATATCTCTGCAGTTTGCTAGCTCACAATGCTATTGGCTTAATATAAGCAGTTTGTTTAAAATGACATTGAAAACATTTAACTTATTTAACTGAAATCAATGGTAATTATTAGTTACTCTCTTTTAACTTCTCATCAGATTTATTTCTGGGACATTCTGGGGCTTCTGATTTTCAGGGGTTGTTTGTAGCCAGTTTTAAGCAATTTTAGAGTGCTTATAAATGAGGGTTTGGTTAATTTACTGAGAACAACAACAATTACAGTTGTATTGCACCTTTCACATGGGAGGATGTCCCAACATGACAGACCTGTGGGTGCAGTGCCTCTCTCCTCTCACACACTCCGCCTCTCTCCCCTTGTGTGTGCAGACATCTGGGGAAGGAGACACAGCACATGTGTAAGTGCTCCTCTGTGTGTACACATTGTCTCACGTTAAAGCACTCTGGGACGCTGCCGTGTGTGAGGGGTGCTATATAAATGCAGGTTGTTGTTGCTGTTGTCTCCCTCACCACATGTACCTGCGCACAGGGAGCTGAGGGAGAGGTGGAGAGCCATGTATGTGCACATGGCAAGAGAATGAGTGAGTGAGAGAGAGTGAGAGAGACACACAGAGAGAGAGACAGACAGAGAGAGAGAGAGTGACAGAGTGAGTGAGAGAGAGTGACAGAGTGTGTGAGAGAGAGAGAGACTTCAGCTCAGAGGCACGTCAGGACAACGATTCCCATAGTTTCCTGGTGTTTTTTGGATACACACAGATTTTGTTTTGTATGGGAGGGTGATTTATCAGGTTTTTCGGTTAAAACCCAAATCAGAAGCCCTAAATATAACTTACCGCATGTTTAAGAATGATTCCTCGAGGGTACATATGTCCCAAGGTTTCGCTGTGAAAAATCAATCATTGGTGAACATAGAAGGTTAACACAGGACAAGTGCGATTTTGTACTTACACATTTATCATTAAATCACAGACTGTCATAGCAACCGGAGTCTCATATGCATTCAGTTTTGAGGAGAGATATCAAGTGGACATTGTGGGAAACATAACCAGTGGGTAAGCACATCATTAACTTAATCTCCAATTTAATTCTGAACCAAGTTTTTGTTCGGAAAACAAAAACAGTAGTGGCTGGGAACACTCAGCAGGTCAGGCACCTCCTTCTATGGAGAAAGAAAAGTGAGTCAAAGTTTCGGGTCCACAACCTTTCAGGAGAGAAAGGGTCATGGACACTTCAAGGATCGTGGACCCGAAACGTTGACTCACTTTCCTTTCTCCATAGATGTTGCCTGACCTGCTGAGTGTTCCCAGCCACTTCTGTTTTGTTTTGAGATTTTCAGCATCTGCAGTATTTTGCGTTTTGTTCAGAAAATGTGGACAAACATGGAATCTCATAATGATTTACCTGAGAAAAAACAATGAATAATCTGGTTATTCTTCAGATTTCAGACTCCGCTGACCCCAAACGCAGCTGTCCTGGAGGACAGTATTATAGATGCTTTCTCCATCGCAATTGTTGGCTTTACTGTAGCTTTCTCTGTGGCCAAAGTGTATTCTATCAAACATGACTATACCATAAATGGTAACCAGGTAAGAACAGCAAATCATCAGTTATACACCCAATCATACATTGATTTTAATACATCCTCATCTTATTAAACTTTACAGAGGTTTTGCAGAATGATTAATTGCTTATGCCTTGGACCAGTTCCAATTTTGAAATCAGGAGAAGCTTTTGTTGGAGATTTTCCTCAGTTTCTGTAGGAATTGTGACAGATGTGACACTGTCAGCTTCAGTCATCCTGAAGAAAATATGGTAAAATCTCAGGTCTTGTAGAGAACCGCTGAAAATGTTATTAAAAACTAAGAATTCTGATACATGTGTATAAATCTGTGGAGTCTTTCCTGACTCTAATCCACACAACACTACCTCTATCCAGACACCAGTGGTCAGTGTCACCTATGTATCTATTAATACTCATGCTCTTCGACATTGCTGTGTCTTGTTTCACTCTGTTCCTGGTTTAGTGGGCAATGTTTGTCACACAGTGACCTGACCTGTTAAGGTTAGTGGAGGAGCTTAATGCCTCATGTGTGCCTCGAGAACTTCCCTCCATAACAAATTCATCTTGAGGCTGATCCTTTCTCCTCTGATGATAATCTCAACCTTGGCTGATTATTCCTCTTCTCAGCTAATATTATCTCTCCTTAATCCAAGGATACTGAGGCCAATTGTAGCTTCCCACCTTGGCCTTGGCGAACTAACTAAGCAGAGGATAGGAACAGGAGAAGGCCATTCAGCCCTTCGAGCCTGTTCCACCATTCCTGTTAGATCATGGCTGATCTGTACCTCAACTCCAATTACCTGCCTTTGTCCCATATCCCTTAATGCCCTGACCTAATAAATATCTACCCACCTCAGTCATGAAATACACAGCTGTTTGGCCAATGCTGCCTTCAGCCTTTACATAACCTTTTAATGGTCCAGAGAGATGTGGAGCAGAATATGTGAATAAAGCTGCTTCACATTGCTCAACTTCTGGGAGCATTAGGTGTTCCTCCACTAGTATAAACACAGCATTCACATATTTGTTGTTAATCATTTTAACTAGAAAAGTATAAAATATGTGTATTCTTATTCTTTTCTTTCAGGAGTTAATAGCTTTCGGAATCAGTAATATATTTTGTGGAGCATTTCGAGGGTTTGCAGGCAGCACAGCTCTCTCGAGAACGGCTGTTCAGGAAAGCACTGGTGGTAAAAGCCAGGTACAGTCTCTTCAGGTTTAAATATTTTGATGTTCAGACACACATAGTCTGAACATTGTATACATGGACTGTCTTGAGGATTGCTGCTTAACCAAATCCCTGACTGTCCAGCGCCTTGGGACGTCCTCCCAGCATGAACGGCACTGTGTAAATGTAATGTGTTGTTGTCGTTAAACTCCTAAAATGCTGAGGTAACAGATTTCATGAATCTGTTACTGATTTCCCTTCAGTGGGTCCTTGTTTCTGCTGCAGTGAGTTGTTGGCTGACACAAGTGAGACACTGATTATATGGTGACAATAATAACATTCTTTGTGGCTCTGCCTGTGCTCAGGTGATATTTGAGGCCCAATTCGTAAAGGGAAGGGAGTTTAGCCAACAGTTTAGCCAGACAGATTGATCATTCACCTCAGGGTGGTGGGTGGGAGGGACCTTACTGATAATTGCCTAAACAGCCAATGCTACATTTGGCAGCAATTACTCATGAAGTATTTCACCACATTTCAACGTGATAAGGCACTATCCAAATAAAAATAGTTTCTTAATCTGGTATTGAGGTCACTTTCAGAGTAGATAAAGTAAGACATTCTGAGGCAGTGGGCACGATACTGAACACATCACTAACAACAATTGTCTAAATGTAAAACTCTTTCTTAGACGTCTGTGCCCAAACTGTGTGAAGCCTCTGTGGTGAGTTTAATAAATACATATACAGTAACTGAGTTATTGCATAAAAACTGCATTGAACTGACTATATTTTCCAATTGTATCATTAATAAAGGTACTTAAGCGCTCTGGGACACTATCCTGTATGAGGTACGCTATATAAATGCAAGATGTTGTTATTGTAGTATTTTAATCACAACAAAAACAACCATTTTCACACAGATTGCTAGTCTGGTGTCTGCTCTGCTGGTCATGATTGTGCTGTTGGCTATTGGCTATCTGCTGGCACCTCTCCAGAAGGTAATATCATTCATATCATGTCATGGATGGTGGAAGGGATGGGGGGAGGGTTGGGTAGGAGGGAGACCAGGAAGGGAAGATGAGGCCAGAATACTGAACTCCTTGGTGGAATGCCTCATGCTTTGATGGTAAAATAAAAATAAAATAAAATTACAGTCACCTCCCCCCCGGCTCGGTGTTGGGCTCAGCCACTGTCAAACTCCGTGTGAGGACGCAGTGTAAATACAAGTTGTTGTTGTTGAGAATGGTAATGTGGATGATCAGTTCAGAAATGGTAACTGAAGCATTTAGTTGTTGATGCTGCGTGTTTGCAAATGTGGAAATAATGTAATGTATTTATTTTTACTGATGATTGTCTTATGTCCCGTTTGTGAATGTGTTGTGTATAATTTATCAATTAATTGAACCCTTGCACTGATTGCTAAAATGCTAATGAAAATAAATTTTAAAATGATCATCACAAACCTGAACAGGCAGCTGCTATCAGCTGATTGTTTTATTTTCTCTTTCAGTCGGTTCTGGGAGCTCTTGTTGTGGTCAATTTGAAAGGAATGTTTTTCCAGTTCAGAGAAGTCGTAGTTCTGTGGAAAAAAGACAAGTATGATTGTGTAAGTCAATGTGAAATCCGGGCAGTTATTTACTGCTTTGTTAGCACAGTTTTTAAACTTGTTTTGATTTAATTCCCTCAGTACTTTGAACTGAATCATTTAATCTCCTCGAGAACCCTGTTCCCCTGTGAAAAATTGTCTGCTTCCTCATAGAATATATTTATTTATATATAGATGACTGTTTCACTGATCGTCACACTTTGAGCTTTTAATTGATCCAATTTGTAAACTCACATCAACAATAATAATAATCTGAAACACTAACAGAATAAATAGACTAGATAGTGCTGGTGTTCAGAGGGATTTGGGTGTCCTTGTACACCAGTCACAGAAAGTTAGTATGTACACATAGCAAGCAACTAGGAAGGATAATGCCATGTTGGCGTTCGTTGCAAAAGGGTTAGAGTACAAGAGTAGGGAAGTCTTGCTGCAGTTGTATAAGGCCTTGGTGAGACCTCACCTGGAATATTGTGTGCAGTTTTGATCTCCTTATTTAAGAAAGGACATACTCACCTTAGAGGGGGTGCAGTGTAGCTTCACTAGGTTGGTTCCTGGGATGAGGGGGTTGACCTATGAGGAGAGATTGAGTAGAGTAGGCCTATATTCTCTAGAATATAGAAGAATTAGAGGTAATCTTATAGAAACCTATAAAATTCTTAAGGGTCTTGACAGGGGAGATGCAGTGAGACTGTGTCCCCTGGTTGGAGAATCTAAAACTAAGGGGTCATAGTCTCAAGATTAAAGGTCAGCCTTTTTGAACTGAGTTGAGGAAACATTTCTTCACTCAGAGGGTAGTGAATTTGTGGAATTCTCTACCCCAGAGGCTGTGGATGCTCAGTCCTTGAACATATTTAAGACTGAGGTTGATAGATTTCTAAAGGATAGAGGGATTAAGGGATATGGGAATAGGGCGGGTAAATGGAATTAGGTTAGAAGATCAGCCATGATCTTATTAAATTGTGGGGCAGGCTCGAGGGACCAATTGGCCTACTTCTGCTCCAACATCTTATGATCTTATGGTATTATGATAGTGTCTCAGAGCCCAGTCTAGTGTCTCAGAGCCCAGAATAGTGTGTCAGAGCCCAGGATAGTGTCTCAGAGCCCAGGATAGTGTCTCAGAGCCCAGTCTAGTGTCTCAGAGCCCAGGATAGTGTGTCAGAGCCCAGTCTAGTATCTCAGAGCCCAGGATAGTGTGTCAGAGCCCAGTCTAGTGTCTCAGAGCCCAAGATAGTGTCTCAGAGCCCAGGATAGTGTCTCAGAGCCCAGGATAGTGTCTCAGAGCCCAGGTTAATGTCTCAGAGCCCCGGATAGTGTCTCAGAGCCCAGGATAGTGTCTCAGAGCTTGTTGACTAAAGCTATTTCCTGTCACAGCTGGTGTGGCTAGTTTCCTTTGTTGCTGCTGTTCTGCTTGGCCTTGACCTGGGATTGGCGGCTGGAGTGGCGTTTGAGCTTCTCACAGTTGTGTTCAGGACACAGTTGTAAGTATGTTCTTCCCTGTTTAATGTCAATGTAAACATATACATTCACTTCAACAACCTGCCGTTACATAACGTAATTTACAAACACGTCTTGAAGCATTTACAGAATTATAAAATCTTACAGCCCATCATGCCTGTGCCAGCTCTTTAAAAGAACTACCCACTAGTCCCACACTCCCACTCTTACCCTGTAGCCCTGCACAATTTTCCTTTTCAAGTACCTATCCAATTCCCTTTTTATAATTGGTACATAACAAGTGTCAGAGCCATGAGGCCAAGTGGCTTAGATTCAAACCCATGTCTCTCTCAGTCGAGTACATGCTATTTATGTTGTGTGTAACTGTAACTTATCTAATGGATGTGGTACTGTGTTTCCAGCTCGCAGTTCTCTGTTTTGGCTAACATAAACGGAACTGACATTTACAGAAATAGAAAGGATTATCAAAATGTAAGTAAACTGACTGATGTTATTACAGAATAAATCATATTAATTCTCACTTTGTGGTTCATTCCTCCCTGATAACTAACGTCTGTTTTCCTTTTAATCAGATCTACGAACCAGAGGGATTGAAAATATTCAGATGCCCATCACCAATTTTCTTTGCAAATATAAATTCCTTTCGGGACAAGCTTATTGAAGTTGTAAGTTGCTGTTTATTATACTGTTTCTAACTGCAGTCTTATTTTTCATCTTCACACATTCTTTTTCATCTTCAAAATTATCTACACTAAATTATTATGTTTGTAACAATGAAATAATAACAATCCTTGCATTTGATATAGGGCTTTTCATGTCAGGAGGACGTCTCAAAGTGCTTCACAGGGTATACTGTAAATTGTACTAACTTTGTATTTTGTAGGCGAATGTGGCAACCAATTTGTACAATCCTTGCAGTTGATATAGCAACCTATCACGTCGTCGATACGTATCAAAGCGCTTCACAGGAAATACTGTAAAGTGTAGTGACTGTGCATTTTGTGGAGGAGCAAACAGCTGTGAAGTGAATGACAAATTTATTTTGGGGAATTATTGGCCTGGAGATGGAGAAACTACGCTTTCTTTACAAACAGCCATGAGATCTTCCATGTCCATCTAAACAGGCAGATTGGCACCTTAACAACCCATCTGATAGCCAGCACTCCTGATAATGCAACGCTCCCCCTGCGCTGTGCTAGAGTGTCAGCCTTGTCTGTGAGTTAAAGTCTTGATATCAGGTTTGAAAAACCATCTGACTCAAGAGGTGAGAGTTCTACACCCGAGCCAGCCAAGCCACCTTCATTTCACTGAAAAACAGGACATGGCGGCCTTTTAATTGGTGTTATTTTATTATTTATTATTATTCTTTTATTATTTATTATTTCTACCCCCCACCCTCTCTGCCCTCCACCCCTCCTGATCCCAATCCCCAGCTCAGGTCCAAATCCCTGACTGTCCAGCGCCTTGAGAGGTGCTCCCGACGTGGAAGGCTCTATGTAAAATGTCATTTGCTGTTGCTAAATGTTTTGACATAATAATAATAATAATAATAATAATCCTTGCATTTGATATAGCGCTTTTCACGTCGGGAGGACGTCCCAAAGCACTTCACAGAACACACTGTAAAGTGAATTGACTGTATATATTTGTGGGCGAACGCGGCAGCCAATTGCGCACAGCAATGTCCCACAAACAGTCGTAGATTGAAAATGACCAATTTATTATTGTTTTTGGTTTTGGAGGGATTATTATTAGGCTTTGTGTGGAGTAAGGAAACTTGCCCAAGGTTTCGCCCTCTGCCTGGAATTGAACCCAGTCTCTCGCTTGCAAAGCGAGTGCTCTAACCACTGAGCTACAGGACTCTACTCATACTCAAGACAGGATTTTCTTTTAAGATTTGTGACACTCCTTAGCCAGAAAGACAAAGCAGAAGATGTACTCCTTTGTAAATCTTGATGAACCTTTATCTAAACTAATTTGTGTTTCTATTAGCTTGGATTTAATCCACTTAGAATCCTCCGCAAACGTAACCGAGCTGTGCTGAAGATACGAAAGCTGCTGAAAAAAGGAGAAATAATGACTACATTAGTAAGTTCTTCCAAACTAGCAATCAACTTTGTTCTCAAACAATACAGAAGTAACTGTTCAAATCTAAACATTTAATACATTTCCCACTCTAATTATTTGAGAGGGGCATTGTTTTATTGAATCAATCACCTACCTAGGCGCTGGTAGGTATAAGGAGAAGTTAAAATACTTTGACATAATAACAAAAGTTTTCATCTGTTGTAAGAAACGCATTAGAAATATCTAGTGTTAAATTATACACAGTGTGCCAAGTCACCAAGTGGCTGACTTACATACAGAAAACATCACTCTTATACACACACACACAGTTACTAACACACACACAGTTACTAACACACACAGTCACTAACACACACACACATACACACACACACACAGTCACTAACACACACACAGAGCACAGTCATTAACTTTTAGCCAATCAACCAAAATCCAAACATTACTAATGTTAACTTACTGATAGACAGTTTGAGTCTTGCAGTATAAAGTATAGTTCTTCTTAACTTAAGTTAAATTATTGTTTATTTACAGTAATTTGACCATGGTTTCATTCAATTATGTAATTGGTTCAGTCCTAACATTGAATGTCATTTTGTTCTAATACATAAGCAAAGTAAGGAGTGATGTAGCTGTTATTGCTCTATTTTAATCATTGTTCCTCTTACCGCTGTCTCTCTCCTGTGTTCAGAAAGGCTATATGTACACCCCTAATGCAAGCTATACTGAGGACAGCTCTGAGGATGAGGACGATAACAATAATATTGAGAATTTGGACAAACCAGTCGAGATGAAAGACTTGCCATTGTGCATTGACTGGAACAGAAGCCTCCCTGGCAATTTGCAGGTGCCTGGTGTGGATACACACAGTGTGGTGTTTGACTTTGCGGCAGTCTCTTTCCTGGACGTGTCAGCGATCAACACCTTAAAAGGGGTAAAAACTGTTTATAAAACTATAGTTTCATGATCAGAGTTTCAAGAGGCATTTGACATGAGAACCAATGTGTTATGTTTCCATAATTTCCATTATCCTTTCTCTTCTAAAGTGGTGCCAAGTGGCAGAATCCAGTTTTATATATTATGTTATATTGTATTATACCGTACCTGCTGCAGCTTCATTTGCAACCGAAGGATCCAATATGGAATGTAGATTGACATACAAACATTTCATCTTTATCTATACTCAGCTGGGAGGGCTCCAGTGGGAGGGCTCCAGTGGGAGGGCTCCAGGGGGAGGGCTCCAGGGGGAGGGCTCCAGGGGGAGGGCTCCAGTGGGAGGACTCGGTGCTTTAAAAATGTAATTTTGTTGTTGCTGCGGAGGCTTAGCTTCATCTGTGTTCTTTATTTTGATGCCGCCGCTTGGCTACGTGTGTGGTATGTGACGCAGGATGCAACCGCACCGCGGTCAACCAGCGCGGCCACCAGGTGTAACTGCAGTGTGTGCGTACATACATACATACATACATACATACATACATACACACACACACACACACACACACACACACACACACACACACAATGCCACAGCGCCTCTTTGATTCAGTGGCCACCAAGTGCAACTGCAGTGACAAATACAAAACTGTAAATAATTCATGAACGATAGGAAATACCTGAAAACAAATATGCCCATGTCACTCCAAGTTGCAAGACCTTTCTGATGAAGTATAAATAATGTGTTTATGTCAATCAGTTATTGAGATCCTTCTTGAAATGCAGACAGACATTGTTTTATTAGTATATATTATATTATATAAGTATTGGAGGCACTGGTTGCTGGGACCTCTATTGTGAGCTGCGACAATGAATATTGGCAAGATTTGTAACCATGGGAGCCATTGCAGTGTAATTCTGCCTTCACCCACTGATGTGTATTCGTAAGAATGACTAAATAGCAATAATCAGCGGAAGGCAGGTATCAGTGAGTTTTTTGACATTGTTGAGTTTTGTCAATCATTGACAATACCTTGCCACCGGCCATCAGTCAATAAGACAATGAACTAATCTGGTCCCAGTGAAGCCTTTGAGCTGATTAACACCAGCACCGAGCACTGGGCCTGTAGAGGGATTATATCGGGTACTGGGCCTGTAGAGAACGCAAGTCAACTGTAAATTAATATAAACCAGCAATTTTTTTCTTCTGAAATTGTGCTGAAAGTAAATTGTGTTTTTCAGATATTGAAAGAGCTTGTGCGAATCGAAATCGATATCTACATCGCAGCCTGTGATGGTAAATGGTTTCTGACTATGTTCTCATTACCATTCGGAAAAAGTGATGTATTGCATATCTAATGCTATTGGCACATAAAGTGAACAAAACATATGCCAAATCAATGAGTTCACAACTTGATGAACATGCTACAAAGTGTATTACAATTTAGTTATAAAACATTAACATTTTTATATGAAAAACTGAGAATAATGAAATTCAAAGAATGGGGATACAATCTTTCACCATCATCCAGTTACAGGATACATTCTCTACTCTTCAATGGCACACTCTATGTAACAATAATAATCCTTGCATTTGATAAGAGTGATTTATCAAGGCTCCATGACGTCTCAAAACGCTTCACAGAATATACTGTAAAGTGAATTGACTGTGTATTTTGTGGGAGAAATGTGGCAGCCAATTGCACACAGCAGTGTCCCACAAATATACAGTGTTGTATACAAATATATACAATCACTTGTCATTGTTTAGATCTTGTTACAGATTTTAAACAAATCACTGAACTCTGACTTTGGTCAAATTGTGAATTCTGACCAATCTTCCTTGTGAAAGCCCCTGATCACAAGTCAGTAAATAGCCCATCAATGGAGACTTCATTTTTGCAATGATTTGCTTACAATTTGCTCTCCAACCATTAGAAAGAAATTAGGATTTTAAAAAAGATGGAGTTCTGTCAGAATTGTGGGGTTCTGTTTTATTTTATTCTTCTGCTTGAATGCTGAAATCCCTCCTCCCCCAGCTCAGAGTTGTCCTCCGCCACTGTCAATTGCTCTGGGACACTGCCCTGCATGAGGGGTGTTGTGTAAATACAAGTTGCTGTTGTTGCAACAAGGCTAAAATCCTCAAAAGAGGTGATACACTCATTACACTGATAGCTGTGTATGTTTGAACATCAACTCAAACACAAAAGTAATCAAGTGACAGAACGAGTGAGTGACTTTGATAACACGCACCAAAATCCTAATCCTTACATTTAATACTACACAGCGCCTTTAATGTCAGGATTATGGTTCAAAGCAATTCATGGGATAGACCTGTAAAGTGGTGTGACTGTGTGTTTTGTGGGTGACTTTATCAGAAATTCCAATATAATTATCATCTAAGTTCCTACACTTAGCAGCAAGTGGTATTGCTTTTCAGAATATTCAAATACTTACATTATCAAATTGCCTTTAATAATGGATTTTATAGAAAGTAATAATGGATTATATAAAATCATTATTTTGTTTCCTCTTCAGATCTGATCATCGAAAAGTTGGAAAAATGTGGATTTTTTGACGATGAAATCAACACAAACATATTTTTTATTACAATTCATGATGCTATTCTACATATCTTAGGAAGATATGATCCAGAAAAAACAAATTATGAATGTGACAATGTAAGTTACTATTAAATTAGCAAATATTGTGCTGCCATTTTTATTAAAACAATGCTTACTCACTGAGATTATGTGAAAGTCATGCACAAATTATTATTTCAATTTAATTTTTGACATGCAAATAGAAACAGACCATTCAGCCCTCGAGCCTCTTCTGCTATTCGATAAGATCATGCCTGATCTGTATCTCAACTCCAATTACCCACCTTTGCCCCATATTTCTTGATACCGACCTAACATTTTACCATAACGTCTCACTCACAGAGCTTTCTATTCCTCATCTGAAAGTCTATGATTTATTTCCACTTCCTACTGGCTCAAGACGAGAAGTTTTGTTCACATTCATAGAGGAACAAATCATATACTAAATCAGTGCTGATCACAATCTCAACCCACTAAAATGACTGTTGTTTGGTTATTAGTGGAGAGATCAATAGCAAATGGCAACTCTCGAGATAACAAAGGACATCACTAATATTAAGAGTGAACCTGTGTTAAAAGAGCGAATGGAATCTCTTTGCATCAAGTGTCATTATTACACATTATCCCCCAAATCCTCCTTGTGAAAATGTGATCCTCCGCTTAACCATCAAGACTATTTCTTTATCTTCCCTGCAGAGGCAAGGCAATGTGTATGTTGACAACAGAGAACTATCTAATGGAGAGTTGAAAAAGAGGGACTATACGGTAGGTTTTGAAACATTAATATTTGCCATTATCCAGTTTATTATAATCTGGTCACTGCTTTAATCTGACAAATTAATGGTTATATTTTGGAATTTTTTCTTTCAGGTCCGTGTAGAGACCAAGTTCTGATTGTTCTAGCTCTGAACTCTGGATAAAACACGCTGCAGGAAATGTCTACATCAGCAGTTTCTAAGTACACAGAAAACTAAAACAATGTACGTTTAAGACTTTAGCTTTAATATGTGCCACTGTTAATGCACAAAATGTATGCTATGCATACTATCAAAGATTTGGTTCTCATGAAGCTCGACTAACATCCCAATCTGTTTGTTACATAAGTTACTGTGTACATCACTGATCAATGAAGAAAGGTCAAGTGTCGAGCAGAGATTTACAGTTCTTCTTTATGTCAACATTTCTCATTGTTCTAGATACTAACAACCCCATTTACACTGGGAATAATACAGAGCTGACTATGTTTGATAATAATACAGAGCTACCCCATTGTCCTGAGTGAGACAGCTTATCAGAAAACAATAATGAACTGGAAAGTCAGATTTACATTGTGACAAAAAAATTATGAATTTGGTGCGGCAGAATGTAGCCCAGTCTCAGTTTACATTGCACTGCAGGCAAGTGTTCTGAGGGAGATTCAATATATCAGTGTACAAATACAGTACTTTCATTCAGAATATTTACACTGGTGATAATTAAAATTTATACTGAGTATCCAGATAGATGAGAAATGCAGAACATTAGAGCATTAATCACAATGTCATAACATGAAGGGAGGGGGCGAAGTGAGGCGGGTTGGGGGGGGGGTGCAGTGAAGGAGAGTGAGAGGGAGGGGATCCGGGATGGATTTCCAGAAAGTGGAGGCAGAGAGGCTGAAGGCCCGACCACCGATAGCGAGTAACCTGATGGTTCCTGACCGATGATTCCAGAGCTGCAAGGTTTCAGGGCAGTTACACAACAGTGGCTCACAATGTACATTAAGATACATTTACAACAGGAGAAACATAATATGTCAGTTTAAACAGTTTGGTTTATTCCATTTAACAACATACTTTATATAACTCTGCTTCATGTTACTATTTATTATTTCCTTGAATATAAGATATGATCAATACCAAAAACAAGTCCATATTTAATGAGATAAAAACGTTCATTGAATGTCAATACCCTATTATTGCTAATCAATAGTGATGTCTGAATTCACATAACATATGACATCCCCACTATTATGTGCAATGATTAGATAGGCTCAGCCTCCTGTTGTGAAAGGGGACGTGAGAGGGAGCCTGACACAGATAGATGGTAAATGAGATTGAGAAAGTAAACTTTCTCTTTCATTTTTTTTGTTCTATTCTCCCTTTTACCAATATAGCAAATTGTACAATTGTACAATTGTAAAGCAACATCCAACAAGAAAACACATTACTGGTCAATCACATCACCTGATCTTTAGCATTCTGTAAACATTTTTGAATTAAATTCTCTTTATGTATATATTTAATTTATATAGATAATTAAATATATATATGTTTAATTCTGGCCAATATACATCAAATACTAAAAATGGCAAAGATGTTTTAGGTTGCTAAAGATCAACTAATGTGATTTTTTTTTCAAGCGTTCACATAATTTAACACTTGCTCCACGTTTTTGAGGCAGCCTATTGTACTGAGTTTTCCTGCACCTTCTAGGTCTATTTTCATTTTAATTTAAATCCATATTTTCTGTGTCAACATTAAACAATAAGGGTTATTTTCTTTTAGAGTTATACAGTTTTACATTTACATCTGTTTTAATCATGACAAGTATTAATCTGTTAATTATTAGATAATTGTATACATTCTGAGCTGAATATATTTTCAATAAAATAGGAAAGATTTACCAAACTATATTTTGTATTGTAAGACACATTTTATAGATTTAAGTTGAAACAATTGATTTGTGTCTGAAACTATAGAAAATCAATTATATGGCCTAACTGATCATACCATATTTCTTAATGAGATTTTCCAGTTTACATAGAGTTGTTTATACGTATAAAGGATGGTAAATTAGGGAAAAAAATCTTACCATGCTTTGCACTCATGTACTTAAACCAAATACAAACCAACATATAATATTTTCATTTAATATTTTATCAATTCAGAGACTGGGCAATGAAGTTCAGTGCAACTTTCTTTGTATCTGTGCTCTGTGTTAAGACAACAGCCAAGGTAAGAAATGAAAGCATTTCTCACTAACATTTCCCAAGTCATGCGAAGTCACTGAGCAAGATAAATGTTGTCACCAAATAACATGGCAAAAAAAGTTTTCTAAAATTGAGTTTGGAAACAGATAACACACAGAAATAAATTAAGAAGATGCCACTGTAATACACTTTACAAATAAATGAATATCATGATTACTGACATTGTCTATCTCAGTTTATTGATGAATAATTCAGAAAGTTCTGTCATTGGGTTGAATTATGTGATTGTATAACACGTGAACTGATGCCAACCCCTCCATATGTGGATGCCTTGCTCCCCAATGATCAACACAAAGCTAGTAACTTGAACAAAAATCGCTCGCTTAAAATTGTCTCATGAAACCCACATCTTTAAAGAAATCCACACTGGAGGATCAGTGTGTTTTAAGCACTCAACAACAGCTTTACACTTGATCTTGATAAACTGGCTTGCTCTGCTCGTGTTTATCAGCCCAATCAAGGCACTGCCTTATAGATTACTGCGTTTCACATTCTGGAGAGCATGTTATTAGATAAAATATTAGGTAATGTTCATACCAGTTAGGATAACAAAAATATAGATGTTTCTTGTTCACTAAGGTATGCTACAGGGATATTTGGCAAATTAACAATTCCAATCACAATGGTCTGTCTGCCAATCTGCTAAATTATATTAATGTTCATTTTCATTTCATTGTATTATCAAACAAATATTTTCAGAGAGAAAATTTATATATATTCTTTTCCAAACCAGCTCCTCCTCTCTACTGGTACATTGACCTTGCACTCTGTATAATAGAGCCAATAAAGCATAAAATGGTACATTGTCTCTGTGGGAAGGAGCAATGACATTAAATGGCCAAGAGATTATTGGCTGTAAAGTAGTTATATATTTATATATAAAATACCTTACATTTAATATGTAAACACTACAATACATTTTACAGTATACCCCACGTAGAGTTTTGAGATGTCCTCCCACTGTGGAAGGTGCTACACCGAATGTAAAGATTAATTATTATTCTAATGGTAATTATCCCTTCAAAAAACATTTTTTTAAATAATAATTTGGTCACTCAATCCACGACTGTTTGTTGGACACTGCTGTATGCAATTGGCTGCCAAGTTTCACCCACAAAATACACAGTCATTACACTTTACAGTATATTCTGTGGAGAGCTTTGAGGATCTCGAAGACATGATAAGGCGCTGTATCAAATGTAAGGTTTATTATTATTATTGTTATGGAGGCAATACAAGCAGTGAAGCTACATTAGCAATGTACCAAAGGCAACAATGTCATTAATAATAAATTAATCTACAGTTTGGGGTGAATTTAAATGAGAGGAATATTAGCCAGAACGCAACAACAGGCCTTCACATTTCAAAATAGTCCTGTGGAATCTTCAGCACCTTAATCGCCACAATGTGCATGGAGGAACAGGATTAAGATTCAAGACTGAGATAGATAGATTTCTTATTGCAAAAGGGATTAAGGGATATGGGGATAAGGCGGGGGGGGGGAAGGCTGGGGGGGGGAGGGGGGATATGGGGATAAGGCAGGTCAGGTTATTAGCTGGAGTTAGATTAGAAGATCAGCCATGATTGAATGGCGGAGTAGCGCCGGATGGCCTCCTCCTGCTCCTACATGTTATGTTAAGGTGTTTGACAAAAGAACCAGAGGGGAAGGGAGAACATTTTTTGCTTAGAGAGTTATTACAGTCATGAATACACTGCCTGAAAGGCTGGAGGGAGCAGATTTGATAATAGCTTTCAAAAGGGAATTGGAGACTTGAAATGGAAAAATGTACAGGGTTATGGGGTAAGAGTGGGGGATGGGATTAGTTGGTCGCTCTTTCAAAGTGCCAGCTCAGGCACGATGGACCGAATGGCCTCCTTCTGTGCTATAAGATTCTATGATTAGGTCTTTTGACCCATCAAGTCTATTCTGCCAATTTGTTAGGTCACGGTAACTCTATTTTTAATCCATTCCCCCTCGCTCCATATCCTGAATACACCTATTTTCCTGTACTGTACTTCCTGTAAGTACTGTACCTATCTCCCTTTTAAACAATTCAATCAGTTATGGCCTTCAAAGCTAGTACACTCCACATTCTCTAAACACATTAAGTAGATAAATGTAGATAATGTTACAACTGTTCAGAATTCATTAACCAGAGGGAGGATATGCTCCTATCTACGTTGGCAAGCATCTAATCAGAGATATGTCCCATCATTCCAGCTGAGATTCTGGTGATTCATCACTGACTTTCTTCCAAGGTTAGTATATTCCTGAGGTGGGAAACCCTAAACTGCACAGCACTAGAATGAGGTCTGTCCAGTTGTACTTGATTTATATTCCAGCTTCTTGTGATATAGCCTAGTATCTCATTAGCCTTTTTAATTGTTTTCCAAACCTGAAACTAGCTTTCAACACTATATAAGACTCAACCTCTAAATCCCTTTATTCATGTATTCAACTCCGGTGCTTCTACATTTAAACTTATTCCCATTCGCCATTCTCACAAGGTGTACAAACCAGTTTTTGACATTGAGTTTCCATTTGCCATACTTCAGCCCACCTGCTTACTTTAATAATCATCATCAAGTTAGCAATGTTGGCAAAGTGGCACAGCAACCTGAAATAAGGTCTCCCCCAAATTATATTTCTAGCCATGTGAATGGGGTATGTTGTACTTTATAATAATCCTTACTTCAGTAAGTTAATAATAATCCTTGCATTTGATATATGAGGTCTTCGAGATGTCTCAAAGCACTTCACAGAATATACTGTAAAGTGAATTGACTATATTTTGAGGGTGAAACACGTGAGTCAATTACGCACAGTAGCGTCCCACAAACAGTCATAGATTGAGTGACTAAGATATTATTATTAATTAATTAATTGTTTTTGAACGATTATTACGAAAAAAGTGATCCATCAATCAACTAACAAAGAGGTTCCTACTTAATGCTAGGTAAACAGAGGCGTGTAGAGTAAGGAGACTTGCCCAATGTTTCACCCCACCAGGGAGTCAAGCTCAGGTCCTCTCGCTTGCGAGGAGAGTGGTCTAACCACTGAGCTACAGGACTCCATTTATGTTAGTTCTACGTGAATACCTAGTGACTAGGTTAGCACAGTGTTCCGTTTCCATTGAATTACATCAAAACGTGTGAATCAACTCACAAAGATGCCACAATTATGCTGTGCTCATATTAATTAATTTCCAGCAATCAGTATCTGTAATGATCTTTGTGACAACTTTATCAATTCAATAAACCTCGATCTGTCTGTGTGAAGAAAAAACGAAATGCTGGATACATAGCTGTTGCCTGGACTCTATACTGGAACTCGAGAGTTTAACAATAGACATTGTACTAAGAATCTAACATACAATGAACATTTCCAACAACTTTATTTTATGATTTACATAAAAGCTTCCCTCCCTAGTCAGTCTTTCCTAGTTTGTTAATGTCACTGTTACATGTGGGTCTCTTGCGATTTAGGGCAAAATAATGTTAAACATCTTTTTTTTTAAAAAAATCATGGCCTCAACAGGTTTAGCCTCTACCAGCCCAGAAGGTGGATATTGCTTGGATTCCCTTCACAAAGGGCTCTCACACATAGCGGAGATTCATGCCATCAGCCCACATCACATTCAGTCTTGGATTCCCCACTGTCTGTTGTCCTCCAAATATGTTAATAGACACTGAACACAATAGTTTTCCCCAAGTACTTGTTAGCTGTATCTGCCATGTATAAAAATGATTCCCTTTGCCAACGGTATTAATATTTGACATCTACGTTTCACAAAATGCCATTGATTTTAGTCATATGCTGGCTTCAGTAATTACTGTTCTTGTTATAATCTACTGTCGTGTCAGCATGTTTTTTTTATTAAGTAACAATGCCATAAACAGTTCTAGGCAGTTTAGTCACATCTTTTCTTATTGTAAAACTTTTCAAAACATTTGTTTATAAACAGAATGAAAGACTTGTGTTAAGTGTCCTTGTACTGGTATCTAGTCCCACTGTACAATCCTACTGTACACAGTCCTATTGTACAGTCCTACTGTACACAGTCCTATTGTACAGTCCTACTGTACACAGTCCCACTGTACAAAGTCCCACTGTACAATCCCACTATACACAGTCCCACTGTGCACAGTCTCACTGTACAAAGTTTCAAGGCTTTCATTAATCCATGCATTTGATACAGCGCCTTATCACGTCTTCAAGGCGTTTCACAGAATATACTGTAAAGTGAATTGACTTTATATTTTGTGGGCGAAACAATGCAACCAATTCTGCACTGCAGTGTCCAACAATCCTGGATTGAGTGACCAAAATATTATTATTTCGAATTATTATTATTTTTATCTCATTAGTACAATTAACAAATAACTTCACTACAATACAGGTTTTATTCCCATTTATTGGTGCATGTCGTATTGAAAAGAAATTCAGTGCATTTGATGACAGGTTGATCAGGTTAAAAATTAACGTTCAATTTAAAGTTGCTCAATTAATTAATGACATGAATTCAAGTATGGCTGACTAGATTAGATTATCGCACACACTCTGAAGAGGCTAACAACAGACTTGCCAACACAGTGTTTCGCTTATAGTTTGGTAACAGTGGCCCCCAAAACAATCGGTCCTGCCCCACCCCCAGTATCCAGCTCCCCAAATCATTACACTATATACAGTACTTTGTCTTTGAGATTAATGCAACTCCAAAGAACATACTTTTGCCTGTGTTTTTGTTGAAATTTATTCTATCTTTTCTTTGGAAACTGAAAAACAAATTCTAGAGAATGAAACAGAAGAATAATATAATGATGAGAGGGGGAAGGAAAGCTCCCCTACATCACCATTCCACACAATAGCCATTTTACACTGTTTACACTTCAAAACAATTGTGTGGTGATTAACTTACAGGACTTTTCTTCCCCCTCCAACCCTTGTTGCCAACTGTGCTCGTCATCAATCTGTCCGACGTTACAGCAAGCAAATGAACATTTTTTTGCAACACTACGTTTATTTACAAACGTTTCACAGATAACTACAGTGTTAAGCACAAATAAGCCAGACAAGGTGGTAAGATATATAATTAAACAATACAACATACACCAACTACACTCTTTAAACCACTGTGGAAAGAAAAAGTCAGTCACACCCTACATCAGTGTCATAGGAACCAGCTCTCGTTATACCTCTCGCAATCATCACATTGTTGATTAGCATTTTCCTCACAGAAACACCAAGATTGCAACGGTACACATTCCTGACATTTGTACTCACTCCCCTAACAAGTGTAGTTAGCATACATTATATGTATAATACCATATGCTACATTGTGAGCTGAAAACTGTGGTTCACTTTGGGGGCATTGGGGACAGGTAAATTATTTGAGCTGTGCTCTCCAAATTTACTGTATCACAACCTTAATCTCACCCAAGAAGCACAATCTTTGACCTCACTCCAACCGTTCCCATTGGCTTTTCTCAAAACTTAAAAATAAACTTGCATTTGAAGGAGCAATGTTAGAAGTTGGAACCTACAAAGCATTCTATACACAACAGGGCCCAGGCGTGCAGCTCACTGGTAATAAGGCCTGTACCTGGGCTGCTCAGGGTGGTGTGGTGGTCCCGGGAGCTGAGGCTGCGGAGGGGGCACTTGCATCCTTGGTGGTGGAGGTGGCCCTCTGGGAGCAGGCCAGACACCAATTCCTGGGCTGTGGCCTCCAGGCTGAGAGAAAGGTGGGCTGAGAGTTCCCTGATCCTCTGTGTACTGCGGCATTGACGTGGCCGAGTAGTGGTGGGGAGGGGGGGTGTTCACAGGGGGGCCCGAGTGCTGAGGAGGAGGAGGTCCGTGAGGATGGTTCATATACGGTGGCATCTGAGCCAGTATGTGTCCTGGAGGTGGAGTGATTGGTGGAGGAGCCGTTGACATGGGGGGAGGTGGGGCTGGGTTGTACACCATGTGTGGGTTGCCGGCGGCCTGGGACGGGTGCTGCAGAGGGTGATTGATGGGGGGCGGGGGGGGAGGAGGAGGAGCGTAATGCTGTTGTGGTGGTAACATGTGGTGGGGGTGGGTCACCACGGGCTGGCTCGGGTAATCGGGATGATGATGAGCTGGGACAGGAGGCTCCCGATTGCCGCTGCTTGAAGAGTCGTCCTGGATGGGAACCGTGATCAAGTTGCTGTGTTTCCTGGTGGTAACGGTTGAGATCCTGAAGGTCTCCTGACTGACTGCCCGGGGAGGAGGGGGAGCGAGAGACATCTCTGCCGGAGGAGGACGGATGTCTTCATGGGTCTGACTGTAATGCTCGTGAGATACGTGCGGCAGTGGGGGCGGGGGCATCATGAGGCCGTGCTGTTTGGGGGGAATGTGGGAGATATGGTGCTTGTCTGGTGGCATCAGAAAGCGCTCAGGAATGTCCCCGGGCGGGGCCATGGCCGGGTGGAGAGGCTCTGATTGGGGGCGAAGGGCAGGCTTGCCAGTTCTCATGTGACGATGGTTTATGTGCGCTTGTAGGTCTCTCTGAGAAAGGTAGGTTCTTTTACAGCCTTGCACAATACTACACATAAACAGGGAGCCTCGCAGACATTGCTCAATGCGCTGAACCGGGTCATTACACCTGAAAATAAAGCATAATGTTAGCCTGAATGGTTAAATATTATCATAATTAATATATTATATATACTATGTATTAAATGTCAATGTTATTAAAGTATTTAGTGTTATATTATTTAATATATAATTTATTGTTCTTGCATGCTGTAGTTTGTACTATAAAGATAATAATCCTCGCATTTGATACAGCCCCTTATCACATCTTCGAGACGCCTCAAAGGGCTTCACAGGATATACTGTAAAGTGTAGTGACTGGCTATTTTATGAGCGAAAATCAGCAGCCAATTTCGCACAGCAGCATCCCACAAACAGTCGTGGATTGAAGTGACCAACTTATTATTATTATTGTTTCAAGGGATTATTATTCCTGGAAACGCAATCTGCCAACCGACTAACAACCGTGTTCCTACTTACCGCGAGGTAAACACAGGTGTGTGGGGTAAGGAAACTTGCACAACATTTCGCCCTGCTGGGAATCAAACCCAGATCCTCTCATTTGCGAGGTAAGTGCTCTAACCACTGAGCTACAGGACATTGACTTACCCAGGACATATCTTGTCACCTTTCTTCTCATGCAGACTTGCACATTCAAAACAGAATACATGTTTACATGGAATCTGTAAACAAACAAGATAATCGTAAGTAAAACCCACCTTTCTAGTATATGTACAAAAATACTAATTTCACAGGACAGGTGCTAATACAGGAATACTTGTTATTTTGGATTAATAAATAATAATAAAATAAAATCCTTGCATTTGGTATAGCATCCTTCAAGGTAGGAGGATGTCTCAAAGCGCTTTACATGATTTTACTGTCAAACGTAGTGACTGCATTTTGTAGGTGAACGCAGCAACCAATTTGTGTATGATGAACCAGGCTGACAACTGAATGCATCCTCTCATTACCAGTGGACCACACAACCTGTTAAACTTTACCTGTTAATAAACTGTCTAAATATACATTGAAAATTAAACAGTAGAATTGCACATATGCAACTAGTCATTAAGTTAATTTGTGAATGAAAGATTAGAATAATTTAGATTAACCTTCTTTATAAAAGGCAAGTTACATTTCTTGCGTCATTTTAATTCCTACAAAGGAGATGTAAATGACAAAATCAGATCACAGGCAGGAAATATAATTTGAAACACACAAACAACAGATGCAGAAGAGCTGAGATGTAACTTACCATCCGCCCATAGATCTTGATAGGCAGCCCACATTTATCACAGAAATGAATGGGAGTGTCATCTTTTTCACCCAACAAATTGATCTATAAAACATATTCAAACATCTTGCATTCAAATCTTACAATATCAACTGTTTTGTTATTGACATTGAATTCACAGATGCCATTACCTTAAAATCCCAAAACATCTGGAGAGTAAATCTCCGTTGGTTCCCAAACACCTCCCCACTTTTGCAATCATAAATGTCTTCTTTATTGTAGTCAAATCCTTCTGAAAGGAAACAGAAACATGCAATAAGCAAACGACAGAACCTGGCTCCAATTTATTAAATAGTTAAAACTTTGGCATCACAATTCAAGGGCAGAATGACACTGAGTCCTAACCTCAACCTCCCGAGTGATCAGCTCAGCAGGAACAAACACCTTCCTCAGTGAGAGAGGAAGGAGAGAAAAATGTTAGACGGAGAAACGAGACCAGCCCAGTTCCAACCCCAACTATTGGCCGGGTGACCAACACTGGCAAAGACAGAGGGACAAGACACCATCTCCCCTGCAGGTCAATCGTGAACCAGTCAAACGTCAAAGTGCAGAAATAGAGGCCAAATAAAAAGATGACTTCATCAAAAACCCTGCACACTGCCCTTGCCTCTGTCAATACTAACCTAGTTACTCCCCATCAAACACAAATCTAATGTTACCCACTCGTGTTGGTCTTCCCAGCCTGTGGCATGCAGCGTGTTTCTATCTGTACCTACTGCATTGGTTTGTATCTAGAACTCCTTCATCAGTATTTGAAGAATCAATAATCCCGTCACCTTCATTTGTAGATAGTGACTTTGAAGAATTTCTGTTCATATTTCTTTGAGTGCGAGAAGGGACTCGATTGCGATTAGATTGTTTGGAGATTAACTTGATGGGGATTCGCCTACGAACATCAATGCCACCAAGAGATCCAGAACCATCAGTGCCTTGGAGATCTTTATCTTTTGAAATACAAAATACTTTTTAAATCAATATTGTGCTGTAAACATTCTATGATTTATGTTGAATATCACTATAATATAAATATAGAATAATTATATAATATAAAAGCAAAATAAATTCACGTCCCATAGTTGGTCCTAATGCCATCTGATGATGAACTTCTCTACTAGTTATAATATATTTTATAATATGATAAATAGGTGACAGACACATCAACATAAGAAAACCAGAGCACTGAGCTTCCTCATTGTGTCAACCAGTCAGGAGGGAAAAAGAAAACGTGAGTACACCTGAACCTTTTTTCTTTGATAAAATGTTTATATTAAATGCAATAAATATTTCCATTGCTGTGTTTTTTTAATCTTAAAATAAATCTTACAGAAATACAACTTTTCAAAGGGTTTTATTTCAGTACTGATGGAAGTCTGTACCAATTACCTAAATACCTTTGTTATTGAGTTAACCAGAGTTTTGTCGAGTTGGTACCAAACTATTACAAGAGTGTAAAGATAGGGAAGACACTCACTCTAACACGACCTAAACTAAAATGTCAGAGACGCACCAAATGTACGTTACACACATCATCTTAAACGGCTCATTTGTTAGTAAAGGTATAAACAATGCAGTGCTTTGAGACATCCATACATTATAGTATATATGCGACCACCGGGTGTGTAATTAAACAGTTACGTAGAGTAACGACGACAGGGAAACAGGTCGTTGGCCCAACAAATCCGTGTCACGGTTTCTATATCACACAATCCGCCCTTTTAAATACATTAATGCCATTTCGTTCAACCACAGCTTCCCCCACTGCCCCCCCCCCACTGCCCCCCCCACTGCCCCCCCCCCCCCCCCCCCCCCCTGCCCCCCCCCCCCCCCCCGCCCCCCCCCCCGAACCGCGTCCCCCCCCCCCCCACCGCCCCCCACTGCCCCCACCCCCCACCCGCCCCCCCCCCCACTGCCCCCCCCACTGCCCCCCCCCCCAACGCCCCCCCCCCGCCCCCCCGAACCCGCGCCCCCCCCCCACTGCCCCCACCCCCACTGCCCCCGAACCCGCGTCCCCACGCCCCACCCCCCCCCCCCTGCCCCACCCTGCCCCCCCACTGCCCCCACTGCCCCCCCTGCCCACCCCCGAACCCCGTCCCCCCCCACCCACCCCTGCCCCCACTGCCCCCCCGAACCCGTCCCCCCCACCCGAACCCTGCCACCCCCACCCGAACCCGCATCCCCCCCCCACCCGAACCCGCATTCCCCCACCCGAAACGGTGTACCCCCCCCCGAACCACTGCCCCCCCGAACCCCTGCCCCCCACCCCGAGAACCACTGTGAACCCCCTCCGAAACCTTGTGTACCCCCAAACTCCCCGCCCCACCCCGAACCGTGTATCCCCCCACGAACCACTGCCCCCCCCCCGAGAACCCCTGAGTACCCCCCAGAACCAGTGTGTCGACCCCCCAAACCCCCCCCCCCCGAACCACTGTGCCCACTATGCGCTTCCCCCCCCCCCCCCCCGGGGGTCCTGTAGGGCGGAGGGGGGGCTGTTGGGGGGGGCACACCCCCACACCCACACCCCCCTCCCCCCCCCCGCCAGGCCCCGGGCGGGGGAGAGCCCGAGGCTCCATTGGGGAGACAGTGACCCACACCCCGGGGAGGGAGCGCGGGAGCAGCCCCGACCCGCCCCCCCACCCCCCCCCCGCTCCGACCCCCCCGGACCCCTCTCCCCCCCGGACCCCCTCCCCCCCGGACCCCCACTGCCCCCCGGCCCCCGGCTCCGGCCTTCACTGTGCCCTCGGCCTCGGCTCTCCTGACCACAGAGCCGAGGCCTGTGTTTGCGGCCCCGGGCGGTCCCCCCCCCGCGGCCCGGGTCCCCGCCCCCCCCCCGCGCCTCCCCTCCCCCGCGCGTGCCCCCGCGGCCTCCCCCCCGGGCCCGGGCACAGCACAAACCCCGCGCGGAGGCTCCTCACCGGCCTCGGCCATGGCTCAGCTCAGCCTTGTGGGCGGGGGGAGGGGCTGAGCTGCCAGAGTGACGGGGGGGGGGGGGAGTGTGAGAGAGGGAGTGTGAGAGAGGGAGTGAGAGAGAGAGAGGGAGTGAGAGAGAGAGAGGGAGTGTGAGAGAGAGTGTGTGTGTGAGAGAGAGTGTGAGAGAGAGAGGGAGTGAGTGTGAGTGAGAGAGAGTGTGAGTGAGTGAGAGTGTGTGAGAGAGAGACAGAGAGTGAAAGAGAGGGAGTGAGAGAGAGTGTGAGTGAGAGAGAGGGAGTGAGAGGGAGTGTGAGAGAGAGAGTGAGAGAGAGGGAGTGAGAGAGAGAGTGTGAGAGAGAGTGAGAGAGAGGGAGTGAGAGAGAGAGAGCGAGGGAGTGAGAGTGAGTGAGTGAGAGTGTGAGAGAGAGAGAGAGTGAAAGAGAGGGAGTGAGAGAGAGTGTGAGTGAGAGAGAGGGAGTGAGAGAGAGAGTGTGTGTGTGAGAGAGAGAGAGAGGGAGTGAGAGAGTGAGTGGGAGAGAGAGAAAGTGAGTGAGAGAGAGAGTGTGAGTGAGAGAAGGAGTGAGAGAGAGAGGGGGAGAGAGTGAGTGAGTGAGTGAGAGAGAGAGAGTGAAAGAGAGGGAGTGAGAGAGAGAGTGTGAGTGAGAGAGAGGGAGTGAGAGAGAGAGTGTGTGTGTGAGAGAGAGAGAGAGGGAGTGAGAGAGTGTGGGAATAGAGAGAGAGTGAGTGAGAGAGAGAGTGTGAGTGAGAGAAGGAGTGAGAGAGAGAGGGGGAGAGAGTGAGTGAGTGAGTGAGTGAGTGAGTGAGTGAGTGAGTGAGTGAGTGAGTGAGTGAGTGTGAGAGAATGAGTGGAAGAGTGAGAGAGAGAGTGTGAGAGAGAGAGAGAGTGTGAGTGAGAGAGAGTGTGAGTGAGTGAGTGAGTGAGTGAGTGTGAGAGAATGAGTGGGAGAGTGAGAGAGAGAGAGAGTGAGAGAGGGAGAGAGAGTGTGAGTGAGAGAGAGTGTGAGTGAGTGAGTGAGTGAGTGTGAGAGAATGAGTGGGAGAGAGAGTGTGAGAGAGGGAGAGAGAGTGTGAGTGAGAGAGAGTGTGAGTGAGTGAGTGAGTGAGTGAGTGAGAGAAGGAGTGGGAGAGAGAGAGAAAGTGAGTGAGAGAGAGAGTGGGAGAGAGGGAGTGAATGAGAGAAGGGGGGGAGTGAGAGTGATTGAGAGAGAGAGGGGGGGAGTGAGAGAGAGGGGCGGAGTGAGAGAGTGTGAATGAGAGGGGGAGTGAGAGAGAGGGAAATAGTGTGAGAGAGAGACGGAGAGAGTGAGAGAGAGGGTGAAAGAGAGAGAGGGTGAGAGTGTAAGAGAGTGTGAGAGAGGGTGAGAATGTGAGAGAGTGCGTATGTGTGTGAGAGTTTGTGTATGTGTGAGAGTGTATGTGTGTGAGAGTGTGTGTGTGTGAGAGTGTGTGTGTGTGAGAGTGTGTACGTGTGAGAGTGTGTACGTGTGAGAGTGAGAGTGATTTCAAGATCCTCATCCTCACCTACAAGGCCATTCACGGCCTCGCTCCCTCCTACCTCTCTGACCTACTATCCCCTTACCTACCCGCCTGTACCCTCCGTTCCTCTGGCTCCGGTCTGCTCCACGTCCCCCGCCCCAACCGCCCGACCATCGGTGGCCTTCAGCCTCTCAGCCCCGAGGCTCTGGAACTCTATCCCCCAGTGCCTTCGCCGCTTCCTCCCTTTCCTCCTTCAAGGCCGGTCTCAAAACCTTTCTCTTTGACCGAGCCTTCAGCTCCTCTCTCGACTCTCTTCCCCCTCCTCGCTCCCTCCCTTCCCTCCCTCACCCTGACCATTTCCCCCCTCCTTGCTCCTCCCTTCCCTCACCCTGACCATTTCCCCCTCCTCGCTCCCTCCCTTCCCTCCCCTCACCCTGACCATTTCCCCCAATGCTCGGGTCATGACCCAACTGTGCAGCGCCTCGGGACGTCCTCCTGACGTGAAAGGCGCTTTATAAATGGAATCTTGTTGTTGTTGTTGTATGTGTGAGAGGGTGTGTGTGTGAGAGTGTGTACGTGTGAGAGTGTGTATGTGTGAGAGGGTGTACGTGTGAGAGTGTGTACGTGTGAGAGTGTGTACGTGTGAGAGTGTGTACGTGTGAGAGTGTGTATGTGTGAGGGTGTGTGTGTGAGAGTGTGTGTGTGAGAGTGTGTGTGTGTGTGAGAGGGAGAGAGTGAGGGAGACAGGTGGTTGTGGGTGAGGTGGTGGTGGTGGTGGTGATGGTGAAGGCCACGTGTAGGCGGTGCGGAGAGCAGACTTGTTAGGGTTAACTCATTACAAACATGGCGGATGGGAAAACAAACCTCTTGATCAATATCATTGGGAACAAAGTTATATAAATCGAACATAAACATAGCATTTATCAGACAGTTTGAAGTCCAATGTTTACCACCTTCTGCCAATCATTAATCATTAATGATTAATCTGGTTTATAGCGCAGAATGATATGCTTCAATTATAGCATAACTCTTCAGTAGTACAAGTCTGTTGTGTAATCACATCTGTGCCATGACTCGTTCTACCTTCCCCCCATGTCTGCCATTCCCTTTCCCCTCAGGCCACCGAGAGCCTCATCCATGCGTTCATCGCCCCCACCCTCGCCTGTCTCCACTGGTTCCCTGTCCCCGAGAGGATTGAGTTTAAAATCCTCATCCTCACTTTTAAAGGCCTCCTCAGTCTTGCTCCTACATCTGCGACCGACTAAACTACTTACCAACCTTGCCTCTCGGGAGGCTCTGGCCTGCTCCATGTCCCTCACCTCCCTTGCCACCCACCCCCCCTGTTATCCATCCCTCTTGACTCCAGCCCACAGCTCGGTTGCAAACCGTTGACTGTCCAGCGCCTTGGGATTTCCTCCCGATGTGAAAGGCACTGTGTAAATGTCATTTGTTGTTGTTGTTGAACTGGGAGTGGGAGCCGAGTGGGACGGAATGGGGAGGGAAAAGATGACCAAAAGCGCTGTCAAAGAGGTACGTCTTGACATAATAATAATAATCCTTGCATTTGATACAGCGGCTTATCACGTCTTCGAGACGACTCAAAGGGTTTCACGGGACTGTATATTTGTGGGTGAAACACGGCAGCCAATTGGGTACAGCAGCGTCCCAAAAACAGCCGTGGATTGAATGACTAAATTATTGTTTTTTACTTGAGGGATTATTATCAGTCGTGTGGAGTAAGGAGACTTGCCCAAGGTTTCACCCTGCCAGGAATTGAACCCAAGTCTCTCACTCTCACGCGAGCGCTCTAACCACTGAGCTACAGGACTCCACAACAGTTGCTATAAGAGTGAAACTAAGTTGTTCATCAATTGCCTTAACTCCCATTGATAGTACTGCAGCAGTAATTGTTTTTGTTTCCATTCTTGTGACATCTCAGTCAAATTGCCTCTCAATGACAATTTTGTGACATAGGGTCACATTCAGAGGATACATTGGAAACATCTCAAACTGACTCTTACATTTAGCAGATAGAGGAGACTAAACTATTTTATCTGTTGGAATTGAACCAGATTGTGGGAGTGAAAGATATACTGTATGATCTCATTTACCTATCTGGACCTTATTATTATAACAGTTAACCTTTTGGCAATGTACTTCCTTATTTCTCATCCTTTATACTGCCCCCATTACACATGTGCAATTAGATTACACTTTTATCATCACCGTTTGCTGAGCTCTCACATGTGAGTGATCTGTTACAGGTTGATCTTTGAGCGAAGTTTAATGTGCACATGGATTGGGAATCCTGTCACAGTATTGCTTATCCAATCTCTGAAATCAAGAACAGAAATCTGAGATGGTCTCCCGTTAAATGATGTAAAAACATGCATCAAATGAAGGTAAAAGCCTATATTTTTTGTTCAGTTTATACAAGCAAATTTTAGTTGGTCCCATGTAAATTTTACATGAACCCATGTAAAAGTTCAACAAATATACGTTTAGCTTTCAGCCACATTGTCCCCAATCTCTGCAATTCTCTTCTGAAATTCTTTTGCTTTGTTCTGTACCTTGGGGGCAAGGAGGGTGACTGGTCGAAGAGGAGGTTCTTGAAAGGGATCTTGAAGGAGGCAAAGCAGGGGGCGAGGCGGAGGGACTGGCGGGATGGAGTTCCAGAGGGTGGGGGCAGAGTGGCTGAAGGCCTGCCCGCCAAAGGTGGGGCGAGCGAGGCAGGGGACGTGAAGCAGGCCGGAGCCCGCTGAGCGGAGGGAAGGGGCAGATTGCTAGGGGCTTAGAAGGCCGCAGAAATAGTGGGGAGCGAGACCATGGAGGGCTTTGAAGGTGAGGACCATGAAATTGAACACTGATCCTGGTCCTCACCTTCACTGCCTCCTCTCACACACACACATTTACTGATGAAGCCCACTGAGTAACAACAACACATGACATTTACACGGACCCTTTCACGTCGGGAGGATGTCCCAAGATGCTGGATAGTCAGGGATTTGGACCCGAGCTGGGGTTTGGGATCAGGAGGGGTGGAGGGCAGGGAAGGTGGGGATACAAGGGTGACCAAAGGGTGAGTAATGTGATCTTCTCTGATGGGTTAAACACTGTGTTCAACAACTTTCTACACGGTATCCTCTGTGTTCAAGAGGTTTTGGAATTTGATGCATTATATTACACAACCATGGCTTTCTTCCAAACAGCCATACAGGTTTACTGCATGACAAGATAAGTAATACTCATGTAAAATCAAATAATAAAACTTTATTTACTCTATTTATGAGATTAAGTACAAACTGCAAAAAACTAATTTCCTTAAAGTGACTCAGTCAGACATAAAGACTGAACGCCCTTCACTTTATAATTCTGAACTATCTCTCAGTTTAATGTTTAATGCACTTTCACTGATGATTTAGCACACAAATCTTCCCATACAAAGGTCAGTTACTCAATGAGGCTCAATGATATGGAAGAAAGCCAAAACTGTAAGCATTGTAGTGGTTCTGCTGGTGTCATCATTGAAGGTAGTTGCAGTTTACATGTGCCCTCGCCTGGTCTTCCCAACACCATCTACACCTACAAATGGACCAACATCTTAACGCTTATCATGAGATTCCAAATCAATACATCAATAACAGTAAACAATCCTTGCATTTGATATGCCCGTATCATGTATGGATTGTACTCAATTGTACTCATCAAAACATCTTTCTACAATGCAGAAAGGTATCCTAAGTAATTGGATATATGTTGTACGTTCTCTTAATGATAAACTCACTGGGTTGAGGTGAACCCTATATCGTTACCCACAGTAACGTGTATGTGGGTGTGTTGAGGGGTGGCGAGGCAGCAAAAATCACATTTATGGGGCTCCAACGCCTAAATATACTCAAGCATTTTACCTCCATTAAAGAGTTACTGTCATACTGTATGTTGCCGGAAATAAAATTAGATGAACAATACATTCCTCTGTATTGAATCACAGGGTAAGTGAACCAATCTGGCATGTCTGTTGCCACTGAAGTGGATGTATTTAGGCAGAAGAGATCAGACAATGAAAGGATCTGTTCAGGACATTTTCTTTAAGGTTATTTTACACATTGTGCTACTGTAGATCATACTGAACTGTACATGGCTTTAGGATTGTGTGAAAGGCAGAAAGGCATGGCTGGCTTCCACAACAACTTTATTGGAGTTATCTTTATCACACAATTGCTTCAATTTCTTGTCACATGATATATATAATACAAATTTCTAAAGCATCTTTCACATCGGGAGGACGTCCCAAGGTGCTGAACAGTCAGGGATTAGGACTCAAGCGGGAGGGGGCGGGGGTTGTTGGGATCAGGGAGGGTGGGGGGCAGAAAGGGCTGGGGGATGGCTGAAGGCACGGTCGAAGAGAAGGGTCTTGAGGCGTGCCTTGAAGGAGGCAAGGGAGGGAGTGAGGCAAAGGGAATGTGGGATATAGTTCCTGAGTGTGAAGGCCTGATCGCCAATGGTGGGGCGGGTTAGGCGGGCGACATGGAGCAGCCTGGAGCCTACTGAGCGGAAAGAGCAGACAGGTTGATAAGGGGTTAGCAGGTCGAAGAGGTAAGAGGGGGCACGGCCATGAGGTGAGGACGAGAATTTTGAACTCGATAGTGGAGCCAGGCGAGGGTGGGGGGTGATGGGGTACTCAGAGCCTGATGCGGGAGACCAAACGGGCTGCAGAGTTCTGGATGATCTGCAGCTTGTGGAGAGAAGAGTTGGGGAGGCCAACAAGCAGGACACTTGCATGGTCGAGCCTGGTTGTAATGATGGCTTGTATGAGGGTTTTGACGGCCTGAGGGGTGAGACAGTGATGGAGTCAGGCAATATTACGGAGGTGGGGAAAGGTAGAGTTGGTCATGGCATGGATGTGGGAGAGAAAGAACAGTTGAGGGTCGAACAAGACCCGCAGGTTCCTGACTGGCTTGGTGAGGTAGAGTGTACATCCCTGAATGTTGATGCTCCCAGTGCCTGAGGTGAAGAGGCTGATGGGAGCCAATCAGGGGAGCCTCGATCTTGCTGACATTCAACTGTAGAAAGTTAGCTCTCATCCAAGACTTGATGTCAGACAGTCTGTCAAGGCAGCATTAGTCCTGGAGTCAAGGATGAAGGCCGAGAGATAGATTTGGGTGTCATCTGCGCACATGTGGAAGTTGACCCCATGTCTGCAGATGATGTCACCAAGAGGGAGCCATATACAGGTGAGAGGAGAAGACCAAGAGCAGAGGCCTGAGGAACACCTCATAAGACAGTGTAGGGGCTGGAGAAGAAGCCATTTGTAGAGACAACGTGAAGCTGATGTGAGAGATAGGATCTGAACCATTCAAGGACATTCAAGAGGCGGTGGAGGATAAAGTGGTCCACAGTGTCAAAGGCAACAGAGCGGACGAGGAGACAGAGGGAGCCCTGGTCACAGATGGACATCGGTAATTAATGAGCAGGGATGGGTCCAGGGAAGGTTTTTTTAGGATAGGGGTGATGACAGCTGTTTTTTTAGGGCAGTAGGAATGGTGCCAGTTGACAGGGAGAGGTTGATGAGGTCTGAGAGAAAGGGGCGAGGAGGTGGAGCTGGGAGGTAAGGAGAGGGGTAGGGATGGGGGGAGGGAACAGCTGATGGGCTTCATGCGGGTTATAATAATAATCTCTCCAAAACAAAACAACAATAAATTGGTCATTTTCAATCCATGACTGTTTGTGGGACACACTGTACGCAATTGGCTGCCGCATTCGCCCACAAATATACAGTCAATTCACTTACAGTATATTCTGTGAAGCGCTTTGAGACGTTGAGAAGATGTGAAAAGCACTATATCAAATGCAAGGATTATTATTGTTGTTATTATAGTGGTGGTGAGAGAGGAAGGGGAGACAGGTTCGAACGTGTGGAGGGAGGGATGGGAAGGGGCCGGAGTGTGAGGGAGAGATGGGGAGGGGGTGGCGGTTGGGAGGGCGGAGGCAGCTGAATGGATCTCCTCAAATTTGGACAGCATCTCCTCACAGTTGGAGTTGGAGGAGAGGATGGGCGAGGCATGAGGGGATGGACAGAGGAGCTAGTTGGTATTGGAGAAGAGAAGCGTGGGGTTGTCCTCGGCCTCCAAGATTACCTTGGAAAGAAGAACAATATTATAGCATGACATTCAAAGTAATCTTTTACTAATGTTATTTATTTTCTAAACTACTTTTAGTGTTTTGAAATAGTGTTTTGAGATGTTTCCTGAAAATGATGGCTGTGCAAACAATGATAAAGTATGAAGGTGAAATGATACGTCTCAGTGATATAAAAACGCCGCGTAACTACCATAAAGCGGTTTAATCACTGTGCGCACTCGGCCGCCGCGTTTCACCCACAAACACACATTAAATTCACTGTATAGTGTATCCTGTGAAGCGCTTTGAGACGCCTCAAAGACGTGATCAGGTGCCGTATCAAATGCAAAGATTATTATTGTCGTGACACACTCGTGTATAGTCACACTCACCACCAGGGGCAGTGACACACACTCACCACCAGGGGCAGTGACACACACTCACCACCAGGGGCAGTGACACACACTCACCACCAGGGGCAGTGACACACACTCACCACCAGGGGCAGTGACACACACTCACCACCAGGGCAGTGACACACACTCACCACCAGGGGCAGTGACACACACTGGGCACCAGGGGGCAGTGACACACACTCACCACCAGGGGCAGTGACACACACTCACCACCAGGGGCAGTGACACACACTGGGCACCAGGGGCAGTGACACACACACACTCACCACCAGGGGCAGTGACACACACTCACCACCAGGGGCAGTGACACACACTCACCACCAGGGGCAGTGACACACACTGGGCACCAGGGGGCAGTGACACACACTCACCACCAGGGGCAGTGACACACACTCACCACCAGGGGCAGTGACACACACACACTCACCACCAGGGGCAGTGACACACACTCACCACCAGGGGCAGTGACACACACACACTCACCACCAGGGGCAGTGACACACACTGGGCACCAGGGGCAGTGACACACACTCACCACCAGGGGCAGTGACACACACTGGGCACCAGGGGCAGTGACACACACTCACCACCAGGGGCAGTGACACACACACACTCACCACCAGGGGCAGTGACACACACTCACCACCAGGGGCAGTGACACACACTCACCACCAGGGGCAGTGACACACACTGGGCACCAGGGGGCAGTGACACACACTCACCACCAGGGGCAGTGACACACACTCACCACCAGGGGCAGTGACACACACTCACCACCAGGGGGCAGTGACACACACTCACCACCAGGGGGCGGTGGCGGTGGCGGGGGGTGTGACGGGGCCGAGGCTGAGGCGGGCGCGGGGCTGAGGATGCAGAGCTGGAGCCGTCTGTACCGTCTCTTGGCCAAGGTCAGACCCCGGGGCCGCCCCTCCCCACCCCCCGGGGCCGCCCCTCCCCACCCCCCGGGGCCGCCCCTCCCCACCCCCCGGGGGCTCTGTGTGCTGTATCCCGAGGCCCCGGGTCTGTGCCGCCAACGCTGCTCCCCTCAAGCCGGGGCCTGGGGTAGCGTTGGGCCCCGACCATCCCCACCCCCTGGGGACCGGCCGGACCCGCTCCCACCCCGCGGCCCGGGGCCCGGGGCCGCCCTGACCTGTCCTGTCCTGACTGACTGACTGACCGGCGGCGGCCTCCCTCCCGGGAGCTGATGGCGCAGGTCCGGCCCCGAGCCTCGGCCTCCGCCTGGGAGAGGCCACTGTGAGGGTCACACACCCACACACACACCCACACACACACTGACACACACACTGACACACAGACACACACACTGACACACACACACACACACACAGACACACTGACACACACTGACACACACACACACACACACTGACACACACACACCCACACACACACACTGACACACACTGACACACACACACACACACACACAGACACACACACACACACTGACACACACACACACACAGACACACACACACACACAGACACACACACACACTGACACACACTGACACACACACACACACACACACAGACACACACACACACACTGACACACACACACACACAGACACACACACACACACTGACACACACACAGACACACACACACACACTGACACACACACTGACACACACACACACACAGACACACACACTGACACACACACACACTGACACACAGACACACACTGACACACACACCCACACACTGACACACACACACACTGACACACACCACACACACACACTGACACACACACTGACACACACACACACTGACACACACACACTGACACACACACACACACACACAGGGCTGGACCCACACACGTAGGGCCGGTCTCAGCCACTGACAGCCACAGGTCACATTGAGCAGTGGCTTTATGCCACTATTCATCTCTTGTTTTCTCATAAGATTATTTTATAGTTGTATTTAATTGTGGAGTGTAGCTCAGGGGTTAGAGCCTTCGCCTCACAAGCGATCCCCGGGCAGAGCACATTGTTGCGCAGGTTTCCTTACCCCACGCGCCTCTGATTACCGGCAGTCATTAGGAACCCGGTTGTTAGTCGATTGGCAGATCACTTTCTGGGGGTAATACAACAATTGGTCACTCAACCCACGAGTGTTTGTGGGGCACTGCTTGTTTACAGGGTTTAATATGATTGTTTTCTGGGATGTTTATGTGAAGTGTTTTCTTTATCCTGTAGAATGGCTATACTCGTCATCTTCGTCATAGACTACAAGGCCTACCTGCGGTGACACTGCGAACATATGCAGACCTGGCACCAGGTATATTACTCATTAAATAGTACAATGGTTCATGTACATAAAGGCTGATTTTGTCATTCAGTTTATTATCACTCCACATTTTAAAAACATTTTTATTAAACTTTCCCACTGTGTTCGAATGGGTTTCTGCAAATTTTTAACTTTCATACTTCTGGTGACGTATATCATTACCAACAATTTTATGCTCAGTTAAACATGATCAGTGTTCACAAAGGAAGGAAGGGATATTAAGCAATATTTACGGTAGGATGGCTGACTGACAGGATTGGGGGAGAGGTTTTATGTTGGTAAAGTGTTTCCTAGGTCTGAGTTTAACAAAAGGGCTGAATATTAACGGAAATCTGTGACATGAAGCTCTCCTTTTTGCATGGCATATTTACAGCTGTTAGCATCATGTTTTGTTGCTCTAATATATTCTCTCTGTGTTTGTTGATGTCAGTTGATGCAGATGTCACAGTTATTGGGTCGGGGCCGGGAGGCTATGTAGCTGCCATTAAGGCCGCACAGCTTGGATTTAAGGTAAGCAAAATGTTTAATGGTTAATAATGGTTTCTTTGTGTAACAGTGATTATAATCGCCTTATCAGGAATAAGCGGTGCTGCTCATGTTTTGAATGGTTTGATGGTAGAGGAAATTATTATATTATTATTATGAAATTAATAAGAGTAAATAGACCTTGTAACATCAGGTCGGCTTGTTTGAATACAGAATTAAACTATGGTTTCAAAATTTGATGATAGGTCAAAGACTGCTGATCTGTAATGATAGTCTTAAGATATCACTGGTCAAATCATTGGTGAGAGAGAGTAACTTCACAATTGAGTTAAAAGCAAAGAAAAACATTACAATAGTTCTAAGATGTGTTTTATGTATGCCTTGACTGACATGAACAGTTGGCTGACATGTAACTGTGTAACTTTGGGAAAGGCGTCAGTTGGATGAGTTGTTGGCATTCTCACCTCAAGGTCAGATATTTGTAGAATCATGCCCCACGCCAGGACTTGCCAGACACTAGTACAATCCTGGGAAAATGTTCTAAAGTCTCAACCAGGTTTACCATCGACCTCTCCCAAAGGACCTTAAACATCCTGTGTCACTTTGAAAGAGGATTTCTCAAGAGCTGGTTCTTAGCAGTGCTGCCCCACAAATGTTGGGTTTCACTAGTGCCATCGTGCTTGCCGATCACATCCATTCTGGAGAACAAGATTCCCACTAAATCACAGCCCGAACAATAGCCTACAGGGGCTAGCTGATGGATACAGAATTATAATTTTGGTGAATTGACGAACGTTTTGTTCTAAATAATTGTTTACTTATCCCAATATTTCTTTCCCACATATAAGTGTGGCAGAAAAGAATATCAACAACAATAATAATCCTTGCATTTGATATAGCGCCTTATCACGTCATTGCAACATCTCAAAGCGCTTCACAGGACATACTGTAAAGTGGAGTGACTGTATTTGTGGGTAAAATGTGGCAACCAATTGCGCACAGCGGTCAAACCCAAAACAGATTAGAAACAGAAATTGCCTTGTTCGGTTAAACACAGACTGATCTCAATGTCAAACCCTTTTTATAGTTTTGTTTGTGTATGTGACCTTTGCTTTTAACCTTGCAGACCATCTGTGTGGAAAAGAATGATACCCTAGGGGGAACCTGTTTAAATGTGGGTTGTATCCCATCCAAAGTGAGTACTTCATCTTCTGTCAAACAACCATCTGAATTCTACTTCTTTATTGTCTGAAATATTGCTATAGTATTTGTGCAAGTGGCTGAACTAAAGTTCAACTTGTAACTGATATATTTAATTAAAGCTGTGATTATATTTTAAGGCTTTGCTAAATAATTCCCACTTGTACCACATGGCACAAGGAAAGGACTTTGCCCTCAGAGGAATTGAAGGTAAGTGAATCTCCAAAGCTTTGAGATCTTCTCTCGTCATCTCCACCTTTCCCAGAAATAGTCTGACCTGATTAGTGAAGATAGTTTGTTTCAGTTGATTAAGAAGCAAGAAGAAAAAAACCTGTGAAATCCAATCCAAAATAGAACTACCAATTTTTATTTTCCATACGTTTTGGTTGTGTTCATTTTTTTATTATATCCCAATTAACCATGAAATATGATCATCCCGGATGGGATTTATTAGGCAGTATTGATACTCAGGATATATTAAAAACCTGGAGCTAACTCTATATGCAGCGTTGTGTTTTGTCAAGCAGGACAGAGCAGTTAGAGAACAGTTTATTGTAATCCAGGAGAATATAAAAATTCGCTGGCGAAAGAAGAACAAGATCCTGGCAGTCGCTTGACGTGTCGTTTCCCAAACTATATACTGTATCCTCAGATATCATGTTTGAGTGTTTGACAAATCTAGTAGATCGCTTTATATTTAATGTGTGGATTTCGAATACATATTTACTTTTTGATTGTAAAAGTATTTTTCTTTTGAAATGACTTGATTTTGTGCTAAAGTTACAGGATTGAATCTGAACCTGGGTAAGATGATGGAACAGAAGAGCAGTGCAGTGAAAGCCCTGACCGGGGGCATTGCTCACCTGTTTAAACAGAATAAGGTCGGTCTCTAGTACACGTTTATTTTATACATTCACATTGTCCAGACTGAGGTGGAGATGTTTGTCAGGTCAGGGTATTAAGGGATATGGGGCAAAAGCGGGTAATTGGAGTTGAGGTATAGATCAGCTGTGATCTTATAGAATGGCGGAACAGGCTCAAGGGGCTGAATGGCCTCCTCCTGTTCCTATGTCGTATTTTTCCAATTATTCTTTTAAAGCTAGTTTCCTGATCTGTATTGTGTTATCGTAGGTGACGCATGTTCAAGGACATGGCAAGATTACAGGGAAAAACCAGGTGACGGCTTTTTGCAGTGATGGCAGCATCCAGGTCATCAACTCCAAGAACATTCTTGTAGCCACAGGCTCCGAGGTCACACCGTTCCCTGGGATTGAGGTAAATCTGGGTAATGGGAATTGGGAAGAAATATTCTTCCCAGCAGTTTCTGTACCACCTCATTATCTTGTTCTTATCGTTTTCTCCCTCCTCTTGTAAAGTCTTTCAGTTTACATAGCTAATAATAATAATAACCCTTGCATTTGATATAGCGCCTTATCACATCTTTGAGACGTCTCAAAGCGCTTCACAGGATACACTGCAAAGCAAATTGACGTAACTGTCTGTCCAGCGCCTTGGGACGTTTGGGAGTGTTTGTGGAAAAGGAGCTTAACTGACATACATACAGTTTATTCTGTAGTCTTAGTGATTTGGAATATATATGAATTATGTCCCAATTAGCCATAAAATATGGTCAGTTTCTGTATTGTTACATTGTTTACAAATTAAATTAATATTGAATATTTTGACAGATTGATGAAGAAACTATTGTATCATCAACTGGTGCCCTGTCATTAAAGCAAGTTCCTGACCAGTTGATTGTCATTGGAGCTGGTGTTATTGGCGTAGAATTGGTAAGAAAGCTTCATCTGGGTATAGATAAGATCAAACCATTTTAAATGGTGCTAGAAGATATCCACACTGTTTAAGAATGATCAATGGAACCATTGGTAAAAATAGTTATTGACTAACATTTGATATTATATCTGTTGTCCTTCTTTCACTTTGCTTTAGCAAATGGGAGTTAGCATAATTAAGCCTGGACGCAGTGAAAGCCTGGCTGAGAGTCTCAGCGGCCTGAGGGAAGAGGTAGTGCTGGAGGTGGGAGAAGGCGGAGAGGGTCATGGCATGAACTGTGTTGATACCTTTTACTGACATCATTTGATATTGTATTCCTCAGGGCTCTGTGTGGCAACGTCTAGGATCATCAGTGACCGCTGTTGAATTCCTAGGACATGTTGGTGGCCTGGGTATCGACATGGAGATCTCAAAGAACTTTCAACGCATTCTCCAGAAACAAGGTCTGAAGTTCAAACTGAACACTAAAGTTACCGGAGCTGTGAGGAAACCTGATGGAAAGATAGATGTTTCGTAAGTGTGTGGCCAGCTCCTATCTGTGTTAATATGTATATTTGATGTCTTATGAATCTTTGCAAACGACAGTGATGGCTGTACGTTTTGTTTAGTATTGAGGCTGCGGCTGGAGGAAAGGCTGATGTGATGACTTGTGATGTGCTCTTGGTGTGTGTCGGCCGCCGGCCCTTCACTGAGAACCTGGGGCTGGAGGAGATCGGGATAGACCTGGATAAGAGAGGCCGGATACCCATCAACAACCGCTTCCAGTCCAAAATCCCAAGGTAAATCGTGGTTCTCCATTGCACAGAAATATTAAGTAACTAATTAGCTGCAGATGTCTTTCAATGGTTTGTGCATTCATAAAGCTGTTTATTATGTTTCTGTGTGTGTGAGTGTCTGTGTGTGAGTGTCTGTGTGTGTGTTTGTGTGTGTCCAGCGCTTTGGGACGTCCTCCCAGCGTTAGAGGCGCTCTATAAATGTAATTTTGTTGTGTGTGTAAACACGGCTTCTGGATTCATATCTCTCCTGTGGTAGCCACGTGAAACACGTTAACTGGGAAGGTTTTGTTTGATTTGTTCCAATTACAATGAGACAGAACAATATAAAAATGTATGGCACAGAAGAAGGCCATTTGGCCAATTCTCAAGCAATCCATTTACCTGCCCTTTCCCCACATCGCTGCAGCTGATTCTTTTGAAGGCATCTGTCTAGTTCCTTCTTTAAGACAATTGTTATTGCCTGAACTGCTGTTCCCAGCTGGGCATTCCATATCCTAACTACTCTGAGTAAAACAATTCTCCTAACCTCCCTGCTTGCTCATTTTATAACAATATTACATTGCTGGCCTTTGATTGATTGATTTGATGTGGATGTTTTGTATTGACAGCATCTTTGCCATTGGTGATGTGGTTGCTGGGCCAATGCTGGCTCACAAAGCTGAAGATGAGGGTATTATCTGTGTGGAGGGAATGGCCGGAGGAGCAGTACATATTGACTATAACTGTGTCCCGTCTGTTATCTACACTCACCCAGAGGTTGGCTGGGTTGGCAAAACTGAGGAACAGCTGAATGAGGAGGTATACATTCCATCAGATTTTACTCTTGACAGTGTTAGATACATAAAGGCACATTCCATTCTGTCTCCCAACAAACGACCAAAATCCCTGAAAATACCAGGCTGAAAATAAGTGACGAATTGTCAGTGTCACAAATCAATAAATATTCCTAAGTAGGTTTGTATTTTGCTGTAATATCTCAGGTGTAATGGTTCAATAGTGCTGTGTGAGGATGACTTCAATTTTTTTCAATACTGAAATATATATTGGATGAAGTAATAATAATTCTTGCATTTGATATAGTGTCATCACGTTTTCGAGAAGTCTGAAAGCTTCACAGAATATACTGTAAAGTGAATTGTGGGCAAAATGAAAATGTACATTAGTTTGCCAGTTAAAAGCTTCTGAGCAATGTAAACATTCCTTATTTCATATAACTTACATTTTCTGATGGAATGAGTTTTATTAAACCGGGACAGTTATTATCAATTTTGACTCTTTAGAAGTGCAGGTTTCAGCTCCAGATGGAATCAGTGATATTCACTTAAATAATTGCTGAACACTAACTTCATTGTTGTGCTTTTGAAGAACAAGTTAAACCAGATCTGTTTTACAACATCAGTGGAATATTGCCATTTTTTTCTTCTAGAAATATAAAGCTTTGTCTCCTCTGGGTTTTATTACATTGTATTGGACACTTTCCAAGTGGTTCCCTTCACATCAACTTTCATTCACAGAGTGTTCCGTACAAGATCGGCAAGTTTCCATTTGCTGCTAACAGCAGAGCTAAAACCAACAACGACACCGATGGCCTCGTAAAGATCCTCAGCCACAAAGAAACTGACCGAATTCTGGGAGCGCATATTCTTGGGCCAGTGAGTAGTGATGTGTTTAAAGTTGAATCAAATGCAAATTATGGGTCTTGTTCATTGTAATATGAGTTTCTTTATCTCAAGGGTGCTGGGGAGATGGTCAATGAAGCAACACTAGCGATGGAGTATGGTGCATCAAGTGAAGATGTAGCCAGAGTATGTCATGCCCACCCGGTAAGTCATCACAGAGTTTACTGGGAAGTGTAGTGACTGTATTCTGAATGTGAGCATATGTCAACAAAAGAGGTAAAACAGTGTAGATGACAAATTATTAAATGGAAGATTGAAAAGAGCATCGAAAAATTGTGTGAAATGCATTGTACAAATCTGATATTGTTACTGAACAGCAAATTTAATAAGCACGAAACCTTGTTAATTATTCCAAATAAGTAGGGAATATAGGCGCTCGCAATGTCTCCAGGTTTTCTATCTGTAAAAAAAGATTCAGCGCCGTTCTTTAGGTTCCTTCCAAGTATGTGTGTGTGTGTGTGTGAGAGAGAGAGGAACCATTAATAGATTGGATGATGCTCTGTAGACTGTCCGCACAGGACTACATATTTGCTGTTAATGTTTTTAGACTTGTTTTGCTCCCATTCCTAGAAAGTATTTACATTTTACACTGGGATGGGATAGTAACTTTGCTTTCATTCCTGTACCTTTTCCAGTCTGCAAGATTTGGGCAATACAGAATCGGATTTAATTGGTTTTATTTTCTCTTGTAGACGGTTTCCGAAGCCTTCAGAGAAGCAAACCTGGCAGCATCGTTTGGCAAAGCCATCAACTTCTAATCGGATGAACTGAATTTTGTACAGAAACTACGTATCTCAAATGAACAAATGGACTGTTAGCACTAACCTGAAAATTGAGCCTCAGGATTTGGGGAGAAAAGAAAGTGTCTAAGTGTTATAATAATCCTTCTGTTTATTTAATGCTGCTGCTTGTATGACTTATATCAAAGCAGTAATAAAACTGAGGGAATGATTAAGAGATCTCAGTTCCAATAAGAATTGCCAAAATGTTGATGACTCATATATATAGTCATCCAAATATTTCTGCTCTGATGAATTCCTGGGATATTAAGCTATAGTGTATTTAGACCCAAGTTGCTTCTCTTCATTCTAAAGTCGCTCCTCTTGATTAGAGATTTCTACCAATGTGTCTTCTTTTTTTCAATGTGTTTGGTTTTCTAAATCTGATAATTTGCGATGAGTTTAGCTGCTTTGTATCTGTGGGTTTGCTCACCGCCCTGAACGTGGGACAGTAATTACAATGACCAACGCTGACTCCAGGAGAGAGATCTTACGCTAATAACAACCCAAAGTAAACCACTCGTTGTTGGGTAGGAATTTCAATTGTCTATCTTTCATCTTTTGGTAAAACCTTCAAAGGCTCTTCCACGGAGCTCGAGAAAGCAAAGTAATGGTCTGGAAGTGATCTTTAAACTGAGTTTATTTGGGCACAATGTTCAGATACAGTTTAGCTGCTCTCAGAGTGAAATGGAAGGGAAGCGTAGACATCGCAGGGTCCGGGAAGGCCATTACGCTCCCTCCGTCCACACTCCACTCTCTCTCTCGTACTCTCCATTAAAGTTCCAAGTAACTGAAATTCCATTTTGAATTTGCTGATATTCGATGTTCCCGACACCTCCTCAACGGTCCATTGCACATCGTTCACCATTCTCTGGGAAATGGATCCGACCTGTGGTCCCCCCACGGCCGTCGCTCGGCTCCGCACCGCACAGCACCGCCATCACAGGTTCTGTTGGAGTTTTGCAGCAAAAACTATTTTGTGATTTCTGATTCATACAAATCTTTCCCAAACAGTCGGAAATTTGTTGTTAGTTATAAATCATCAAAATTTGTGATTTTAAACACATCAGATGCACAATAATTTGAAAGTGAGGCCCTGCGGTGATGTGGAGCGCTGCGGAACCCCCCGGACCAGGGCCGGACCCCTCCCGGACCCCTCCCGGACCCCTCCCGGACCCCTCCCAGAGACCTCCCGGACCCCTCCCGGACCCCTCCCGGACCCCTCCCGGACCCCTCCCGGAGACCTCCCGGACCCCTCCCGGACCCCTCCCGGACCCCTCCCGGACCCCTCCCGGACCCCTCCCGGAGGGGCTCTGCTCCCACATCCGGTGGGAAAACCGTCACCTTCTCGGGCGGAGCCCAAACCCATGACTCAGGGAAGTGATATGGCACCGAGTCATGTGGTCACACCGTCTCACTCACAGAATACACTGTCAAGTGTAGTGACTGTTTTTGGGGGTGAAACGCTCCCCTTATCCCCCCCATAGCCATTGAATCAAATGGCGGTGTGGGGGCTCCGGGCCTGGGGGGGGCGCTGTGGGGGTGAGGGGCTCCGGCCTGGGGGGGGCGCTGTGGGGGTGTGAGAGGGCTCCGGGCCTGGGGGGGGCGCTGTGGGTGTGAGGGGGCTCCGGGCCTGGGGGGGGCGCTGTGGGGTGTGGGTGTGAGGGGTCTCCGGGCCTGGGGGGGGCGCTGTGGGGGTGTGGGTGTGAGAGGGCTCCGGGCCTGGGGGGGCGCTGTGGGTGTGAGGGGGCTCCGGGCCTGGGGGGGGCGCTGTGGGGTGTGGGTGTGAGGGGGCTCCGGGCCTGGGGGGGGCGCTGTGGGGGTGTGGGTGTGAGGGGGCTCCGGGCCTGGGGGGGGCGCTGTGGGGGTGTGGCGACGGGAAGGGAAGATGGCGGTGAGCAGCGCGTGTGTGGACAGTGCGGTTTCCCGGTCCCGGGAACTGCTGAGCGCGGGAAACGGTACAGGTCAGTGACACAGAGAGATACACTCTCACACTCACACTCACTCACACTCACTAACACACTCTCACACTCTCTCACACTCACTAACACACACTCTCACACTCACTCACACTCACTAACACACTCACACTCACTAACACACACTCTCACACTCACTAACACACTCACTAACACACACTCACACACTCTCACACTCACTAACACACTCACTCTCTCACACTCACTAACACACACTCACACTCTCACACTCACTAACACACACTCACACACTCTCACACTCACTAACACACTCACTCTCTCACACTCACTAACACACACACTCTCACACTCACTAACACACACTCACACACTCTCACACTCACTAACACACACTCACACTCTCACACTCACTAACACACTCACTAACACACTCACTCTCACACTCACTAACACACTCACTCTCACACTCACTAACACACTCACTCTCACACTCACTAACACACTCACACACTCACTAACACACACTCACACTCTCACACTCACTAACACACACACACACTCTCACACTCACTAACACACACTCACTCACACACACTCACTAACACACTCACACTCACTAACACACACTCACACACTCACTAACACACTCACACTCACTAACACACACTCACTCACACACTCACACTCACTAACACACACTCACACTCACACTCACTAACACACTCTCACACTCACTCACTCACACTCACTCACACACTCTCACACTCACTAACACACTCTCACACTCACTAACACACTCACAGTCACACACTGGAGCTAAACACACACTCAGTGACACACACACACCCGGAGCTCAGAGCCTCAGCCCCACACGGCACTGACTGTCGGAGCGCAGTTCCTCCGCTCACACACCGGCCTTTCCTCTCTGTTTTCCTCCGTCACTGAGTGAACCGGAAGTGTACGGAACAGACGCGTTCGGGAGACAGACGGTGGGAGCGGAAAATGTTGTTTTGTTTCGAGAACAAACTGATTGATTTCTGCTCAGAAAATAATATCTGTGGATACAGTGAACGGTCTGGAACACGAGCTGTCAGGCGTTGGCCGGGACGGTGGAAGGTGCACCAGATGGACCTCAGTGGGTCCCGGACCTCTGGGCAGTGGCAGAGCACAGACTCTGCTGATACTTTGCTTTCTTCAAATACAGAGAAATAATATTCAAGGTCAGGTCTCTGGTATTATTGGCCGAGACTTTGCAATTGGGTGCGAGAAGTTTACCAGTGATCACTCGTGTGGGTTGTTAACCAGTCCATCCGTACCCTCCGCCTTTCTGATTGTGCTCAATCGCTCACTCCTCCATTCCACTGCTGATGAATGGAACTTCATCCACCACAACACTGTGCTCTGAGACTCTTTCCGACCCTCTTGCTTTTCTACCCATCTTCCTGACTTCAAAAGGTTCCTGAAAATCTCTCTCTCTCGCTTTGTGCACTGCCGCTGTTTAGCGCTACAAGACACTACCTTAAGAACAGTGCACAATATAAATGCAGGTTGTTGTTATTTCTGATCGCTTCGGGTAGAATATGAATGCAATTCATCTTAAATTTTAAATTGCAGTTGAAGTGTGACAAGTGCCACAATCTGTTTTCTGAGATCTTTGTTAGCTTTGACCACCTGTGGCAGGAAATAACCCCCCGGGGTGCCAGAGAATAAAAACAATTGATATTGTCACGTCAGGAGGACTCTCAAAAGTACTGCAACAAGAAAATAACCCCAAAATGTTGGTTAGAAATCTCAAAATTCTGATTTTCTTGCACCTGTCTATCATAGTGCTTATTAAGGACATCAAAATGCTGAACAAGATTTTTTTTAATCAACAGATTTCGAGAGAAAACTATTGATCAGTCCCAAACTGCTGAGCAAGAATGATCCCCCACAGATTGTAAAGGTGCCAAGAAGTAGTGGTGAGTGTCAGCTGGAGCACCGCTGGCTCCACGTCCCTGTCTGACGTTTGGTACACAGATCAGTTGTACAAATAATTCAGTATTTTTAAAACTGCTTCTCCAATCGCATGAACATAAATTATGCAGATTCCAATAATTTGCTAATGCATCGTATTTTGAGATGAATAGCTAGACTTGATTTATATATGTTTGAAGTGGAAATTCTTGGAAATAATTATGACTTGTTTAATGCACAGTGATGAGCAGACCTGTAGCTTAGTGGTTAGAGCAAGAGGACCTGCGTTTGATTCCCAAAGGGACGAAACCTTATAATAATAATATTATTAATTTTAATTAATTATTAATTAACCTTAGGCAAGTTTTCTTGCTGCACACACCTCTGTTTACTTAACAGTAAGTAGCAACCTGGTTGTTTGTTGGTTGGTGAATCGCTTTTCTGGGGGTAATAATTCCTTCAAAATAATAATAATTTGGTCACTCGATCCACGACTGTTTGTGTGACGCTGCTCTGCGCAATTGGCTGCCGCGTTTCACCCACAAATATACAGTCAATTTGCTTTAGTGTATCCTGTGAAGCGCTTTGAGACATCTTGAAGACATGATAAGGTGCAACATCAAATGCAAGGATTATTATGTGGATTACAAATGTTATAGTTATTTAACTGGAATGCACACAGACCAAGTTCTTCACCAGTGATTTACAGGGAGAATAAATGTATCAACCGCTCCATACAACCCAGCAAGGACAAGCATGAAGACCTGGGAGAATAAGATATTTAAATTAGCTATTTTCTTGTTTAGTGTTGGACAGACTGCAGAGTTTCCTGCCCCAGATGGCCAAGGCTAATGAAGACCTCAGGAAACAGATGGAGATGACGGATAGCAGTCAGTTTGATATTGAAAATGTAGAAGATTGTCCAGACAAGTTGATTGAAATGGTAAGATACAAATACAGTCAGACCCACAGACAGTGGGAACTTATTGTCTATACTTCGTAAAACTCACAACAGTCGTATCATTGGGGACCGAAGTGCAAGTTACAGGTAAACTATAATCATATAAAACCCGATTTAATCAGTGATCTACATTGCCCGGGTGTAATTCACTGCAGTCGCTGAGTGCACATGTGGTAACAACAAGATTCAACAACAACAACAAGATTCCATTTATAGAGCGCCTTTCACGTCGGGAGGACGTACCAAGGCGCTGCACAGTTGGGTCAGGACCCGAGCATTGGGGGGAAATGGTCAGGGTGAGGGGAGGGAAGGGAGGGAGCGAGGAGGGGGGAAGGGGTGAGGGGAGGGAAGGGAGGGAGCGAGGAGGGGGTGAGGGGAGGGAAGGGAGGGAGCGAGGAGGGGGGGAGGGGGTGAGGGAAGGGAAGGGAGGGAGCGAGGAGGGGGAAGAGAGTCAAGAGGGGAGCTGAAGGCTCGGTCAAAGAGAACAGGTAACGGGTCAACACCACATTTCCGGTGATTCAATAAGTCCTGACCCGTCACCGCACGGACAGTTACCACCAAGTGTGGCCCCGTATTCCCTTTGTTTATGCTACATTTGTGCTGATGCTCGTGTTTGTTCTGTACCATTTTCGGTTGACAATTTACCTGCTCCTCCTCTACAGAATGTCTCTGTGTTTGAAATGAGTGACTCTAATGAAAGCGGAGAAGAGATAGTAAACTCTGATGAGGACAGCTCGCAGTCTGAGGATGAAGCCTTCAGTGAGGTGACAGAAGCTAACCTCAAACTGCCCAAACCCCAAGGACAAAAGCGCAAAATAGAAATTATCTCAAGTAACAGCACAGAGTAACTCCCTCTGAACCAGCGGCTGCTTTTACAAGTTTATTTTTGATGACTGATTATTTTTATAAAGGAGATGGCAGTGCTGTACAGGAGGTGCTGTTTTTGTGTTCAATGAACAAAGTTTTCTTTGGAGAAGAGAAATAGATTACTCAGCAATCTGTTTCATACATAAAAGTTTTGTTGGATTTAGTGCCAGGAATACAGCCAGCCTACAATGAACATCTCTGCAAGTCTAACCCTGGGAATTCATTGGAGCAGCCAATGGGGTTAGAATTAGTAGCACATCGGCCACTCAAGTATGTGAACATATTGTCTTGTGGCTAATGTGATGGAATGGGAACTGGTTCAAGTGACTTGGCTATAAACCTCCCCTCCACATTCTAGGTCAGTAATGCTCTCTCAAGTAGCCAATCAGGATAGTTGAGCTCCAGGTGTAACAGATAATCTTATTACTGACATTTTCTCATTTCATTTGCGATCAACAAACATCCCAGCACCAGATCATGATGGCAATAGCTATTGCCATCCCTTCGCTAGAGTCAGATTTACATTCAGAAACGCAATCAACAGAAACTGTGCTGCAGCACCTTCAGCTTTTCTGAGCAGGACACTGAGGAGTGATGGGTGTGTATGTGCAGACAAACTGGGCTTATTAGGCAACAAATGAATGCAGATGTACTGAAAAGAATTAGGGCTTTAGAAGGTAGCACAAGAGGGAGCTGTTTAATCATTGGTTCCCAACAGAATTCCTCAACAGAACAGAATTTGCAGTCCATACTTAACCAAAGTCTATCCATCTGTGGTTGGTGCTGGGTGTAAATACATCCTGTGTGTACTTTAATTTACTGTATATCATTGTGGCAGAGAGATCTGCTACATGGCTGTAGTTTAATCTCGAGAAGTATTGATGTGATCAAGATACCAAGGGACCAAGACAAATGCTAGAGGTAACAAGTTCATCCCAGAACCAGGTTTCTCTGTGATACAGTGAAGTCTGATCTGTATAAATCGTATAATCGCCCGAATTGTACATCTGCCCGAGTCCCGTTGAATTTCCTATTACTAATAAGGTTGACATAACTGATAGTTTGAATACTTCATATTAAATGTATTGTCCCAACTGATACCACTTATGTGAGGTTTACTGGACATCAACAATGGAAACCTACTGTTTCAACAAGAATGTTCAAAGCATTGTTATGATTTTTTTTGACAAAACTATTTTCTTTGGTGTATCCTGACTGGGAGAAGAGTTGTCCCCACTGCATTGCTGTCCTGTGAGACAGTGAGAGAGAGGTTCCCACTGCACACCCAGTACACTCCACTTCTATTAGCTCAATTAGTAAAGCCAGTGTCTGGAGGGAAACTGAGCTAAATAGACCAGATTTCAGCTTTGATCTGTGCGCAGTTGCAGTAAATTGGATTAAAGAAAATTATATAAACTACAGAATACTGAGGATTCTTACAGAATGTCTTACATCACAAAGTGGGTTAAATATAGTAGGAAAATGGTTTCAAATCAGCTTTAATGCACAGCCAGGTTTTACTGTTACTCAATAAAAATTACATGTTAATGGATGCTGAAACTATGATTTTTTACATACACAATAAATAAGTTATGAAGGAGAAATTCTGAATACTTGTATAGAAGGCTATGACAACAATGGTCAGGCAAATGTTGATTGATGATGTTAATATAGTTCAGTCCAACGGAGCCATTGTTCAATTTTAATGTTATTCCTGATCATCAAAAGCCCAATATTCCCTTCCATTTAGCCATTCACATTGTTTTAAAAATAATTGATATTACTTTCTTTTATCACTAAAATTAGTTATTTGGTTTTGAGAAAGGTAAAGCAGCTTTTAGGATCGTATGTTCAAATGTGTTTGGCCCACAAAATACAAGGTCACTACACTTTACAGTATATTGTGTGAAGCGCTTTGAGACGTCTCGAAAACATGATAAGGCGCTATATCAAATGCAAGGATTATTATTAAATTGTTATCAGATTGTTTAACACTAGAGGCAGGTTTAATAATACAATTAGTGTACTTATTCAGGGTTTCATGCAGAAGCAATTCTCATGTAAATGAATAGCAAAGTGTTCTTGAATGTAAGTTCTTGTTTGAATCAGTAACACGTAACACATTTCAGAGACGTAACAATACTAGTGTCATATTATAGTCGATACGGAGTTGCCGAGCATACATACTGTACACAGCCATCCCATTATATCAGACAGACAGACGTACATCATTCCCAGAGCAGGCTTTACAATTTACAAAGAGGTACAAAATGTTTAAAATATTCTGACTTCAAGCTTGACGTCCATAGTGAAACTGCTATTGTTGGCATCTATACCCACTGTAAAGAGATCCAAACTAAGTGCACTTCATTTTGTTCATATACAAACCTAAACTGAACACTGGGTCATGGCACAAGTATTTTACATAACAGTGAAAGTAAAGCAAAATATGAAATGCAGTTTTCCTATTATTAATGCAACTAATATGATGGTTATAATTTAACATCACTAGTTCCAATATAGAGGAATTTAATACATACAGATTTAATAATAACATTATTATTCAAGGTATCTTTGATAATGAAAGAAAGCGTTGCATATTTTAAAATGTATTTTAAAAAGTCTACACTCAAAAGGGCCAACAGTCCAATTACAATTAAAATTAAGAAGTAAATATATATTTGAGGTCCATTTGATGAAACAAATCATCTAGGCACATAATGATGCGATGCATATGTAACTGCAGCAGTGATTTTTGCTTGTGTTTGAGGTGCTATCATTCAGGTAAGGTAAGATACCGGGTGCAGTAGCAGCAGATTTTGCTGGATGAAGATTTGGAGGGCATAGAACGAAGGGATTTCAGTTTGCTAACAGCAACACCCACTTGGAATAATTATTTAATATTCCACAGTTACAGTTTTTGTCCTGAGATATTCATGAAGAGCTTCCTCACCTAAAGAGAGAATGACAATTACAACATGTATTTAGTGATGGACGCCAGGGAAATCTCAATGCACACACAACTGACACATTTTACTGCATCCTATGTAAGAGACAATTCTTCATGCAATGTACGGAAATATGTGTACTTAAAAAATGTAACTTCATAATAGGGAGTTCCTCACTAACAAGGCTGTATAGAAGCTCTTACCCAGATCTTTACCAAATCCCGATTGTTTAAATCCTCCAAAAGGTGCGGCTACATCGGTTTTGTTGTAAGTGTTGATAAACACTGTTCCAGCGTCTAAACAGTCACTGACATACATGGCTTTGCCAATGTCCCGTGTGAAAACCCCTGAGGCCAAACCGAACTCTGTGTTGTTCGCTCGCTGCAACACCCCATCAACGTCTCTGCAAAGCAATAGGTTTGTAGTGATTTACATCTCATATTTCTCTAAATACTGTTCCTGAAATGAATTTACTGTATATTTTGTGGGCGAAACGTGGCCGCCAATTGTGCACAGCAGCGTCTCACAAACAGTCGTGGATTGAGTAACCAAATCAAATTTTTTTTGAGGGATTATTACTCCCGGAAAGCGATCCACCAATAGACTAATAATTCAGAAGTCAAAGTCCTTTAAATCCTTCAAATGTGAAAAAATTAAATCAGGTTCATAAATGTTAAACTTGAAACTTACCCATCTTTGAATTTCGAGACAACCATCACTGGTCCAAAAGATTCCTCTTTGGCGATATACATCTCATCTTCCACATTGGTTATCACTGTGGGCTCCATAAAGAAACCTTAAACAACCAGAAAAAGAAAAATTCTGTTTCTATTTCATAAAATGTTTTGTATGAAAACTAGAGATCTGGACACGTTTATCAGTGTGCTGAATAATACTATAATAATATACTGTGCTTTACAGAATAAACTGTAAAGTGAATTGACTGCATATTTTGTGGGAGAAATGCGGCAGCCAATTGCGCACAGCAGCGTCCCACAAACAGCCGTGGATTGAGTGATCAAATGATTATTATTTTTTCTAAGGGATTATTGCCCCTGGAAAAGCGATCCGCCAATCAACTAACCACCCAGTTCCTACTTACTGCTAGGTAAAAAGAGACGTGGAGTAAGGAAACTTGCCCAGCGTTTCGCCCTGCTGGGAATTGAACGCAGGTCCTCTCACTTGTGAGGCAAGTGCTCTAAACACTAAGCTACAGGACTCATGAGTCATGAGGAAATAAAATGTGCAGGATTTATTATCCAGTTTTTAAATATATGCAGTATATAGAAAATAAAAACTGCCATACCAGGTCTCGGTACTTTTTTCCCTCCATATATCAAAGTGGCTCCTTCTTTGACCCCAATCTCACAGTATTCCAGCAGCTTTTCCAGATGAGCGTTGTGGTTCTGGGGCCCGTGGTCTGTGGACCTGTCCAGAGGATCCCCTATCTTCATCTTCTTAATTTCCTCAACCTGCGTGTTCACACGGGGAATTACAACGGGAACAGGAGGAGGCCATTCAACCCTGAGAGCCTACTCCACCATTCTAGACAATCAAGGATGATATGCATCCCAATTCTATTTACCGCCCTTGCCCCATATCCCTTGAAAAACATCTATCCAAGTCAGTCTGGAAAATATGAATGGATCCAGCTGTAATCCACAGCCTTTTGGGGGAGAGAGAGTTCCAGATTTGGGGGAAGAAAGCTCCAGATTGGGTCAAGTTAAAGCCGTCTCTGACTTCTTTTACTGAGTGGCAGGATTCCCTGTCCTCAATGACCAAGGGCAGTGAGTCATCCCACTCAGCCCGTTAACCCTGCAGCCAAAGCCCTAATAGGTAGGGTGGTCCTAGCTGGACAAGCAGCGGGAAAGCTGGCTGAATATCAATGACAAGCTGTGTAGGTTTAGTTGGTTAGACTCCAGCAGTTACTCCAACGCGCACTCTGGGCTCCCCCCAAGCCTTGGCTCTTGCCAACCTACGCCTAATACTTTCCAGAATTAGGTAAGTAGGATGCGGAGAGAGAGAGTACATTCCATTCCAACAATCTCTCTCTGGGATTTCCATGCGTCGGGAGGTTTGTGGGGAATTCTCAGCTTGGTTTGGATTCTCTTAAGCAGTTGATGGATTTCCACGTGAGTCAGACCAAAAACTATTCTTACTTGTGTGGCTCCCCGTTTCCCAGTGACTTACAACTCTCCTGATAAACTCATCGTGAATTGATTCTTCAACAAACAGACGTCCAGCAGCAATGCAGTTCTCTCCCTTATTGAAGTACACCGCTCCCATGCCCTGTGCGGGTCACAGAGGTACAATTAATTGTGTGCATTTTTATGCTCGGACACCACCAATTGGGAACAATTGGTCTTCAGTCACAGCCATGCTCTTTGCAGTGAATTGACTATATTTTGCACCAGCCAATTGGGCAACAGCAGTTGTGAATTTGCTGAAGTCAGTTCACAAGGTTATATCACGTACATCAGTGAAGTGTCACCATGTGCATCAGTGAAATGCCGCACTCACAATAACCAGTTATTCGGTGCCTGAAGCAGTGATGGAAACCCAGAGCAGCCCCTGACCTGAGGCCAGTGACTGAAACACTTCAGGAAACACTTACCATTCTCACAGCCTTATCAAGGTCACAGTCACTGAAGATAATGAGAGGAGACTTTCCACCCAGCTCTAGTGAGACTTTTTTTAGATTACTCAGAGCACAGCTGTGAAAAGGTAATAAAGATAATGTCAAACTACAGTCCTGGCCGCTTATGTTTTTTTGAAGCCTTGTAAAATATACAGATATAAATAGTGTTCAGAAAGATCTGGACCAGCTGAGCACATGGGCTAAGTGAGGTGCGATAAAAGGATTGACGGATGGGCATCAACAAATAGGAGCGTGATTGAGGTCCCGGTACTGAACTCAGTTAAGAATCGTTTCATGTTCTAATGGGAACGTAGGGTTAGTGTTCTGAACGATAATAATGATAATAATCCTTGCATTTGATACAGCACCTTATCAGGTCATTGAGACGTCACAAAGCGCTTCACAGAATATACTGTAAAGTGAACTGTATTTTGTGAGCAAAACGCGGCAGCCAATTGCGCACAGCAGCGTCCGTCCCACAAACAGCCGTGGATTGGAGTGACTAAATTATTATTATTTTTGAAGGGGTTATTATCCCCAGAAAAGCGATTCGCCAATCAATCAACCACAATACAACAGAAAGAATGGTATAGGATTAGGCTAATGTATATGTCAGTGTATATCAGTGAAGGAGATTGGGTTATCAATAAGACGACCTTTTCATAATCTGTTTCCCAATGGGTGTGGATCCTGTGAAGCCCAATTTGCGAATATCGGGGTGTTCAGAAAGTCGCTGCCCGACAAGGCCACCTGGGTTTCAATGAGAAGAGTTATGAGATTATTAATGCTGATTAATAATAACTAGCATTCATACAGCACCTGTAAAATAAACATCACAAAAGAGAATTGACTAGAAATTAAAGTAAATGTTTCTATTTCTGGCCTTTATACTGATAGTACCTACAAACTGTCTGCAACGTCAAACCAACTGTGTGTTGTCTCTGGCCCTGAATGCAACAGTGATATTGTGACAGAGTAGAGAATACATGAGTCCATCTCAGTGTCACTTTGTGCCTCTACCTTCCCCAAATCATAATATAATCCTTGTACTTCACACAGCGCCTTATCACGTCACTGAGACGGCTCAAAGTGTTTCACAGGATATACTGTAAAGTAGTGACGGTGTATCTTAAATAAATTCAATGTGCAAAATGATAAATCAAAGTCAGGACACATGTCCTATCACTGACAAGCCAATGTTCTGTGTCACAGAACTGCTATCAGCTGTCCATCAGCCTCTCCATACACACCCTGCCCTCTTTGCCTCTGTTCTCACATTTTTCCCCACAAGTTACTGAGTTAAAGGCACAGAAGTACCTGAGCCAGGAAGAATGTTGACAACTCCTTTAGGGAAGCCAGCTTTAGCAGTTAGTTCTGCAAACTTCAGAGCAGTCAGAGGAGTGACCTGAAATGGAAAAAATAAATATTTGCAAACAATTCTTGATAAAACATCAATATTTAGAATCCAATTTGCACTGACTCGAGCTGCACAAATGTGCACAAACACTGTCACCCTGTAATAATAGCCCTTATGCTCCATATAGTACTTGATCATATTGCTGAGATGGCTCAAAGAGCTTCACAGAAACAACAAACAACACATGACATTTACACAGAACCTTTCACTCAGGAGGACGCCCCAAGGTGCTGGACAATCAGGGATTTCGACCCGAGCTGGAGGTTGGGATCAGGAGGGCGGAGGGAGGGGAGGGTGGGGGTAGGAGGGAGACCGAAGGTGAGGTCAAAGAGGTGGGTATTGAGACAGGCCTTGAAGGAGCAAGGGAGGTCAGGAGATCACACTGCACATCAGACACAGACCTAATAGCACTCTGCACCCTCTTCAGGGCCAATGTTACGAGTCTGTTGTCGTGGCTGAGTTACCTGTGCTGGCTTTAGTACCAGGGTGTTGCCCGCAGCAAGGCAGGCTGCACTCTTCCAGGCCAACATCATGAGTGGATAGTTCCATGGGATAACAATGGCACAGACCCTGAAACATAGCAGCAACTGATGGTCAGATAAACAGTTTTACTTAAATAATGTAAAATAAAAGATGTTTATTTACCAAAACTATTAACAAAGTAATGTCAGCTCTCACCCCAGAGGTTCCTTCTTGGTAAATGTTAAATTACGATTAGGGCGGGCTTGATTAATGGGGATTGTCGAACCCTAAAGGACATTAAAAGTTATTTAAATTCAGTTCAGGAACGAGAAGGTAAGAAGCAAGAAAAATATTTCAACGATGTGGAGAATAAAGTAACATTTTTTTCCCCACAAAAGTTTAAAGTTTCTAAACTGTCCGGCAAAGTGATACTACAAAATGGGAAGAATTTCATGTGTTATTATTGTTCTAAGAGCATTTTCCTGATGAAAATGTAAAGAAAAACTATTTAAATACAGGACTATAATATTTGCCAGAGAGCTTATTTCAAAGGGATTGATTGAGCACACATAATATTATTACCCAAATTTATGAATATATACCTTTAACTGGTTTAAGGATTTAAAGGAATTAGATTTTACAACAACAGAATATCTGTATTTTTGATTAAATTGACTAGATGTGCTACAGCGAGGAAGCTGTTGGGAGATGGCTAGATATATGAATTGTTAACAAAATGTTCTCAATAGCGCAATATCTGCCATTCTAATGAAGTACGTTTCTCCCAGCGATGGGAATGTACAATGGGGTGAAAGTTGCACTAACTAACAAACATGTTCATGTCTTACCTGAATCTTGTCGCACCATCCAGCAAAGTATCTGAATGTCTGAATAGACATTCCAACGTGTGTCTTCAGAGCCAGTGTGTACACAGCTCCTGAATCCATGGCCTCGATGGTAGCAAGTTCTTCCTCATGTTCCTCCATTAGGTCTGCCAGCCTACAATTACAATCACGTTACCAGCAGGGATAGGGGTGGGTGGGGGGGGGGCAGCAGCTATTAAACATTGCTTGCATTGTGTCATTTTTAATTGCACCTCAATATTGATTGGCAAACTACAATGCGTGCACATTTACAGCACCCGGTAAAGTCCGACTGACCAACTACTAAGTCCTAGTTTGTTAATATTTCCACGTTAGGACTTAGCTTCACCAAATACAATTATTAAACCAAGTAAACATTATTTGTAATTGTCAGTCTATTGAGTAATTATGATACACATTTAATTTATTAAACAAGTAATTCAATGAATAATCACCGCATAATAATTTTGGGCATTTAATAATAATCCTGGCATTTGATACAGCGCCTTATCAAGTCTTCGAGACGTCTCAAAGCGCTTAACAGAACATACTGTAAAGTGAAGTGACTGCATATATAGTGGATGTGAGTGAAATGTAGCAGCCAATTGCAGCGGTGCCCCATAAACAGTCATGGATTGAGTGACCAAATTATTATTTTAATTTATCATGAGGGTTTGTTAAAGCACTTACTTATACAGGAGTCTCCCTCTGTCTCTAGCGTTCATCCTTCCCCACTGGCCATTATCAAAGGCTTCTTTAGCTCCTGCTACAGCCTTGTCAACATCAGCTATAGACGAGAAGGCGACTTTGCAGATAACCTGCGAGAACAGATTGTGTTACCAGGGACTGGACATTAAGCAAATCATCAGGAATTTGCCAACCTGGTGGCTTTGTATCAATACTGAAATTAAGGGGTTCAATAATCATAAATATCACCAGCTGACCTAGGACATAATAATAATATAATAAAAATCGTTGCATTTGGTATAGCTCCTTATCACATAGAATACACTGTAAAGTCGATTGACTGTATATTTTGTGGGTGAAACACGGCAGCCAATTGCGCACAGCAGCGTCCCACAAACAGTCGTGGATTGAGCGACCAAATTATTATTATATTTATCTTGATTACCATGTTTCATTGAGTTACGTAGTTATGTAGGAGGACTGAAGGGCAAGGCTCGAAGGGCAGTGTTTATTCACTTTACAGTTCAGGATTACTGTTTTATTAAATATCCGTCACTTACTGAGCCGTCTGTGGGGTTGATGGTGCTGTAGGTTTTCCCATCGTTGGCGTCTTCAAACTTGCCGTTGATGAAGCATTGGTGGGGCATCTTCACAGTCATATTGTTTACCTCCATCGTAGCCTGAGGGCAGTGATAGTAAACAGACATTATTATTAAGATAATAATATCAGAATTTTTATTGACCGGCAACAGCTTTTGAAAAATTGTAGTCTGCAAACTATAAATTATCAATAAACCAAACAAATCTGGAAACTTGTTATTTGGAAAAATAATAATAATCCTTGCAATTGATTTAGTGCCTTATCATGTTTTTGAGACGTTTTACAGAAGTGCTTCACAGGATATACTGTAAAGTGTAGTGACTGTATATTTTTTGGCTGAAATGATAAAGAAGCTGAATTATTTTAAATGATTCAATTGTTGTTGTGTAAAATCCTTTTCTGAATCTGTCATTTTGAAATGTCCTAAATCTAGACCCATGCAGCAGACAAACAAGTCCATTACACTCCCATTGTGAAACCTCTGGCTTGATATCTGTGTCCCGTTAACATGTTGTGTATCAGACTCGAGGACACAGGACAGATATTAAACCACTTATTATATTTCCGTACTTACATAATCTACCACCAACTCTTCCTCTCCATCTTCTCCTCTCAGCTTTCTAACAAACATCTGGATGAATTCCTCAAACTTGGTGGCCATGTAGACATCTTCATTTTGCAGCTGGAATCCATTGCACTTCTGTTTGATTTCTTCAACCAACCTAACCATGAAGAGATGCATCTAAATAACAGTGAGATCATTGTGTCCCCAGCCCACAGGAAACTCTTATACATAAACACTATTGTGATCCAACAGGGTCTTCACATAGTGATCGAGATTCATCCAGGACTCTATACCATGTCTCTAGTCACAATCTCTCCATCCCTAATTCACTGGGGGACGGGAGATGTCAGATTGTAGAAGAGGTTTATTGTGGCCTTGGTGTGGGAGATTGCTGAGTATTTCACAATGAGGGGAAGTGGGTGCATTTCTATGTTGAACTGGATATGAAAATTCAGTCACATTGCACATAGGAATCTGACAGACTAAATCAGAATAACTATTGCTAGTGACTTGTGATCAGTCTGACTGGATTCAAACCGAGACCCGAGATTCGCTGTAAAACTTACTCATGTATCATCTGTGTCCCCAACACTAAGACTCTACCGAGTCAACGTAAATACAAGATGATGTTGCTGTTGTTGTTCCCTCATTGCACAAAGTGCCACTTACAGAGTTTCCAAAGTCAATCTGAACATGTTATTAACATGAGTGAAAAGCCCACAAGTTACACAGTAGATAGTGTAGATAAGGGATTGTTTCCAGTTTGTATCTATTACGTTACCTGACAACATCCATAGACGCGGCTCCAGACTTAAAGAAATCTGTGGAATCCTCAATGGTGTCGACAGTGCTCAAAATTCCTTTCCAAATGGCCTGAAACACAATGTGGGGATAGAGAGCTGTTGGTTTATATCCCTTGTTCTTCAATTACACATAAGAGAACTGATCCCACCTTAGCCTGATACCTTTTACTTTACTACTTACTATGTCTTACCACAAAGATTGTAATAAAATACAAAGAATATTGTTAGTGATTCCAGTATTTTTTTTGAACTGATTATTACCCCCAGAAAAGCGATCTGTCAATTGACTAACAACCATGTTCCTTCTTACTGCTGGTAAACAGAGGCGTGTGGAGTAAGGAAACTTGCCCAATGTTTCGCCCTGCCCGGGAATCGAACCCAGGCGAGGTGAGGGCTCTAACCACTGAGCTACAGGACTATACATACCTTGGATAGGAAATCAGAGAATGTTTTCTGCAGGTCTCCATTATCAAAAAGGAGGCGATTGATTGGCTCCGAATGGCTTTCTTAATCCCAACAATCACTCTCACAATCTTACCTTGATAGTCTCTGCTATCTTCTTCTCTTCTTCAGTCAGTTCCACAGCAGCAGTGTCACCAGAAGAGAAGTATTTTGAGGCAGAAATCATTTTGCCATCCTCGAACTGAAGGTTTCTCACTATCAACTGTAAAACATTAACACTATCCCATCATTGAGAAAGGAAACCAATGATCAGTTCTGCTAAATGAAAAGGATAATATAAACGCGCAAAACTAATTGAATGTAGTTTTGTTATTGTGTAAATAAGCTTTTCTTTTAAAAGGATAATTTTGACAAAATATAGAATACCACTCTGACCTGCTACTCCCCAACCCACTACCTCCGCTCGACTGGCTCTGGCCTCCTCTTATCCCTCATGCCCTCCATTCCACCATCGGTGGTCCTGAAACTCTGGAACTCTCTCCCTCTATCCCTCCGCCTGGCCCCCTCCTTCCCCAGCTTCAGGTCGCGCGTGAAGACGTTCGTCTTCGACCGTGGCTACGGTCACCTCCCCCTCCCTCCGGCTCGGAGTCATTCTCCACCCCTGTCAAATGGCAGCCAATTGCGCACAGTGACCCACAAGCTGTCGTGGATTGAGTGACTTTTTTTTAAGGGATTATTACCCCCGGAAAAGTAATCTGTCAATCGACTAACAACCAGGTTCTTACTTACTGCTGGTGAACAGAGGTGTGTGGAGTAAGGAAACTTGCCCAACGTTTCGCCCTGCCCGGGAATCCAACCCAGATCCTCTCACTTAGCAGGAAACATCATCATTTAAACATTATAATGTAACTTTTGATTAATTAGTCAATGAGCCCAATTTCCAGAGCTTTGGAATAATGTAATAGTTTCTTACCATCTTCCCATCGTTGCCAAACAGCACCAACCCATTGCTGGTCACTACACCAGGTTGGCTACAGCCACTGATCTGCAACGCCTGACCAGAAGGAACTGCACCTTTATACAAGGCTGAGCCGTACATAGTCACCGCCTAATACGTGAGGACACAAACACAGTAAACATGTTAGTGAGATACTGAGAAACTGCATCGCTTCACTAAGTAAAATACAGTTGGATGACTTTAGGATGTAGAGGAACACAGCAGTGATGAGTCTTTGCCAAGTTTGTTCTGCAGATACAGTGTAATAGCCTCAGTTATCTCCTCGGCATTTACATGTAAGAATTTCACACTTTATATTGTAAGATCTATAACATCTGATGTTGAACAGGGACGGCTATACCTATTGGCTACAGTGTGTGATACACACAATTACTGTGGGCCTCATGTCATCAGACGACTGTCATTATCAGCTGCTGTGAGCTGTGTGTGTGCTGTGTGTGAGCTGTGTGTGTGCTGTGTGTGTGCTGTGTGATATGTGTGAGCTGTGTGTGTGCTGTGTGTGTGCTGTGTGTGTGCTGTGTGTAAGCTGTGTGTAAGCTGTGTGTGAGCTGTGTGTGTGAGCTGTGTGTGAGCTGTGTGTGTGCTGTGTGTGAGCTGTGTGTTGTATGCTGTATCTGCTGTGTGTGTGCGTGCTGTGTGTGTGTCGTGTATGTGCTATGTGCTGTGTGTGTGCAGCCCAGTGACTAGCCCGGGGACTAGCCCGGTGACTAGCCCGGGGACTAGCCCGGGGACTAGCCCAGTGACTAGCCCGGGGACTAGCCCGGTGACTAGCCCGGGGACTAGCCCGGTGACTAGCCCGGGGACTAGCCCGGTGACTAGCCCGGGGACTAGCCGTGCTCATGCTCAGTGAATGGGAGCCACACGACATCAGTGCTTTACATGAATCAGCCCTGTGGAGGACTGGGCTGTGATGGCAGAGCTGTGTTTAACACATAAGCAATGCAAATAAATTGGCTTATTTTTGAAGGATGTCATTCCTGCATATTTTCCGGTTCAAATTCAAATTCAAACAAGCAAAATATTTCAAAATACTTTATGTTTGTGAATATTTTCAGAATACCTGGCCATCGATGAGCGTCCAGGCTCCAGGAACCTTGTCGTGTCCACGGATCCAATTGTGGAGAGTTTCTGCCGTCTGATCCCAGGAGATCTGAACAAAGAGCAGTTTATATCTTTGGTAAGATAATAGTAATCCCTGCATTTGATATAGTGCCTTATCACGTCTGTGAGATGTCTCAAAGCGCTTCACAGGATATAATGTAAAGTGTAGTGACTGTGTATTTTGTGGGTGAAACACAGCAGCCAATTGCACACAGCAGCGTCCCACAAACAGCCGTGGGTTGAGTGACCAAATTATTTTATGTTTGAGGGATTATCACCCCAGGAAAGCGATCCACCAATTGACTAACAACCAGGTTCCCTACTTACTACTAGGTCCTGTAGCTCAGTGGTTAGAGCACTCGCTTTGCAAGCGAGAGACCTGGGTTCAATTCCAGGCAGAGGGCGAAACCTTGGGCAAGTTTCCTTTCTCCACACAGAGCCTAATAATAATTCCTCCAAAACAAAGCAATAATAAATTGGTCATTTTCAATCCATGACTGTTTGTGGGACATTGCTGTGTGCAATTGGCTGCCGCGTTCGCCCACAAATATACAGTCAATTCACTTTACAGTCTATTCTGTGAAGCACTTTGAGACGTCGAGAAGACGTGAAAAGCGCTATATCAAATGCAATGATTATTATTAGGTATAATAGCACCTACTGATTCTTGCAAAAAACTTGTAGGTTGTCTCAGTAACACTGGGAATCCAACTAGATTTGACTCTTACTGCCAAGGTGGCCCATAAATACTGAGGTTAATTGTACGTGGCTGGGATATGGAATGCTCTGCCAGGAGAGGTGGTGGAGACACAATCCATATACACTTTCAAAAGGGAACTCGACAGATTTCTAACAAGAAGTAAACTACAGTGGTGTGGGGACAAAGCAGAGAAACAGGACTTGTGGGATTGTTGTCTAAAAGCCATGATGGGCCGAATGGCCTGTTTCTGTGCTGTACATTTCTCCTGTTCTACTGAAGGAGTTTATCCTTAAATTTACTATGTTTAACTGTAAGAACATTTCCATTTTCCATTCCTGCCGACGGCAGATAACAAACTACACAGTGGCACCATCTTAATTAGCGTGAGGTTAGCACAAACCATTCACGTTATAGCTAACATTGAAATATATTATCTGGGTTTGTTATCAATGTATTCTTATCCACATTGTATAATTTCTAACCTTCTCTAAGCGATCTCAAAGGGCACACTCAGCTTGTTATAGAATGATTCCATATTAAGAATGGTTTAAATTAGACTTTAAATACACAGACCATAAGACATTTAGTAATGTCTCTGAAATAATCAATCAACTAATAAAAGTACAGTAGTATCCTTGTCAGTATCTAGTGTAGAAAAAGCTGCAGTGATAATTATTGAGAGAGCGGCGAGCGAGCAGGGAATGTAATTTAAGGAGAACATCAGTGCTGGGAAGGACATATTGAACTCCAGTTGTTGTCTTCAATCAGAAAGACGAGCTTATACCACTGATGTAACCTGTCCATGTTTCCATGTCAAACCATCTTATTTATACAAGTCATTGGCACAACCCACTCTGGGCTCCTAAGAACATGTTAAACTGATATTAACAGTGACACCTCTAAATGGTCTGATATTGGACTTTGATGTGGAGTTCTGTAGCTCAGTGGTTAGAGCACTCGCTTTGCAAGTGAGAGACCTGAGTTCAATTCCAGGCAGAGGGCCAAACCTTGGGCAAGTTTCCTTACTCCACACAGAGCCTAATAATAAACCTAATAAGCCTAATCCAAAACCAAAAACAATAATAAATTGGTCATTTTCAATCTACGACTGTTTGTGGGACATTGCTGTGCGCAATTGGCTGCCGCGTTCGCCCACAAATATACAGTCAATTCACTTTACAGTGTGTTCTGTGAAGCGCTTTGGGACGTCCTCCCGACGTGAAAAGCGCTATATCAAATGCAAGGATTAATATTATTATATTAACAGTGAACCTCTGTATAGTTGGATATTAACAGTGACACCTCTATACCTCGAGTAAAGCCAGGGTTTAGTTGATGGGAAGGGAAGTCACAATGTGGATGGGCTGCGAGTCCACAGTAGCTTAATGTCACCTTAACATTAAGAACTTTCAAACTATTCGGCTGATTTGGAACATTTCCTGTGAAAGTCCTGCTGTTACTGACACCCTCATGTTATGATGGCTGAGGTAGAGATAACTAAAGTAAATAAACTCAAGGAGCATTTTGAACCGTAAATGACTTAATGTTTGAAGCTTTCCTATTGCTAATAGCAGCTCAGACAAAGTGACTGCACTGAAGCTCTTAATACAGATGGAACCGTTCCCTGCAGCACATTCACTAAACTAAATGCACACATTTCCCATTTATAGTTATTATTCTGCTTCTAGCCAGATGCTTCCACAATTCCCCTCATGGAATTCAACATAAGAGTCCAACATTTGTCTAAACGAGAAAACAACCTCAACAACTGTATATTTTCTTGGGGGAAACTTGTGTTGAAGTATCACATAGACATGTCTGTGCCTTTGAAAAAAGGTAAAACAAACTGACCTTCAATGTTTGTTCAGAAGTTGTTTTGAAAATGCAATGCAAATATTGTCCCAGATTTGGACTGTAAACCAGTACTGGGATTTCTGAGGTGACTGACTTCTGAGGTAACCCCTGACACAGCAACTTTATATCTCATAAACATGGTATAGCTCCCAGAGACTAGTCTAGGTGAAGGCACTGACCATGTCAGTTGTTGCTGATGTTGTACAGTACAGAAAGATGATCTCTCTCTTTCTTATACATGTATATTAAATGGAAACATTTATTTCCTAAAGTATAAATCCTGTGTTTATTCACAAACCACACGATGATTTAATCCAGAGATTTATTCCCGTTATTATTGTAAAATATTATAGCTTTATAAAAAATATATTTTATATTATATAAAGAGATAATATTTGAATCTATATTTAAATTATATTTTTTGTAAAGGTAGACATATTTTAAAGCTAGAATATTTGTCCTTCGTTCAAATTTGCTTACTTGATAAAAATTATATTTTTATAAATATTTCACCATCTCTTGAGGATGTTTCGACTGTATGTTGAAACATTACTTTGAACCTCATATAGGGTGCGGTAACATTTGAACTATCTGGAAGTTTATGTGTAAAAAGAGATTTAGTTTGGCTCCATTGGTAAACCTTTAGCCTCAGAATTGTATGGATTTAAGGACTTAAGCTGGTTATATGAGCTTCCACCCCAGTCTGGTCTTGTTTATAAATCCTGTCCTTCTGGGTGAGAACTTATTTTGAGATCTCGGCTGCTTCAGATAGACATTAAGGCTCCCATTCATAGAATAATAATAGTAATAATCCTGGCATTTGATACAGTGCCTTATTATGTAGTTGAGGCATCTCAAAGATACATCTCAGGATACATTGTAAAGTGAATTAACTGTGTATTTTATGGCGAAAATATGATAGCCAACCGCAAACAAGGGGGGAGTTTTCACAAGGTCCTGGACAATATTTGGCCCTCATTTAAATCCCCAAATACCCAAGAGATTTACTGATAATTTATCATTTATCTTACTGAGGTGTTTGGGAAGGCGTTGAAACAGATTTGTCGTTATTTTGGGCTTTGTACAAAGAGTCATTATATTTCAAAATAATTTTTGTGAAGTGCTTAAAGGTGTTTAATTCTGATCAGATAATATACTGATCAACAGAGAAGGGACGGAGAGGAATGAACAGATAATAGTAATAGTAATCCTTGCATTTGTTATAGCGTTATTCACTTCTTTTCGACGTCTCAAAGCGCTTCCCCTGGATGTTCAAGGCTGTAAGCAATGAGGAATGCTTTGCAAAACTGAAGTTATTTCCATCAACGAGACGATTAAGGATGGAAATGAACCAGGTGTCAAAACGGCTGATATAATAATGACGTAAACAGATTAATTCCTCTGGACTGGCAAAACCAAACGTTTAAAGTTAACAAACCTTAAGTCAGTCTAGAGATTAGAAGATTTTTTTCCCACAGAAAGGTGGATATCTGTAGTACACGAGAACTAGAAGCTGTTGAGGTGACAATTAATTCCTTCAGAAAAGGATTGGATAAATATCTGCTCGGGAAGGGCCTTGAGATTGCCAGCCTCGGGAATAGGAACACGTGAGGAAATCAAATACTCAGCAACACATGATGTTTCTGTCACTAACACTGAAGCTCAGCTGCAAACTTCACCATGTGTTAGTGGGTGAGCTCACAACCCCTGATCCCACTAAATAATAATAGCGAGCTCACAGCCCCGATTCCACTAAATAAATACATACATAAACTGCAGAAAAGAACTATATAACATTCACTCGGCTTCAACGTATCACCTTTTGTGAAGCTAATTAGACATTTTGAAATGTTTGGATGTGTAAAGTGCTGCATTACGTTATTTGCGGTGTACGGTATACATTTAGTACAGTGTAGAGCTGAACCTTATTATGGGACATGAAGGTGTTTGGTTGGTTAAGGAGCTGGAGAGACTATAAATACATAATAACCTTTGCATTCTCCTTCTTCTGGATCCCTTCATATGTGGCACCTTCTGGCTGGATAATCCTCGGTGCTTTCTCATCGGCAATTAGCTGCACAGCCTCCACCTGAAATCAAGGCATGAAGTCACACACTGGCTTTGTTCTAAGAATCACAGAAGTTATGACATAAACCAACTAAACACTTACAGTCGGGATCATGAATGAATGAATTTAAACTAAGAACATTAATAAACAAGTACCATACAACAGAAGGTCCAACAAATACAGATTACAAAATGGTCTATTCTTCCCTTTGTACAGTGCTATACGGTGTAAATGTATATGTCCCCACATTATAACCCTTTTACCCTATAGCAAATACCTGTAACTGTTCATCAACCATTCCTTCTCTAACCATGAAGCTTTCTACTCACAAGTGTAAAGAGGAACCAAACTAAAGGCCAGAAATCATGTCTCCTCAGGTAAGAACTACACTGGAGGATGACCATGTTTGCAGTTTCGAAATAAAATAGCATTTCTGTAAATCAAAGTTATTTTTAAATTAAAAACATTGTGTGTTATGGTTAAAATGATGCTTACCATTGCTTGAATCCCTTCAGGAAAGAGGAAACGATTATAGAGTGTATCGACTGTGTCATTGGGATCTATGTCACACTCTCTCTGCAGAAGTACAGGCCCTGTATCCAATCCATCATCTGCCCAGAAGACAGAGAAACCTCCCTTTTTATCCCCATGAATCAAAGTCCTGCAGACAGACAAACAGCCAGTGGTTAAGAGTTTATTATCTAGTCACAAACTTCATTGTGCAGCTATTATTTGTACTGTCGTGTTAATTGTAGCACACTGAATATAGTGTTTGCGCAATGACAATGACTTACCTCTTTACAATCAAAAATCACAATGTGGCAGGACTTAGATAAGTGCACATACATTTTTTATCATCATAACAATAATCCTCGCATTTGGTGAAACGCCTTTCACGTCTTGCAATGGAATGAATGAGCAATTTTATTTGGGGGGATGGTTGGGTTATAAAACTGGTCAATTTACACGTTTCTTCCCCCTCACCCCAGTAATTGCAGAAACGATTTAGAAATACATATAAATATTTAAATAACAAGTTAAATAACATAATATAATATCCTTGGGGAGGAGGGGAGAAAGTATTTTGTCTTATACAGACATAATTATAATCATGTGATTCTGATTTCATTATAGAATTATTTTAGGTAAATAATAAAAATTCAAAAATACCTGAATTCTTTATAGCGCATACAAATAGAACATGCCTTTCATGAACATTACATAACATTTAGTGTTTTATTGTTAAAAGTAAAATAACAATTTATCTTTTTTCTTTTCAGGATTTTCTGTTTGGATTGAGGAGACTTTCTACAGTAATTATTAAGAAAAAGGGAAATCTTCTCTGAGAATAGCAATGTAAAGTGTCAGATATGACTACTTGCTGATCGTATCTGGGTCTGTCCGTTAGTTAAGTTTGTGTTGGACTAGGCTTCTGCTGCCACTGATTGCTGCTTGTGTATATTGACCTGATGTTGTGGAGTCCTGTAGCTCTAGAGCACTCGTTTTGCAAGCGAGAGACCTGGGTTCAATCCCTGGCAGGGAAACCTTGGGCAAGTTTCCTTACTCCACACAGAGCCTAATAATAATCCCTCCAAAACAAAACAATAATAAATTGGTCATTTTCAATCTACGACTGTTTGTGGGACATTGCTGTGCGCAATCGGCTGCCGCGTTCGCCCACAAATATACGGTCAATTCACTTTACAGTCTATTCTGTGAAGCGCTTTGAGATATCGAGAAGACGTGAAAAGCGCTATATCAAATGCCAGGATTATTATTATTATTATTATGTGAAAGTCCAAAATCAAACGCCTTTATTAGTATTAGATTATATTCGCTATGTGAAGCAATTTGAGACTTTCTCCTGGCAGGAAGTGTGCTGTATAAACATAATTGTTTATTGTTGCAGAAAGTCATAAAGTTAGCAATGACATTCTGTATGTTGTAACCGTCCGAGGCCAATCCACTTTCTATGTTGCAAGTCAATATTTACAATGAGGAAATCCTATGGTGAATATATTCCTCCAAACAACAGAGACGAGATGTTTAATAGGAAATGTGCAAACATCCCATGTAGATGTAAAATGAGAATGGTAAATATTGTGGAGGAAACAATACATCCAGACAGAAGTGATTAAAAATAAACAATTTAATCAAAAATATATAAATATATATATATAACATTTCATAAGGATTTCTTCAACATTGAAACAAAATATAAATAACAGCACATAATCCTTACATTTGCTGATATAGTACTATGGAGTATCCTTAACATTCACCCACAAAATACATTCACTACACTTTACAGTAAATCCTGTCAAGTGCTTTGAGATGTCCTTCTCAATGTGAAAGGCTCTATATCAAATGCAAGGATTATTAATTATTATTATACATGTCTACAAATAAGTTCCCAGGGAAGGGCTGTCAAGTGTAGTTACTGTGTATTCGTAGACAAACACGGCAGTCAGTTTGCACACAACAATACCAACTTGAGCTTATGCAGCACCCTCCACGCAGTGTAGCGTCTCAGAGCGCTTGATGTCCACACAGCAATGGCCCACAAACAATCATTAAAGCGATTGACCAGGACCGTGTTCAATAGTTCCAAGACGACATTTCATAATAATGATAATTCTTGCATTTGATATAACTTCTTATCACATTGTTGAGACGTCTCAAAGTGCTTAACAGAATATACTGTAAAGTGGATGACTGTATTTTGTGGGTGAAACATTTATTAAAGTACAGTATATATACACAACACAATGTACACAGTGACATAAAGTTGTTCTTGAGTAACTCAATTAACATTAAGAAATTCTTTAAGCTGTACAACTTTTTTCCGTTGATTACATTTACAATGTGCCGTGTGTGCTGAGCAAACTGATCACTAACTGTGGATATGTTGGAACATAGGAACATGGGAATTAGGAGCAGGAGTAGGCCATTCGGCCCCTCGAGCCTGACCCGCCATTCGATAAGATCATGGCTGATCTTCTACCCTAACTCCATCTGCCAGCCTTATCCCCATCTCCCTTAATCCCTCTATCCTTTAGAAACCTATCAATCTCAGTCTTGAATATGTTGAAGGACTGAGCATCTACAGCCTTCTGGGGTAGAGAATTCCATAAATTCACTGCCCTCTGAGTAAAGAAGTGTTTCCTCAACTCTGTTTGTCCCTTAATCTAAAGACTGTGACTCCTAGTTCTAGATTCTCCTACCAGGGGAAACAGTCTCACACTATCTACTCTGTCAAGCCCCATAAGAATCTAATACGTTTCTGTAAGATCACCCCAAATTGCCATCATAACTGCTGCTCAATCAGCCCCAGCCCCACACTCACTGCAGAAAGCCTATCAGAGGGGTTTGCATGGCAACCAGCAACCCTGTAGATGGTTTCTGCACAAACAAGCAGATTAACTACACATATAACTTAGTTCACCCACCGCGCTAAGTTACATTTCATAGTGTTATGCAACAGTGATTGTACATCTGGATGAACCAGAGTACACAGTGTCATGGCCAAACAGAGAGTATTAGGTCAATGCCCTTCTCTTGTACACTGGTGTGTTAACTGAGCAATACTGATCTATTCCCTAAGTTTCCTCTAGAATCAATGCAGAATCAGATTCCTGTAGGGAATGTTTCCACAGTTGTGATCCTCTCCATTACTGGACAGCACAGTGTCCACAGCACAGTGTGACCTTGGGTTGAAGGAAGGTCACAACGCTTTCTCTCTCTCATCTCGTCTCATCTCCAACCTCTGAGATGATGATCAGGGATTCTTGGATCAGCCTTGGGACGTCCTCCTGGACGTGAAAGACGCTACACAAATGTAATTTGTTGTTGTTGTTGGACCAGCTTTTGGACCATTGTGAAAGGATTATCTATGAAAATATGAAAGAATATGTTCACTAACCAACTTCAGACTAAAACACATGAAATATAAATTTGTTGAATAAACAGGAATCAATTATTTAGCAAGAATTCTGGACATGAAACACTGTGAACAAGATTTGCAAATGAATATTAAATATTATCAGTAAATCTATGCAAGAAAATATTAAGAAAATTGTTGTGAAACTTCTTTATCAAAGATAACAGTACAGAACTTACCAGAATGACAAGTTAGTGTAGAGTCCTTGTGTGAGGGTTCAATGTTCATCCAAAGATCACAAAGCAGCCAGATCAATATTTATTTTAGACTAAATCAATGTGGAAGTTCCTCATATGAGATGTATTTTAAAAAAAGTTGATATTAATTGACGTTTAGCAAAACTAAATCAATATCAATTCTGAGCATGCAACTTTGGTTTATTACCAAGGAAATAGGGCTTAAATTTATGAATTATGATTCAGAACTGAACTGTTTTGCCCTGGAGAAAAGATTGATAGTGAAGCTGACCCATTGGTTAGAGGCACTGATAGAGGGTATAGGTAAATTATTGTTATTCAGATTAAAGTATCATTTCAGAACGAGAGGGCACAGTACAAAATAATGCATCTCAAAGTCAGAATTAGATTGCTTTCCCTTCTCCCAGCGCAGAAAAATAAATGACAACAACAATTTGCATTAAATGGGCTCCAACTTTCAATCCTGATTTTAAATGTATAAAATAAATTCTTTGGCATAACCTTAACTGCTTTTCTGGGAGTCAATTTTAATATATTGAGCGCTATGAGATCTGAGATGCTACCCTGCATGGAGGGCACTATATAAGTGCAAGTTGATGTTGTTGGGTCACAGCTAGTATATGTGTGTATATATATATATATAAATAATATGCTCCTAGATAGAGGTGTGAAGGGAAGAAAATAATTTTAAAAATCAGTCTTTCTCTTAATTGACTGCTCAGTTCCCCTGAATAGTAGCTCATCAACTGACCTCTGTAAACAAACCAGAACGGCTAATGGTTCTGGGAGTAAGGCTTTATCCAATAACGTTACCCGCATTAAACTCCGCAGCCCGATTACTCCAGTCCTTGCCAAACTCCACTGGCTCCCTGTCACAGAGTAGATCAACTTCAAGATCCTTACTTTAGTGTTTAAATCCCTCCATGCCTTGGCCCCTCCCTATCTCTCTAACCTCCTCGCTCCTAACAGCACTACCCACTGCCTCCGCTTTACTGGGTCCAGCCTCCTCCTTGTCCCTCGAATCCTCCGTTCCACCATCGGCAGCCGTGCCTTCAGCCACTGCACCCCGAAGCTATGGAACTCCCTCCCTCAACCCCTTCGCCTTGTCCGCTCTTCCCCTACTTTCAGATTGCACTGAAGATCTTCCTCCTCGAGCCACGGTCACGTTCCCCCTCGCCCCAGCTCAGCCTTGGCCATCATTAAGCTCTGAGACGACGCCCGGGGTGAAGGGCGCTATATAAATGCAAGTTGTTGTTGTTAAGGTCACAAATTTAAATCCCAATGAAAAATAAACAGTTCCCTCTGTTCCTGGTAAGGCTTTCTGTTCCCCTCAGGCCACAAACCCAGAGTGATTACCACAGACAGCTGGCAGGAGTTCAGGGAAGGTTTGGGCGTGCCAACCCAAAGCTCATAACCGATTTTCGCAGCAGCTAAACGGTTGCGACATTGTGTTTAAAGCTCTGAGACTTCTCACAATCTAAACCAAGTTTACAAAAAGGAAACAAACATGGAAACAACATGACCATTCTGCCTCAATGTGACTGAGTAACATAAATTGTTTGTATAGCGCCCCTCACGCTGTCCCGAAGCGCTGAGGATGTTCAGCAGTGAATACAGTGCCATGTTTAATCACAAGTTAGAAATCAGAAATGTCAATTAACATTATTAAAGTTGTTATAATAATCATGTACATGTAAGGCAACATGTTGTAAGACAAGGGAAAGATAATGTTCAAAACACAAGTTTTCTTTCCCATAACAACAACAACAAGATTTCATTTAGAGAGCGCCTTTCACGTCGGGAGGACATCCCGAGGCGCTGGACAGTTGGGTCGGGACCCGAGCATTGGGGGGAAATGGTCAGGGTGAGGGGAGGGAAGGGAGGGGGCGAGGAGGGGGGAAATGGTCAGGGTGAGGGGAGGGAAGGGAGGGGGCGAGGAGGGGGTAGAGAGTCGAGAGCGGAGCTGAAGGCTGAAGGTCAAAGAGAAAGGTTTTGAGACCGGCCTTGAAGGAGGAAAGGGAGGAAGCGGCGAAGGCACTGGGGATGGAGTTTCAAAGCCTCGGGGCTGAGAGGTTGAAGGCCCGGCCACCGATGATAGGGCGGTTGGGGCGGGGGATGTGGAGCAGACCGGAGCCGGAGGAACGGAGGGTACGGGCAGGTAGGTAGGGGGATAGTAGGTCGGAGAGGTAGGAGGGAGCGAGGCCGTGAATGGCTTTGTAGGTGAGGATGAGGATCTTGAATTCGATCCTCTGGGGGATGGGGAGCCAGTGGAGGCGAGCGAGGGCGAGGGTGAGGGCAAGGACGAGGGTGGGAGTGATGTGGGCGCGGTGTCTGGTGCGGGACAGTACACGAGCTGCAGAGTTCTGAATGACCTGCAGTGTGGAGGGAGGGCCGGGAAGGCCGACGAGGAGAGAGGTCCCATAGTCCAGCCTTGAGGTGATAAAGGTGTGGACCAGAGTTTCAGCTGCGTGAGGGGTGAGGTAGTGCCGTAGTCTGGCGATGTTCCGGAGGTGATGGAAGGCGGTGCCAGTTGTGGTGCGGATATGAAGGAGAAAGGACAGCTCAGGGTCGAACAGAACCCCGAGGTTCCTGATGGCTTTGAGAGGTGGAGAGTGCAGCCTTGGATGCTGATGGTGTCAGCGCCTGAGGTGCGGAGGCGCTGACGTGAGCCAATCAGGAGGGCCTCAGTTTTGCGCACGTTGAGCTGAAGAAAGTTGTCTCTCGTCCAGGACTCGATGTCGGACAGTCAGCTGTCAGGACATCGGGGATCGTGGAGTTGAGAGTAGAGGAGGAAAGGTTGAGTTGGGTGTCATCCGCATACATGTGGGAGTGAACCCCATGTCTGCGGATGATGTCACCACAGGGGGAGCATATAGAGGGTGAAGAGGAGGGGACCGAGGACAGAGCCCTGAGGGACACCGCACGAGACAGTGCGGGGGCCGGAGGAGAAGCCATTCGTGGAAACAAAATGAAGACGGTGGGAGAGGTACGACCTAAACCACTCAAGGACAGGGCCTTGAAGGTTGAGGTGGGAGGACAAGCGGTGGAGGAGGATAGAGTGGTCGACCGTATTGAATGCGGCCGATAGGTCGAGGAGGACGAGGAGGCAGAGGGAGCCCTGGTCACAGATGGTCAGGATGTCATTGGTGACCTTGACCAGGGCAGTTTCTGTGCTATGGGCAGCACGGAAACCCGACTGAAGGGATTCAAATAGTGAATGGGTGGAGAGGAAAGAGCGCAGCTGGGAGGCCACAACTCTTTCAAGAACTTTGGACAGGAAGGGGAGGTTGGAGATGGGCCGTTAGCTTGATAGCTGCGACGCATCAAGGGAGGGTTTTTTCAATATGGGAGTGATAGTGGCAGTTTTCAGGGGAATGGGAACGGAGCCAGAGGAGAGGCTACAAAATAATACATTTTGTGTCGATACGTTAGATCTTCACTGTACAGGAGTCAAACTGCACTGAATGTCAACATCCAGTTAAACACTATTCTCACCAGTTTATAGCAGAAGCACCTCTGTGCCGTGGGAGCAATGATGGATGGTAGATTATAGATCCGTTCTTAGGATGATCAATAACCTCCATTGGAATAAACTGACTGCAGAACGGGAGGACGTTGAGTTCTGCTCCCACAGACTTGTAGGCTTTGACCACATCAGGAATGGGTTTCCCCTTCACTCTCCATCTGGGAAACTTAAACACCGGTGTGCCATCTTTCTCTGCTGCCACAGCTGAGGGAGAGAAGGAAAAATAATAATAATCATAATCCTTGATTTGATTCAGTGCCTCAACACATCTTTGAGACGTCTCAAAGTGTTTCATAGAATAAATAATGTAAAGTCAATTGACTGTATATTTTGTGGGTGAAATAATAATAAAGATTTACAGATTATAGTTTATTTATAGATTTATAGTTCTTCAAATCTGATTCTCTCCTCCAATCCAACTCCTACTTTTGGGACATTTTTTGCCTCTCAGCAAATACATTTATTCAGCATTTATTCAGAAATAAACAGAATAATTAAGTTTTGGTGCTTTCAAGACAAATTAGACAGATTTCTGCTAGAAAATAATATCATTGTATATATGGTTTGGGACATGCAATGTCAAGCGACTCGAGGATGGAGGAAGGTGAACTAGATGGACCTTGGTCTTCTTTCAGCAAATTCTTATGTTTTTATTGGTACGATTGGAAAAAGCAATGATGTAATTTAACACAATGCATCAATTTGTTTTCTAATTTGTTCCCCTCCTCCTACTCTTGTGATCTCCCTTCTCCCTTTCAGGGAAATTTCATATCACAGCAGATGATTTTAAGTACCGCAATCGAGTTCTTCGTTGCAGTTGTGAAGGTTAATTTTACCCTTCGTTGGTTCTGTGCTTTTTACAACCCTTTTGCTCTAGTCAGCAGGATTATCCCCCAACGCTCTCAGCAAAGGAGGCATAAAACACTTCAGCATCTGTCCCCCATAAATGTAACAAATGTGGTATTTGAATTTGAGATCAAATAAAAGCTGCTGTGACAGTTTGTACAGTAGCTTGGGCTATTTCCCAGAAATTTCAATGAAAGTGTGCAGAAATTAGTAATAATAATAATCCTTGTGTTTGATACAGCACCTTGTCACATCTTTGAGACGTCTCAAAGCGCTTCACAGGATATACTGTAAAGTGTAGTCACTGTATATTTTGTGGGTGAAATGCTGCTGCACCATGTTAACAGATCGGTAACTATTTCCTCCAGTAATAAAATACTTTTACCCTGTAATTGATGTAGGTTATGCCTTTAACAGCCCTAACAAAGGTTTCCTTCAAAAGCTTTCCTTCAAATAGCTTGTCTACCAGATAGTGGGCAAATGAAAGACTTCCCAAGTACAGAATTATCTGCGCAGTTCTCAAATCTTTCTACATGTGAAATAAATACTAGAAAGCTCCTATCTCAGAATACACAAGGTTTAGTGTACACAGCCAGAGGGTGGAGATAGCAGCAGTCAGCTTGTCGCACTCCTGAGGTTTAAATTACTGTTGAGTTCTGTCTAAGCATTTATACAACAGGGTTAGGTTTAAATGGTATACATTCACAGGTTCCTTCCTTTAGGAAAAACTTTTAATGGAATCCTGCAACACTGTAAGGTATTGGATACCACTTTGCAAAGGTTGACAGAAGTTCTATTTAACTGCAATACTACCATAAGGAAAATAAATCTTTCAGTGTTAAAAGTGTTGCAACGCATTTCTTTTCCATGCAGTTCTTTAAAGGATTAAATACACATGGAATCATGGGAACAGGAATAGGCAAGTCAGCCCTTGAACCTGTTCTGCCATTCCGTAAGATCATGGCTGATCTGTACCTCAACTCCAGAGTAAGTGACGCCTTTCCCCCATATCCCTTGATACTCTGACCTAACAAATATCTATCCATCTCAGTCTTGAACATTTGAATGGATCCAGCCATAATCCATAGCTCTTTGGGGGAGAGAGTTCCAGATTTTCCACTCCCCTGAATCAAATGAACATTAAATGATAAATAAAATAAGGTGTTTTTCGCAAGTGAAAAAGCTCTCTAAGTTCTCAGAGTATGTGAAGGTTGGTGAGGTGACTGCACTCCAGTCACCTTGGGTTGGATTAGGAGTGCTGTAGAACCATTATTAAAGATGACAATATTTGTACTGTACAGTACATAACAGTGCATGTGACCCTATTTTAAATACAAATACAATATGTATCAGAAACAAATGCACCGAGATTAAATCTGATACCGTTCCTCACTAACATATTGATGATTATGGTACATACAGAAAGCTTCGTACATACAATGAAAGCCAGTTTACACATACGCGGGGGATGATTATAATTAAGCAGATAGTAACAAGTAAACACTAAGCACTATGAAGTGGGTTGTCTGTGTTATTTTTGTTGTTTAATTTCATTTCTGGTAAGCTTTCAGCTTGTCTCAGCCACTCTTACAAACCATCTAGTAACTATTTGGAATGGACAGGATGATAGGGAACACACAATGACTTTGCTGGTTTTCTAGATAGGGCTAATAGGAAGCTGATCATTATCATGTTCACCTCTAGATAATAAGATTAATACAACAACAAGATTACATTTGTATAGCGCCTTTCACGTTGGAGGACATCCGAAGGCACTGGACAGTGTACAGCATTTCAGAATCATTGCATCTAATATAACTGCTGGGAGGATGTCTCAAAGCTTCACAGAATTTACAGTAAAGTGCAGTGACTCTGTACAGTAAAACTCACATACGGCGAATCAGAGACAATTACATTTAATATGATTTACGAGAAGTGCGAGTTGCAGGCAAACTGTATAATCGTATAAAATCTTATTTAATCAATATTCTACACAGTGCATATGTAATTCACTGTAGTCGGTAAGTGCACATGTGGTGACGGGTCAAGACTATGTTTCTCGCGATTCCACGCGACTTGACCTGTTGCTGCATGTGCATTTACCAGCAATATAATTCAATACAAAATGACATTTACATAGAGCCTTTCATGTTGGGAGGCACTAGACAGTCAGGGATTTGGACCCTGACTGTGTTGGAATCACACTGAATCACGGGGAATGTGTATGCGTTGACAGATCGAGACTACGTTACCCGCGATTCAATACAGCCAGTAAATGCGGGAGTAATTGGTCATTTTCAATCCACGACTGTTTGTGGGTCACTGCTGTGTGTAATTGGCTGCCGCGTTTTGCCCACAAATATACAGTCCAATTCACTTTACAGCATATTCTGTGAAGTGCTTTGAGACGTCGAGAAGACGTGAAAAGCGCTATATCAACTGCAAGGATTATTATTAAGATAAAACTTGTGAGTTTACTGTAATTTATTGACAGACATAAGAGCCAATTTGCAGAGCAATGATAGTGATCTTAATGAACCTGTTGCATCATAGAGAACAGTCCCATAGGTTACTTTAAATGCTTTTCGAATTACTGTGGATAACAATCATTATAAAATGCAGCACATATATATATTTGCATTGTAACATGTAATAAATAGCACTGCAGGTTGATCAAGTACTGAGATAACAATTACATTAATCCTTAACTTGCTGAATATGTAGTAAGGCTAGAGTTGACACAGGAGATTAACAAAATGATATTTACTGTAATGCCAAGGTTGATGAGAACAGTAATGAACTCACCCAGGGGGTCTGGTTTGCCCTCTCTGTCAGGCACTGTGAAGACTCCCACCACTTTATGCCCTTCTTTCCGCAAGTTGTTGTACACCTCTTGTCCAAACAGACTCTGGCCTATTAAAGCCAATCTCAACTTGTTTTGGTAATATACCTGTCAAAACATTAATATACCCATTATTAACAAAGACAGTGCAGTGAAGTAGTGACCAAAGTACAAAATACAGCAGTTTAAAACCTCTTTGTCCACAACACCTGCACGGCTGCCCCATTTAATTGTTATTTTAAGTGTTTATTGATGTCGCACTGCGAATTCCTGGTGATACACTGAATGTCAAACACAAACTGCGGAAATAAAAATCCTGGGATTTGATATAGTCTTCATCACGTCTTCGAGATATCTCAAGGCACTTCACAGTATATACTATAAAGTATATATTTTGTGGGCGAAACTTTGTGGGAATGCACTGAATGGCAACGGAAAGAGTAACACTTTAATAATTGTATATGTGTGAAATAACGCCTCCTCACATAATGTGTATATAGATTTAAAAAAACACTTGTAAAGGGTGTGAATGAACATTGCAGATAGACAGCTGTGTTGGGAGCAGTAGATAGAGAGGTTACACACACACACACACACAGGAGCACATTGCAACGTGGACACTTCCTCGTCGCTGATGCAATTGAGCAGAGCTCTGTCTGTCTGCACTGTGCAGCGGCTGCTCTTCACTGGGGAGTGGGCTCTGTCCCTGAGCCCTCAGCCATGTGGAGGCTCTGTCCCTGAGCCCTCAGCCATGTGGAGGCTCTGTCCCTGAGCACATCTGTGACATGTCCATTGCTGCACAGACACGTCTCTCACCCACGTTCCCCACCTAAACTGCAGCACTCGCCCTGACATGTTTAACACCTCCTTATTCTAATATGCACCATGCTTAATATTATTATTATTATTATTATTATTCTCCTCTCTCTCCAAACACATCTTATATACAGTAGCTACACATTTTATAGGCCTAAAAATCTGATTGCAAAAGGCAGAGAGAAACAATGTGGCTGATCTCAGTCGAAATAGACACATCCCTTTGGTCTTTACAATGCAACATAATAATAATAATAATAATACATTACACACAACACACGAGCAATAACAAACACAGCACAGTAACAGGAATTCCGTAGTGCAACATTATATTACAATAATGCCACATTAAGCAGAGGGGAGAGCCAGGATTGCTGATTGCTGCACTTACTGTGGAGGTGGAGAGTTTCCTGATGAACTGGTTTGCAGCCCACAACATGGTGACTGTACGCGTTCAGCACTGAATGAGTCTATGTGTGTCTATGAGCAGTTACTCTGCTCCAGAGTCCCACCTGCACCGCTTGTGCTCTGTGTCTGACACCCAATCCACACAGCCTGACACCCTCCCCCAGACAGCCTCTCTCTTTGGGGTGGGGTGGGGTGGGCCAGGCCAGGCCAGGCCAGCCTACTGCTGGGGGTGTACACATGCTGTGGCTGTGTCTATAGGTGCACATAATAACCCCCACAAACCTCACCTCCTCCTTTACCCTATATGGGTATAGAGCAGAGAGTGCATTGCTCTGCAGCACTTAAACAGCATAATTGTCAATGCAGAAATCTGCTGTCTGACTGTCTCTGTCTGTCTGTCCGACTGTCTCTGTCTGTCTGACTGTCTCTGTCTGTCTGACTGTCTCTGTCTGTCTGTCCGACTGTCTCTGTCTGTCTGTCTGTCTGACTGTCTCTGTCTGTCTGACTGTCTCTGTCTGTCTGACTGTCTCTGTCTGTCTGCCTGTCTCTGTCTGTCTGACTGTCTCTGTCTGTCTGTCTGGCTGTCTCTGTCTGTCTGTCTCTGTCTGTCTGACTGTCTCTGTCTGTCTGACTGTCTCTGTCTGTCTGACTGTCTCTGTCTGTCTGTCTGACTGTCTCTGTCTGTCTGTCTGTCTGTCTCTGTCTGTCTGACTGTCTCTGTCTGACTGTTTCTGTCTGTCTGACTGTCTCTGTCTGTTTGACTGTCTCTGTCTGTCTGTCTGTCTGACTGTCTCTGTCTGTCTGACTGTCTCTGTCTGTCTGTCTGTCTGTCTGTCTCTGTCTGTTTGACTGTCTCTGTCTGTCTGTCTGTCTGACTGTCTCTGTCTGTCTGACTGTCTCTGTCTGTCTGTCTGACTGTCTCTGTCTGTCTGTCTGTCTGATTGTCTCTGTCTGTCTGTCTGTCTGACTGTCTCTGTCTGTCTGTCTGACTGTCTCTGTCTGTCTGTCTGACTGTCTCTGTCTGTCTGTCTGGCAGAACTCAGGTTGGTTTATTTTGAAGCACAGCACACTTGACACCATTGTGTGTTTTCGGGGGTGGGGGGGGGGTAATAAACCCTTCAAATAAATAAATAAATAATACTAGGAATAATAATTTGGTCACTTAATCCACGACTGCTGTGTGCAATTGGCTGCCGCATTTCGCCCACAAAATATACAGTCACTACACTTTGCAGTGTATCCTGTGAAGCGCTTTGAGACATGTTAAGGACGTGACAAGGCACTGTATCAAATGCAAGGATTATTATTATATTTCCCCTTCAAGCTGCTTAATAGTGGATCATTCTCCAAAATCTCACGGTTGTCATGTTTTTCTCTCATCTACAAATGAAACACAAATCCCATCCTCTGAACCCCAGAGATTGTTTGCAAAGACATGAGACTACATTTCCCAGAATCCCGCGGATCGGAGCGCGTGCGCAATGAAGCGGGTTGCGGTGACGACGCTGCCGGTCTGAGACTACATTTCCCGTCGTGCAGCGGGCGCGGGCGCGTGCGCAGTGGTGAGGGTGGCGGTTGGCAGCACGTGAGGCGGTCACGGGACCAGGCGGGTTGGGGACGGTTGGGCTGAGCGCGCGGGGCCGGGGCTGTGTGTGATGGACTCGCTCTCCCCCGACTGGGAGTTTGATCGGTTTGATGACGGCTCTCAGAGTAAGTGACGGTTCCCCCCGCCCGCACCCCGGCAGATACACAGGCAGGCCCGAGCCTCCCGGGGAGGGCGGGAGGGAGGCCTGGGTCAGGGTCAGGCCGCCTGTGGTGTCCGTCACTGTGAGGGGGAGAGAGAGGGGGGGGGGAGGAGTGTGTGTGGGGGAGAGAGGGGGAGAGTGTGTGGGGGAGAGGGGGAGAGTGTGTGTGGGGGGAGTGTGTGGGGGAGAGGGGGGGAGTGTGTGGGGGAGAGGGGGGGAGTGTGTGGGGGAGAGGGGGGGGAGTGTGGGGGAGAGAGGGGGGGAGTGTGTGGGGGGGAGTGTGTGGGGGAGAGAGGGGGGGAGTGTGTGTGTGTGGGGGAGAGGGGGGGAGTGTGTGTGGGGGAGAGGGGAGAGTGTGTGGGGGGGAGTGTGTGGGGGGGAGAGGGGGGGAGTGTGTGTGGGGGGAAATGAAGGGCTCTGAAGACCTGTAATCTGTTGTTGTTGTGGGGGCTGATGCAGTGATGGCGGGAGGGGCGAGTCCCGGTGTTTCAGCAGAAGCCCCGCGGTTGGTGTCCGGTCCCGGTTCACTTTGTGGGGAGAGTTCTGGACACCGGCGACAACACCAAAGCCATTGGCACCTGTCGGCCTGAGAGGCACTTTCAGGTGTTTGGAAGACGTGGATTTCTGTCGGGATTTGACTGCGGGTCAGAAATGGTGAAACTTCCCGCAGCCAAAAAGCACGAGAGTCCGCGCTCTGTCTGTCTGTCTGTCTGCGCCACCGGCTGGTGTCTCCTCTGATGGTGTAGTGACTGCACCTGTCTGTCTGTCTGTCTGTCTGCGCCACCGGCTGGTGTCTCCTCTGATGGTGTAGTGACTGCACCTGTCTGTCTGTCTGCGCCACCGGCTGGTGTCTCCTCTGATGGTGTAGTGACTGCACCTGTCTGTCTGTCTGTGCCACCGGCTGGTGTCTCCTCTGATGGTGCAGTGATGATGACCACAGGCACTGCTCCTGCTCTGCCCGTCTCCTTGCAATGCCATCGCTTACAGCAGCTGTGCTGCTGGAGGCAGAATATCACTATCGATTCGTACTCGTGTTAGAGCCACACACTTTGTGCAGACTTGACAAAACTAGCATTTAAGAAATAGTCTGGACTGTCAGTTGGCACTGTACTTTGTTACAGATTGGATTGGGGGGTGGGGTATCTTTCCCAGATTAATAAAATAAGTAACGTGTATTAAAAATAATGGGGAGGAGGTGATAAAATGGGGCAGAATAGTTTCTGCGGCTGCATAGTCCAAGGCATTGTTGACGGCAAAGATTTTAGTATTATTTTACCTATTTAGCTTATGATTGAAGCCTATGAAACTTCTTTTCAGTCTAGCAAGTAAAACTGGCGTGTTTGGTTATAGTATATTGTGTAGTATGATAGAATAGTATAATAGAAAAGGAGCAAACCAACCTGAAATGTTCACCATTTTTTTTAGAGCAAAAAGATTATAAATGTCAAGGAAAGATAGGTATGTCTCAGCCATGATTGACATCCCTCCTGCATCTCTCACACATACACCCAATTGCTTTTCTGATGCTCACTGAGCATCTCACATTAACCACTTGTCACAAAACTATCAGAGCTATCCCTATATATCCCAGTAGGGGAAAAATTGTGTAATTAAGAGATTGCTAATAGAATAGTGCTTCCTTAAATGTTCTTGGTCATCCTTCAACAATAACAACAAATTGCATTGAATAGTGTCTTTCATGTCGGGAAGACGGTCGAGGATTCACAGATCAGTTATGACAGTTATTCTAAGTCTCGTATGTCTCTAAATCACATGCTATCCAGGAAATTGAGTTAAGCATCCAATAAATTGTAACAATACAATAGTATTTCAGTCTGTTCGTATGGAAATGCTCGCTTTGATGGTAACTATAAAAGGGCTACTCTGTATTTGTTTTTTAAAAAATCCTATGATTTCCATTCACCTCCCTCCACCCCCCTCCCGGGAGGGAAAGGTTGGTGTGTGAATCTTTCTCAAGCATTTCCCAGTGATGGACTTGAGGTTCAGAAAGAGGTGACTTGCTCAATATTTCAGCTGGGGAACAGATTGTTCGTGTGGCATTATAATGTCCAAAGGGAGAGGTTTTTTTTTTAAAAAGAGTGGAGGAAAGAGGTCTAAACTGTTTTGATCCACCTCGTTTAGGAAGGATCAGTGAGCTGCTCTCCCTGATGTTTTGAAACAATCCAACTCCCTCAATGAGTTGGAATGTTTCACATGAAGGTTTCAACACTTCTAAAATGTTCTTTCTTACCCGCTGTTTAGAAATCCATGCTGAAGTCCAGCTGAAGAATTATGGGAAATTTCTGGAGGAATATACCAATCAATTGAAAGGAATTGAAGATGCATTGGATGATTCTGTGGGAGATGTTTGGGATTTTACTTTGGATCCCATAGCCTTAAAGGTAATATTAGTATAATAATAATCCTTGCATTTGATATAACGCCTTATCACATCTTCGAGACATCTCAAAGTGCTTCACAGCATATACTGTAAAGTAAATTGACTGTATATTTTGTGGGTGAAACACGACAGCCAATTGCGCACAGCAGTGTCCAACTACAGTCGTGGATTCTGTGACCAAATTAATATTTTTTAAGGGATTATTACCCATGGAAAAGTGATGCAACAATCAACTAATAACCAGGTCCTACTTACTGCTGGTAAACAGAGGCGTGTGGAGTAAGGAAACTTGCCTAAGGTTTCGCCCTGACCAGGAATCAAACCCAGGTCTCTCGCCTGTGAGGCGAGTGTTCTAACCACTGAGCTATAGGACTCCAAGGGATATTCATTAACTCATTTTACAGATGCTATAATTATAATTGATTGCCATGTTGGTTGCTTGGTTAATTTGCTATATTGTGGAAAACAAGTCATTTTGCTTTATCAATGCATTTGTGTGTAACTACTAATTTGCCATGTAACTTCAACCATTTTGGCTGTCCCAATTGATTGATTTGAACATTTGATGGCTGCTGTAAATTTAGAGTTATCTTTTTCATAGTTCCTTTCTCATTCTGGATTATTGTGTACTTGGTAATACATTTCCAAATTCCATTGTAGATTTTCATACTGTAAAATGTTGCAGCAATTGCTTACATATTTATTTTATTATCAAATAAATATTGATGTAATATTTTTCTAAAAAAGTATTTTTTGTATCTTTAGCTCCTGCCATATGAACAATCCTCATTATTGGAACTTATTAAAACAGAAAATAAGGTAAATTGACTTAAATCTACAAACCTATTCTCTCCTGTCAATTTAAATGATTTAATTTGTTTGAAATGATTTATTAATGTCTTACTTATGAAATCAGGCCAGATGATCAATGTATTTGGCAATGTATTGTTTCCCACAGGCTATATTTTAAATAGGTACAGTTAAAGCTTCTAAGCCTGAATATATGAACAGGTAGTGACTGGATGAAATTAAAAAAATGATTCTTGTTTTAAGCAGAAGCAAAGTTTAGGACTAACATTTCTGTAGAACTAGAGAGAGTATATTTGAAAGTATTTTTATAATTTTTTTTAACTTGGATGGTTTGTGATTCTTGTGATACAGTCTTGTTCAGTGAATATTAGAGCAGTCGTGCTAAATATCATAATTAATATTATCAGAGCAGGCTGTAGTGATATGACTACAGGAAGGATCCATGTGTATCTGGAGTAGAAGCCTTTATCATGTGTGGCTGTGGAGACACAATCGCATAGCTCGTGTACAGTATTTGTGTGTGGTACATGTGGAATTCATCCACAAACACAGAACACCCCAAGTGGGCCTAATGCTTGTATTTCAGCAAGTATTTCATCTGATATTGCATGTGTACTTATATATTCATATATTAAATGTCTCATTGTATGGTGTCTGATAATATGAACAAATCTTTTGTAGGTCTTAAATAAAGTGATTACAGTTTATGCTGCTCTTTGTTCTGAAATTAAAAAGTTGAAATATGAGGTAAGAATCACAAGATTATCATTTCCTACGAATAGACTTTCAACTACAGATGGACTTAGTTGATGTATTTGGCTGCCTTACCCTAGCCCTATCCATACCACCATTGGTGCTCGAACTTTCAGATCCTATACTCTAATATAATAATAATCCTTTCATTTGCTATAGCGCTTTATCACTATCTTCAACAATTGTGAATCATTTAAGGTGGTCTTTACCTGAGTTCTCCCCTCCACCTCCCAACTCCGTTCTCAATTCTGCTCCAAAACTATTTTACAATTACTTATTTTCACCTCCAATTGCATAAGTAGCACAGTGGGAAGTTGTTTTAAGTTATGAAGCTGGCAAGAGTTTTAACTTTTTTGTTTTTAATTTGGTGTTTACAAACTATGTAATACATGTTTTCTTCCATTTCAGGCGGAGACTAAATTTTACAATGGCCTTCTTTTCTATGGAGAAGGGGGTGAGTTATGCTTTTCTGCTTAAAAACATTTTAGTGTTGCATAAATTTGAGTATTGTCACATCCAGTACTTCTGTTATTTACAAAGGATATCTTGTATTTGTTCACACAGGACTGAGTGGATATATATTTGTTAGATCAGGATATCAAGAGATATAGGGCAAAGGCAGTTAATTGTAGTTGAGGTACAGATCAGCCATGATTTAATAGAATGGCGGAACAGGCTTGAGGGGCTGAATGGCCTACTCTTGTTCCTATTTTCCTATGTTCCCCTTGGAAGGGTTGAATGATGCTCAGAAAATAAATCTTGTTCCACTGTGGTATCGGGTCCATGGAGACTTAGGTCACTGGGCTTCAGCCAAACAGTGGCAAGTATTAAAAAGTTGATCTCACATCCAAAATGGAAGATAACAATTATAATGAGAAAGAAAGGAAGTAAAAGACTATATACCTGAACAAATACAACTGTTTAGACTAGTAGAAAAAGTAAAATACTCTTCATAAAATCAGGACACAATGGAGTACAGGAAGAAACGGTTTGCCAGGAAGCTATTAAAGTTTAGTTATTTTTATTTTTGTTTAAAACTGTTGAGTATTTTAGTAAGTTAAGAGTAATATACAGTAATAAAGCTACACTGACATTTGAACAGGCTTCTTATTGTTTCCCTAATATCAGTATTAAATCCCTAATGATACACAAGTCTAACTTAGATTATCATTACTTAGTTACAGACTCCAGCATGGTGGAAGGAGAATCACAAATCCAAATGGGCAGATTTATTTCTTTCTTACAGGTAATGTCAATGTTCTGTAAATCGTGTGATTTTTGTTTTGTTCGCTAAGTGGTGCATGTTAGCAGTAGTGGAGGGAATTGGAGCTATGTGTGATCCTGTACCCAACCTGACATCCACAAACATGCACTTTGAACATTGATCAAGAGCAGGACTCCTGGCTGATTTTCTTCTTACCTGGGAGAGGAGCTAATTTAATGCAAACTGGGATTTGAGCCTACTGAATTTTAGTCTGTTTGGCTTATTGTTCTGCAGGTTTATGCCTTTATTTGGCCATCGGAGGGAAATCTTATACAAATAAGAATCACTTGGAAAATTGACATCAAATTGTTTTGCTCCAGTTCTGCTTTCCTTTCCTGTACTGTCTGCTGCATTATATATGTTGAGCTTGAATAATGGTGTTGTGTGTTAGTCTAATTCATTAAAAGTACTGTGCTCTTAAAGCACTATTTCTACATTACCAGCCTTAATAAAGGAATTCAGCTTATCAGACTCTTAGTTCATTTCAGCATTAGAATAATTCCAGAAAAGGTGTGTTGATATTTTGCTAAGAAATGTATATAATTTTTTTAGTGATAACAACAAATCCTCTGACGGCAACAAGAAGCTGTTCAGTACTATTACACTTTGGGGTTCTGGCTGTTGGCAAAGCATTTTGAGTGGAGATGGAGGGAAGTCTGTTTTTAGACCACTTGTCAAAAAGATTGATTTGATCTATTTACCTTATTGTAATTATTTTACAAATATATTATAATAGATTGTGAATATGCCAAATTATTGAACATGAGAGTTTAGAGGAAGTAATTTTAAAGTAAAGAAGTAATTTGAAATTTGAAGTCAATGAATAGTTTTTTTTTCCCCTTTTAGGAATTTTCTTGTTTTGTTACAAGATGCTATGAAGTGGTGGTAAATGTGGTTCAGCAACTCGCTTCTCTATACACCAGTAGCAAGTAAGACGGCATCATCTTATCTGAACTAATTGTCTAAATATATAGTGTGAGTGAAAATAATATCTTTGGAAGTCTTATTTTGTGCTTTTAATTAAAAAAAAGTTTTTTCTCATTTTAAATGTAAAAAGATCATTTATTTATAACAGTATATGTTTTATATTATGTTAAATTATAATATAACATTATGTTATTATAAAGCATAGCTTGTGAAAATAATCCCTGCTTGTCACAATGGTTAAGAGTATTGCTAAAGGTGTATTTTTTAATTGTTTAGACTCCTTGTTACTGAAGCTGTCATTTTATTTCTGTAGAAATGCACCTAAAATCATAGAAACATCTGGAGTGCATTTCCAGGTTAGTTATGGATACAACTATTAATATCAACGTGTAAACTTTCAATTATTTCTCATTTATGAATGAAGTAATGACTACATAGAGAATATTGTTTTACATTTTATTTTTTGTAGTATTGAATGACTTATGCTTTAATGTAATAAATTCAAAAATGTTTTTGTTGGAAAATGTCTGACTGCACCTGTTGTGCAGACTGTATATGAACACCTTGGGGAGCTCCTGGCTGCTCTTCTCACATTGGATGAAATAATCGGGAACCATGTTACATTAAAGGACCATTGGACCATGTACAAAAGGTCAGAGTGTAAACTAATAACAGTCATGTGATTTGACTTGCTCAGAAGTCATTTAGAAATCAATTCCGGTGACCCACTGGAATAACAGTTGTTTACCAATCCATTGAATCAGAGAATATGGCAGAGACTTGCATCTGATTCTCTGTGTTTCCATTTCTGAAACTGAGCAGCCTTTAATATCTAGAGCACAGGCACAGTCAGAAAATCTGTGGATAAATTAACTGTTCTCCACTTGCACATCCCCAAACAAAAGTTTAGAAGTGAATTGTGTTAGCTAATAAGTGCTATATATTAAGCACAAGGGGGTTGAAGAGGAAGGAAGCAATAACCTGAGGGAATCAATAGATTTCTGTCTTTGCACTTGTTCAAATTTTCGACGATGCCTGTTCATGAAAATTGATTACGTTTAAATATTTGTGATTTAATATAAACATTGAAAATGGCTCGAATTTTGCCCACTAAATATACAGTCAATTCACTTTACAGTATATTCTGTGAAGCGCTTTGAGACGCCTCAAAGATATGATAAGGCGCTATAGCAAATGCAAGGATTATTATTATAAAGCTCAAATCAACACCCTAAAGAAAATGATGGTTTTCTTTGTCTCCAGGTTACTGAAATCAGTCCATCACAATCCCTCAAAGTTTGGAATTGCAGAGGAGAAACTCAAACCATTTGAGAAATTATTGTTCAAACTGGAGGGACAGCTTTTGGATGGAATGATTTTTCAGGTTAGAATAAATCTGATTAGATGATCAAATTAAGTGATGGTAGTAACAGTTGTTTATCAATGGAATTTATTCTGCAGGCCTGTGTTGAACAACAGTTTGATACAAGGAATGAGCCTATTTCAGTCTCGAAGAATAGCACATTTGCAGAAGAGTTTGGCCATAATATCCGTACTATTTTCTCCAATGTAGAATCCAAACTTGGTAAGATTTTGTTAAATATAAAAATATTGCTTGGTTTTCTTGAAAAAATAAATCAACTATTTCCATAAGGTTTCTACTATTGAATGCTTGAATTGACCGACTTGATTTAGAAAGATTAAATCGTTCTACTCATTTTGTAGATCATAGATGAAATATAGTTAAACTGATTGAATACAGTTGTATATTCTTTTTTGTTTACCTCAGTTCTTATACAGTCACCAATAACATAGTTCCATTGATTATGCTTTTTGCTCAATGTACGAGAAGTTTAATTTTGCAATTTTTTTCTGATTATCACTTTGTGTTGATGTGATTTCCTTTGTGTATTCCCCCAGGGGAGCCTTCAGAGATTGACCAGAGAGACAAATATGTGGGTGTCTGTGCACTTTTCGTATTGCACTTTCTGATTTTTCGGACCTTAGATAAGAAGTTGTACAAATCCTTACTCGATGTTTGCAAGAAGGTAAGTGATTGCATTTTGGATTTTTTGTTCACAATGCTAAATGCCAAATCCTATCATTCTAACCTATTGATTGTTTTGGCTATCATATAGGTGCCTGCGATTACACTCACTGCCAATATTATCTGGTTTCCTGATCACTTCCTGCTGAACAAACTGGCACCGGCTGCCAAGGTTGTGGAAAAGAAGAACCTGCAAGCAATCAAAATTCAGAGAGAAATGTTTCTACAACAGAAGGCCCAGACTCTGTCTAAGTAGGTCACTTTAATGGGTGTGAATGGCTTTAATTTATTGTAATAATATTCTGTGGTATAAAAGCTGAGGAACATTGTAAAGTTTGCATCAAAGAAAGGTGTGACACTCTTGACAGAGGTAGACTGTTTACATCTCAATCATTAATTACTAATGCATTTAAAACAACATTTCCAATTGATACCCAAGAGTATTTTTTTTACATTAGACAGAATCTCTTATAAGAGAGAGCGACTGCTCAAGTCTCCTTTGTACAGTTATAGCAAAATGCCTTGGCTTCTAGCAGTGGAGCAGGAAGCCACGTTTACCCTTTCCAGCTCCATATTGCTTTGATCAGGGTGGCTGTTGGTTTTCATAAACACCAACGGGCCCGTGCTGCTGCCTCATTGAATGTATTCAATACTGAATGAATACACAGCATTTCCTGGGACTTTGGGGGAGCAGAGCTTGAATAAATTTGCAATCACCATATTTATACTGCATTGGCATAAATCAAACTGTTCCTGAAATGTAAGCTTGATTTGTCTCAGGAGTAGGGTTGTGGTGTGGTTCTTTCTGATTTATACTGCATTTTACTATTTTTTCCCAAAACATTACAGCTTAAATAGGGCATGCGAGTGGACGTCTTCCCGACGTGAAAGGCACTCTATAAATGGAATCTTGTTGTATGTTTTGTTCAGCAGATTGAATTTTTAAAAAAATTGTAATGTGTGTGGCATGCTATATTTATGGTTGGCTTTTAGCTCTGATCCAACTAATAAAACTACTTTTACAGAGATGTGCAATCATATTACTTGTTTGTAAGCTCATGGATGATGAAAATGGAATCCATTTTGTCCAAGAAGCAGAGTATGGACAAGTTTGCTGAGGATCTTTCCAACAGATGTGGTATTTTTATACAGGTAATTCTTTGTTCTTTGGCTGGTTATGTAAGGTGGGATACCACAGAAATGGGCCTTCTCCTTGATCCAAAGGTGTGGGATTGGGCGGAAGATAGAAATAGCCAAAATAGAAATACTTTTGCATAGATATCATTTAGATGGTGATACTGACAGAAAATTATGCCTGTGATATTTCTCTATGACTGATGGTGCCAATTCATTATATTCCTGAAATATATAGAGGATGCCTCACAAAATTAACTTAGATGAAGAAGGGCCTTTGGTTAATCTGATCCCCTCCTTCCTGAACTCCCAGCCTGATGACCTCCCAACACAGCATCAAGTTTTTTTTAATGAGTCTAGTGTCCTGGCTTCAACTGTTACTGGCAACCTGTTCCAGTAAAGAAACATTTCCTGATGTCTGTCCTCAGATTGCTCTTTGCAACTCTAAACTTTAGCTCAACTTGGAACAATGACATTGACTACCAGTGTACTTTCACTCTCTGGAATATATCAGGTGTATGTTTAGTGGCTGATCAAATATTATTTTTTTCTCCTCAGGGTATTCTGTATGCAAACAGTCTTAGTAACATCATCCGAACCACGATGAATTTGTATATGTCAATGCAAAAACCTATGACTAAAACATCTGTGAAAGCACTGTGTAGACTTGTGGAACTTCTAAAGGTAAGCTGTTTGTAAAAGTGTTTACAATTGGCATTTTGCTTACTTGCTGAATCATAAGAGTCCTCGCACAGATTTCATTTCTTTCTCTCCCCGCTCTGGAGTTCTTTCATCACATTTCTCCATCACCAACTGACAAATCACTTCCAGAATATCAAATAACAAATTATTTCTCTGGCTATGATTTGTCATGTAAACTTCAGCATTTTGAAGGCAATTACCTTCACAGAGCATACACATACAAAGCACACACGCACACACAAACGTCTTTCCCACTTTCTTGTTCTGGTACATTCTGAGCTTTGGTGCTTTTTTGTTTCTTGCCTGATTTCATTGACTGATGATTAACTCTTGCTTACAAAGTAAATGAAATGCAATATCAAAGCATTTTCATTTTTGTTTTAAGGCAATCGAACACACTGTGCATAGAAGGACCATGGTTATTGCAGATTCTGTATGTCACATTGCCCAGTATCTTCAGCATCAAGCCCTCAATTCTATAGCAACTGCAAAGGTTTGTAACTGCAATTTGTTGAATTGGATGTTACCTAGACTACCAAATGGATAAACTTCGGGGGATAAGATTGTATATTATAAATGCTGCAAAAGAAATGTTGGCTACTTATAGCAGAAAACTTTTAACAGAAATGATTCCAAATAAAAGTTGACCTCCCTATTCCAATTAATCAGCTGTGCATCTCATTATTATCTAAAGACATTCCTAGCACAGATTAGTGTCCGTCTTTGCCTATATAATATTCATTTAATTTCTGATCAATTATATTTGAAGTGATTTGAGATATTTAGTTTTAATGATAGGCAATGTATAAATGCAAGTTGTTGCTGAACAAACTGTCCAAATTGAATCCTTATGAATATCTTTTCCTTTAATATGAAATATTGTAGTGCAATATTAGTTACAGTTATATTGGGTAAAGCTGTTAGAGAAGATAATGCTTAATTAGGAGTCACTTGCTTGAAGGTAGTACAGATTAATTGCACTAACCAGTGCATCATCAACCTAGGAATATTCTCTAGCTCAGGGTCTTCCAAACCTCCTGGGCTCAAAGCCCCCAGGACATTAACTACCCTGACTAAGGCCCCCACTCGGGCTGTCAACAAGGCCTTACTCCCTCCCACAGCCTCCACAATACACTACCCTGATATACATAGCACTGGGACGGTGGGAACATCCACTCTTCATGGACTATTGGGGTCCAACTAGACGTCCGTAGCCTTTGCCTTTCCTGTCAGTCTCCCAGCTCTGCAGAGCCCAACTTGGGAACTGATCTCGCTCACTCCTGTACTGACTTAGTCATTGTATTGCGAGAATGTGAGCAAGTGATGCTGACACTGGGTAGGGCAAGAGCTTGGTTTCATTCCACATATTAGAAAAGGATTAATTAATTTGTGTGATCAAAAGTAATTCTAAATTTCAGTTAGAAAACATTTGACCATGATATTTTTCTTCAGAAAAGGGTGATCTCTGACAAGAAGTATAGTGAGCAGCGCCTGGATGTACTATCAGCTCTGGTGTTAGCTGAAAATGCTCTGAATGGACCCAGTACCAAAGAGCGCAGACTAGTAATTGCACTTGCACTAAGTGTGGGCACTCAGATGGTAAGCATATAACCTTTCATACCATACTTAAAGATCTTTTGAATTAAACTGTAGTATGATTTATTGTATATTTATGAATTTGTAAAGAAAGATGTTTACTCTGCCCTTCTAACATAAATAAAATCTTGTTCACTGGCTTCTCTAGAAAACATTTCGAGATGAAGAGTTGCTCCCGTTACAAGTTGTTCTGAAGAAATTGGATCTTGTCACCGAGTTGAGGGAGAGGTGAGAAAAACACTGGAGATATAAAGTGGTAATGTGTGACCCGGCTGGAAAATGTGACCCGTGTGATGTGTCTTACAGGGTTAGAGTGCTGTGTGATTGCAGCTTCTTGTACTGGCATCGGACCATTTTCCCCATCTATTTAGATGATGTGTATGACAATGCTGTTGATGCTGCCAGAGTCCATGTAAGTTCAATGTTTGGAATAATACCATTTTAAACTTTCTGCATACTCTACGTAATGCAATGGGACTTCATAATATTGCATCGGGAATTTTACACAAAATGTTTCCCCAGGTTACCTCTCACCAGCAGTCTTAAGACAAATGTGCCTAACGTTTAACACGAAGAATACAGATAAATCCTTGATCGACTTTGATTTGCTTTTTATAGGATCATTTTATGGAATCTTTATGGTTGTCTATAAATTGAAACTACAGTAGTCACTTACTTACACTCAGATTAAGTTACAGCAATTTTAATGAATGGTTGGAAAACGCAAATTCAAAATTAAAGTTAAATCAGTTTGAAAAATGTTGCTTCTACTAACATACTCTAATGTTTGTAAAAGAAATATAAGTACAATCTGAAAGCTCTTTTGTGTGTTTAGTACATGTTTAGTGCTCTGAGGGATTGTGTCCCACCAATGAAGCATGCAAGACATCTGGAGTCAACCCAATTATTACTGGAGTGTTTTGATAAAGAAATCATGGATGTGCTCAATGAGGTAATAAATATCTGCACAAGTCTCTGATTTTTATCCTATTCATACCTTCGTAGAATCAACAACTGTTTATGGGATACTGCTGTGCACAATTTGGCTCTTGCGTTTCACTCACAAAATACGCAGTCAATTCACTTTACAGTGTATTCTGTGAAGTGCTTTGAAACGTCTCAACATGAGAGGCGCTATATCAAATCCAATGATTATTATTATTAACAAATGGTTCCAAAGAACTTAAACAGAATGTTGCTTTCATAGAAAAAAAACATGTTCAGGGTTGTGGACCTTACGATGAGTATAAGATTTTAAAATCTAGTTTAGTATGCTTAGAATATTAAATTTGTGAAAAATTCTTCTTTTTAGCTTTAGTTTGTTTGACCATCTGGTCTGGCACCTATAGATTGTGCTAACATCTTTTACTTTTATGCTGCACTACATCCAGATAGATGCAAATTTCTCCTTTGATTTTAACCTTTACCCTGACATTTTCTTTTAGTTAAGGAATTTTTAATTTTTAGATTGAAATGTTCCTTTATAAATTATTTAAGGACTCCAGGACACTACCCCACTTCACGTGAAGGGCGCTATATAATATAAATACCAATTGTTGTTGATTAGAAAATACTAGTTAGGATTTACATAGTAAGGTTTTGTTTTACAGTCTGTAAAGCTTTTAATTTTTGTAAAGTCATTGACTAACCATTGTCAATGTCTTATTTACATGAAAATACTAATTTCTAATTGTCTTTTTTTCCTTCACCACTGAACATAGCACTTGCTGGACAAGCTGTGTAAAGAGATTGAAAAGGATCTGAGGCTGTCTGTACACACACATTTAAAGTTAGATGACAGGAATCCTTTTAAAGTTGGCATAAAGGACTTGACCCACTTCTTCTCTATCAAACCAATCCGTTTTTTTAACAGATTCATTGATGCCAAAGGTTAGTACCTATTTAAACTTGTGTAAGCAGGCTGCTTTCCTCCATTCCAATAAATATCTCTGGTGGGACACATGGAACTCAGTTTGGTGTGGATAGTCTTAAGCATGGTGATGGGTTTCCGCATGTGTCAGACATCCAATTGGCCAGTTCATTGAACATTTCACTCTAAAGTACAAAATAGATATTAGTACTTGCATTGACTAGTTTTTTTAAAATAAATATTTAAAAATATCTCAACAGCTTATGTAACTCACTACCTGGACAAGACGTTCTATAACTTGACGACTGTGGCCCTTCATGACTGGGCAACTTATAGTGAAATGAGAAATCTAGCAACCCAGCGCTATAGTCTTATGATGACTGAGGCGCATCTTCCTAGCCAAACCCTGGAACAGGTACGTGCTGAAATCCTGGCTGCTTGTTGGATAGCGTTTGTAAATCTGTCTCTGTTACTCTGAGGGAGAAGATGGGTGGCTGGATGTGTTGGGAACAAGTTGAAATTCAAGTGCTAAAATGAATACACTACTGCATTACATTTCAGCAATTTTAGACAAGTATCTTCTATTAGCTTTGTGTGCTTGTAAGAACATAAGAACTTGTTAGGCGAAAGAAGACCAAGGTCCGTCCAGTTTGCCTTCCACTTTCCTGGCAGTCGCATGACATGTCTTGTCCCAAACTATATATTGTATCCCGAGATATTTCTAAACAGAAATCTATCTAATTTGTTCTTAAAAGAACTTGGGTAAGTTTCCTTACTCCACACGCCTGATAATAATCCCTCCAAAAGACAAAAACAAAAAAAAAGGTCATTTTAAATCCACGACTGTTTGTGGGATGCTGCTGTACGTAATTGTCTGCTGTGTTTTGCTTACAAATATACAGTCAATTCACTTACAGTATCTGTGAAGCGCTTTGAGACATCGAGAAGACGTGAAAAGCGCTATATCAAATGCAAGGATTATTATTTTTATTTTGCTTTCTAAATAGTAGTTGGCCACATTAAGTCAAGCTTCAGATAAAGTGGTAACTTATCAGATGTTTAAATGTACTTTTAATGGGATTTCAATATTCTTTGTCATCTTATCACTTTAATTTCTAGGGGTTAGATGTCCTAGAAATCATGCGAAACATTCATGTCTTTGTTTCACGCTACCTCTACAATCTCAACAACCAGGTTTGCTATTATTTTTCTGGGGACCTTATAATTGGCAAAAACTTTAACATGAACATTAATTGTAAGAATTAGTTTGAAAATTACGGGATTATAAAGTTGGTTGAAGCAAAGAGTAAAAAGTTATTTATGATAAATTTTGATGCATACAAGAGGGCAAAGGGAATAGAGGGCTGTGGAGAGGGATTTGAAGGGGTGGAGACTCATATGAGTATAAACACTGTCGGCCTACAAGGGCTGAATGACCTATTTCTTTCCTGTGATGTTGGATGTAATTGATATCCCTTTTTGTTGCATGTTACAGATCTTTATCGAACGCACAAGCAACAATAAGCATCTAAATACAATCAACATTCGGCATGTTGCAAACTCAATTCGTACACATGGAACTGGCATCATGAACACAACGGTAAGTATGCTTGTCTGTCATTACATGCATTATTACCTCTTACAGTGTTGTGGCTGAACTCACTTGTCTAGGATTTAATGATTAGTTCACTTTTGTGTCTACCACTTTCTACTATTTGTGTCATGAATTGACCGACATTTTTATGTCAATTTTCAGGCCTTGGAGCTGTTTGTTAGCCAATAAATAACTTTTCAAAAACATTTTTCCCACTTTTGAAATGGGATTCAAGATCCCCAAACCCCAGTGTGCCATTTGTTCAGCGTGTGTCCAGCATTTCACTAGGGAGCTTTGTGGTAATTTATGTTTGCAATTTTTCCTCTAGGTCAATTTCACTTACCAATTTCTGAGGAAAAAGTTTTATATCTTCAGTCAGTTCATGTATGATGAACACATTAAGTCCAGATTAATCAAGGATATTCGATTCTTTAAGGAGACCAAGGACCAAAACGATCAAAAGGTACAATCAGATTGCTGTTTAGTTATCTATTTAGACATGGAATTCATGCCATGAGAATTGGAAGTAAATGTATCATTGTTTCTGTTATAGCTTGGAAAGTAAATTATCTTACTCTTGTTTACAGTACCCCTTTGACAGAGCAGATAAATTTAATCGAGGCATCAGAAAGCTTGGCCTGACGCCAGAGGGACAGAGTTACCTGGATCAGTTCAGGCAGCTGATCAGTCAGATAGGTACGTTACTGGGGGAACATTTTGCAGTATAAGCTAATAGTTATTCAGGATTGTGATGCTGTTTCTAGTTAGCGCTTACACTGCTTGAGAATGAGTGTCTGCTCAAACTAGTTAGTATTCAGAAGCTCGTGCCAATACTTCCCTACATGAAAATTGGAAGTAAATGTATCATTGTTTCCGGTTTTGTGTCTTTTTGGGAGATGTAAAAAATTATCAAGTACATAGAGGATCTCTGTAAGTACAGACTTTTAAATTTAATACATTAAATTAGAATGGTACAGAAGAGTGACACATTTTCAACTGAGTGTTTTTAGTCATTCCCTGGCTGACTGGAGACCTTCTGTAGTTTGTCAGTCTAACCAGACCCTATTGGATATCAAGCATTGAATTTCCCAACTCAAACATATTTAATATTTAGGTGAATGATAGGAACATAGGAACAGGAGTAGGCCATTCACCCTCTTGAGCCTGTTCCACTGTTCTGTAAGATCATGTCTGATCTATACCTCAACTCCAATTCTCCGGCCTTGCCCCATATCCCTTGATACCCTGACCTAACAAACATCTATCCAATCATCACTTGCTCTGGCTTGCCTTTAGCTGGCTGACATTATTCTGAGAAAGACCAGTGTGATGCTAATCTGGTACTCTTATTACAATATGGAAATGAAATGGTGTTGGCTGGAATTCAAGGCTTTAGATTAAATGATTTCCTACCATCAGATACTGGGTTCTTTTGAAAAATTGTACACTAAATATCCAGTAACTTTTAGGGAAAAACCTATTTTAAAATTAAAAAAAAAATCAGATACTTTTTGTTTGAAACAGTGGAGCCCATGAAATTTATAATTCAGATTAATTTGGTCCTGTGAGAAATGGGTATGCAAAAGCTCACGCATTTACGATGGTTCAGGCGTTTAGCTCATCGATGACACAATGAAAAGGATCAATTGATACAGTGTTCCAAAGGATTCAACATTTTCCTCCTTTTCTCCTGAAGATTGATTCATGTTGGGTTGCTAGGAGTTGCACCCCTCCAGTATCTACTGATTAATTGTTTATGTGCCAGCCTACAGTGAGCATCATCAAGCCATTGAGCTGAGTGTAGAAACCAGAGTCAAAGCCAATCCAAGGTCTATCCTCACACACTTGCATTTTTCAGCAAATATCACTGAATCCAGGTTAGAACGTGTCCTGTGCCCCTATTGTTTCTCTCATCCCCTCCTCTAATATAACCTTTGGGTATTTAATGCTTAAAGCACAGCCCAATACGATGAAGCTTAACTGCACAAACGCAGCTCTGAAGCTGAGTTTCAGAGTTTGTGGTGGTGTGTTTACCCACTGAATCTGCAGGATTTCAGAATGTTAATGGCTGTTGCTTAGTTCTGACTGTACAACTATACCTAGGAGTGGAACATTTATTACAAGAAGAAGCTTACTTATCCTACCCCTACCTTCCCACCCTCCACCCCTCCTGATCCCAACCACCGGCTTGGGTGCAGATTGCTGACTGTCCAGCAGCCCCTTGGGACATTCTCCTGAGGTGGATGTGCTATACAAATGTAAGTTGTTGTATAAAATAACTTATTTTACCACAGCAGGAAAGGTTTGTTTCTGTTCAAGCAAAGAAATATTATAGTAAAAATTAATTAAAATGTCTCTGAACTTGTATGAATGCTTTGATATTCATGTTTAATATGATTTTCTGTAGGGAATGCAATGGGCTATGTTCGAATGATTCGATCTGGTGGACTACATTGTTGTAGTAATGCCATAAGGTACAGTTTGATTAAAAAGCAAAAGCATTTCTTCAAACTGACAACAGCTAGCTCTTAAGTTTACAATGATTTAATATTTTCTTTAGGTTTGTTCCAGACTTGGAGGACATTGTGAACTTTGAGGAGCTTGTGAAAGAGGAAGGACTTTCTGAGGAGACTCAAATAGCAGCAAGGTAATGGCACCAAACATCACACAGTAGTAATACCTGCTGTGCTCAAACATTCACTTATTACATCCCTCAAGATCCTCGCGAAGGATCCGGGACATTACCCCGTATGGAGGGCACTATATTCATGCACTTTGTTGTTAATGGAAAAGGAACATGTTGTAATCATTAACTATGTTAATCTCTTGGCAGATCGACACATATATGTGTTCTTTGCTTTCTAATTCACATTTTAAGACCAGTCAGAAATGTAGATATTGCCCCACAGCTTGCATGAATCTTAAATGTTCTTCCTCAAAACTACTATTGACCATTGAATTAGTATGTGATTTAATTAGTAGGTAGCTTACACTGCGAATACTAACACTGTGTTTGTAGTGTAAGCTTTTTTTTTTGAGAAACCTTTAGATTTTCATTCAGCGTGTTGTGAATGTTGCAGACAGCTGGACTCCGTCCTGAGTGACCTCACCAGAAACTCGGCTGAAGGGACCGAGTACTTCAAGATGCTGGTGGAGGTATTCTCTCCTGAATTCCGTAGTCCTAAAAATATGCATCTTCGCAACTTCTACATCATTGTACCACCACTGGTAGGTGTATGCTTTAATATTACCTGCATGTTTCATGTCTATCTATACATTACAACTATAAATAACCTTTAACATTTAAAATAATAATAATAATTTGGTCACTCAATCCTGACTGTTTGTGGGGCACTCACTGTTGTGCGCAATTGGCTGCTGGATTTTGCCCACTAAATATACAGTCGATTCACTTTACAGTATATGTAGAGTAAAGATAGAAGCCAATGGTATAAAAGGGACAGTGGCAGCGGATCCAGAACGGGCTGGGAGACAGAAAGCAGAGAGTTGTGGTGAACGGCTGCTTTTCTGACTGGACAGTGTACAGTGGCGTCCCCCAGGGATCGGTATTAGGACCACTGCTCTTCTTAATATACATAAATGATCTGGACTTGGGTATAGCGAGTACCATTTCCAAGTTTGCGGACGACACAAAGTTAGGGAGGGGGTAAACAGTGAGAAGGATAGGAGCCGACTGCAGGAAGACATAGACAGAATGATAAAATGGGCGACACATGGCAGATGAGTTTCAATGTGGAGAAATGCGAAGTAATGCATTTTGGTAGAAAGAATGAGCGGAGGCAATAATGGCTGGTAATACAATCTTAAGGGGAGTAAAAGAACAGAGCAACCTGGGGGTGCAGGTAAATGAATCCTTGAAGGTGTCAGGACAGGCAGATAAAGCTGTAAAAAGGGCAAATGGGATTCTAGGCTTTATAATTAGGGGCATAGAGTACAAGAGTCAGGAGGTTATGATTAACCTATATAAAACACTGGTTAGGCCTCAGTTAGAATACTGCCCCAGTTCTGGGCACCACACTATAGGAAGGATGTTAAGGCATTGGAAAGTGTGCAGAGGAGATTAACGAGGATGGTACCAGGAATGAGGGACCGTGATGATGAGGAAAGGTTAGGATTAGTCTCATTGGAGCAGAGAAGGTTACGAGGACCTGATAGAGGTCTTCAAAATCATGAGGGGATTTGATAGCTTAGAAAGGGACAAACTGTTCCCACTGGTGGGTGTGTCGGTGACTCGAGGCCACAGATTCAAAATAGTCTCTAAAAGAAGCCGAGGGGAGGGGAGAAGACATTGCTTCACGCAGCGAGTTGTTCGAATCTGGAACATTGCCTGAAAGGGCGGTCGAGGCCGATTCGATAACTACTTTTAAAAATGCGGTGGACGGGTATTTGAGGAGGACGGGTTTGCGGGTTATGGGGAAAGAGCCGGGGAGAGGGATTGACATTACATTGTTCTTCACAAAGAGCGGCACAGACTCGATGGGCCGAATGGCCTCTTTTTGTGATGTACGATTCTATGATTCTATATCCTGTGAAACGTTTTGAGATGTCTTGAAGACGCGATAAGGCGCTGTATCAAATGCAAGAATGAATATTCTTTAACTTTTGAGCTTGCTATTTGTTGGATTTAAAGTTGGATTTAATCATGAATGTTTAAAATTTTCATAATTATCTGGGTTTTATTAAGGCATTAACAAACCAATTAGCTTCTTTGATCTGATCATTTACTAGTGGTCAAATACTTGCTGCTGATCGTATCATTGTTTTTTTTCCCCTTTTCCTCTGTTTAGACGTTAAACTTTGTTGAACATTCAATAAGCTGCAAAGAGAAATTGAACAAGAAGAATAAAGTTGGAGCTGCCTTTACTGATGATGGCTTTGCAATGGGTTAGTACAAATACAACTGTCTATGTAGAATATACTCAATAATATATTCCTTACAGTAGTAAGTTGTTGATGGGGACTGAAAGGAATGCTGTTTAAAAGAGTCAACAGAGACACTATGGACCAATGGCTTTCTTCTGTGCTTAACTTTCTATCTTTGTGTTATGGAATTTATTTCTGTAAAGAACCAGGGCCACTTTGTGACTCATTTTAAACCATAAACAATAGGTGACATGCAAGTGTATTTGAGATGCACATAGTTGTCACTGTGTTGGCCTTGTGTGTGATACAGGGAACATACCTGAGGTAATAAAGCTACCGTTGTTTGAGTTCTAGATATTGTGAGGACCACTGGATGCTGAGTTTATTTTTTAAGGACATAGAATCTGTTTTGAGTAATGTGAGATTGCTGAATTCATACTTGTTTGATTTGCCTGAATATTGCATTGTTGTATGCTTGCCCATTCCTTGTAGCACGTGTTAGTAAAGTGGCTTCTCAATTATTCTAGGTGTTGCCTACATTCTTAAACTGCTGGATCAATACCAGGAGTTTGACTCGTTGCACTGGTTTCAATCAGTGAGGGAGAAATATATGACGGAAAAGAATGCAGTTGTCAAACAACAGAATGTACAGTCAACTAATCAAGATGAAAAGCTAATGCAAACAATGAACCTAACTCAGAAACGCTTGGACATATATTTACAGGTATTTTATTTGTAGCATTTGAAGTAGATAATCTGATGTGTATTCTGCATATTGTCCTGATTGTTCCATAAGGACATTGGTTACACTGACCATACTCAAATCAATTATTTTCCTCTCACAAACTGGTAGATCTACAGAATAGACTCACAATGAAAGTAATTGGTATTATGGAGTAGTGTCCATGTTGGCTGGATGTTTTAGGTGTCAAGCAGGTGACAAATAATAACAATCATAGTGTTTAAGAGTGTCCAAACCAGACTGAAGATTCCACATATCTCTGGCACTTGGAATGGAATATGCACTCTCTACTGTAGAGTCATACTGTGCCTTTATCCCATCTTCCTGCCTTAATTACTTATCCTGCCCTAGCTTCAATATTCCCATTATAACGGGTAAGAATTGTAATGATAGGGATGATCATTTAGGAAAAAACATGCTCAGGGATCCAATTTACCCTTGAAAAGCACTGTCTGATATCCAATTTCTGGATTCTTATTAGCACATGTTCTTATATATTAACACCCATATTAACATGCTCATCTGTAACTGAAATTCAGAGAACATTTCAAATTGTGAAACTAATGATTGTGTAAACTTTTTGTTTTCAGGAGTTTGAGTTGCTGTATTTTTCGTTGAGTAGTGCTCGGATTTTCTTCAGAGGAGATAAAACTGCGGCTGAAGAAAACCAGGAACAAAAAGATAGAGAAGGTATTTCATTTTGAAACTCATTTTTGGACAGTACCTAGATTTCTATTTAAATTTGTTTTCTGCACCGTTCACTACCAACTTGGATAATATAATGGCATCCTGTAGCTCAGTGGTTAGAGCACTCGCCTCACAAGCAAGAGACTTGGGTTCGATTCCCGGCAGGTCAGGGCGAAACCTTGTGCAAGTTTCCCTACTCCACACTCCTGATAATAATCCCTCAAGAGAAAAAAACAATATTAGATTGTTCATTCAATCCACAACTGTTTGTGGGATGCTGCTGTGCGCAATTGACTACTAGGTTTCGCCCACAAATATACAGTCAATTCACTTTAAATTCTGTGAAGCTCTGGAAGACATGAAAAGTACTATATCAAATGCAAAGTTTATTATTATAATACTTGCATTTGATACAGCGCCTTATCACGTCTTTGAGACGTCTCAAAGCTCTTCATAGAATACACTGAATGGACTGTATATTTTGCGGGTGAAACGTGGCAGCCAATTGCGCTCAGCAGCGTCCCACAAACAGTGAACAAATTATTTTTTAAAGTTTGGAGGGATTATTAGCCCTGGATGATAAAAACATGTTTTTTTCTACTCCTTTCTGGTTGTTTATACCCTGTACAAATTTGTCAGTAAACAGCTGAAATCCTGAGCAAATAAACCAGCTGCATGTCTGGCACAGCGCTGGCAGGTGTGGCATTCTCCAAGTATATCACTGGAGTTAACCCACTGAAAAATAATAGCGTTTCATGCAGTGACCTTTACTCACGACCACCACTGGTTACCTCTTGCTGCCCTGCAAACTGGTTATTCATATTCAAGGGCAAAAAATGAGCTAACTATGAAGATTCCTATTTTTAAAAAATTGGAAAGTAAAGATATTATCGCTGGTTACACTGTAAGTGCTGCCTTTACATAGATATTTACTTCATTGAGATGAAAACTGTCAAAAAATACATCTGACCCTCACTGCTCTGTGCTCCCACCATAGCAGATCAAGTTTTATTCCACGTCCAAATGCCAGTGAAATTGTTGATGAGATGTAATGTAAGAGAATTTACATTGCAACTTCAAATCAGAATTCTACACGTTTCTGTATTAATGCTTTAATAAACAACTTCCCAGGAAGGGCAAAACCTTAGGCAACTTTCCTTACCCTACACGCCTGTTTACCTAGGTGTAAATCGGAACCTGGTTGTTAGTCGATTGGCGCATCGCTTTCTGGGAATACTAATCCCTCAAAAAAAATAATAATAATTCAGTCACTCAATCTACAACTGTTTGTGGGACGCTGCTGTGTGAAATTGGCTGCCGAGTTTCACTCACAAAATACTTAGTCAATTCACTTTACAGTATATTCTGTGAAACACATTGAGAAGTCTCGACGATATAATGAGTTATATCAAATGTAAGGATTATTATTATAGAATTACACGTTTCTATATTAATGCTTTAATATGCAACTTTAAAAAACTAAAAAAACTTTTTAAAAATAGGTGTTGCAGACCTGTCATACATAATTATGACATGTGTAAATTGGATGCCAATTTAATATTTAATTTCTTCTATATGTCGTTTTTCTTCTTCCTCAGATGAAACTACTAAATCGAACAATGACTCCCTGAACAGTTCCTTGCCTGACTCTGCTATGAAGTGATGTGCAATGGTGCCATATTAAAACAAACCTTATTTCCATGTGGTTGTTTACCTTCTGTGCACTTCTATCTCCTACACTGCAGATTGGTTTTCGATTTCTTTTACAATTTATTTTTAGTATAAAATAAGCATTTTGAAAAAATTTTTGGCAGCCCAGTAGCAGTGTTGGTGTTGATACAAGGAAGGGTTTGACTAGGTCATCATTAGTTTGCTGTCCTCATTGCATTTTCCCCAGTTGGTCAGGTGATTCTATTAGCTGCACACAATACTACATCTCCAGTGGGGAAGCAAATACTTGAAAAAATCATTCATTGTATTTGAGGTAACATTCAATTAATCATTTGTGGGTTAAAGAACTCTGCTTTTGGTTTTGACTTCCATAGTGAAATATTCTAGTCAATTCTGCTCAACTCGCTTACCTTTAACTGAACAGAACTCCATTGTTTTTGACAGTGAGAAAGTGCAGATCTTCATTGCTTTGACTATAAATAACAGTATTATAAAGGATGTGCCTCAATAGAAACTAGTGCCTCTAGGCATGAAGCACTTGCATCTTTGGGCATTTGATTCTTCTTTTTGTATATTTATCTACCCTGTGGCCAAAGGAACTGACCTGAACATGTGGAGTCCTGTAGCTCAGTGGTTAGAGCACTCGCTTTGCAAGTGAGAGACCCGAGTTCAATTCAAGGCAGAGGGCGAAACCTCGGGCAAGTTTCCTTACTCCACACAGAGCCTAATAATAATCCCTCCAAAACCAAAACAATAATAAATTGGTCATTTTCAATCTACGACAGTTTGTGGGACATTGCTGTGCGCAATTGGCTGCCGCGTTCGCCCACAAATATACAGTCAATTCACTTTACAGTGTGTTCTGTGAAGCGCTTTGGGACGTCCTCCTGACGTGAAAAGCGCTATATCAAATGCAAGGATTATTTTGCTATTAATCTGGAATTTTCAGTATGTTCTTTATTACTGGCAGCAGGGAGGCATCCCACTCAGCTCCTGTTAACTCTGCAAGCCAAGGCCCTAACGGATAGGTCCTAGCTGGACAAGCGGGAAAGCTCGCCAGGCAGCAATATCAATGGCAAGCTATGCGGTTTTAGCTGGTTAAACTCCAGCAGTTACCTCAATGCACATTCTTGGGTCCCCAAGCCTTGGCTCTTTCTAGAATTAGGTAAATGCATTAACAAAATTCAGATTGAGAGGCTTTCTGTTAGGGATATTGTTTTATCTGACTGATGATTGGTCAGTTACTGTTTTTTTCTCATGGTGAACACAATGTGCAGTGCACCATTACCTTTTCAATCTTGAAGCTTCAAATCTATGTTAAATAATTTATGCCTCATATTGTTTTCATACTTTTTTGTGTAGTAGCTCAGTGCTGCTTTTTTCTTCTGTCCAGGTGCAGTTAATTAATCTGCTTCAAGCCACATTAACACTATTGGTAATCCTCCTCTCCCACTTCACCCTCCTCTGAATGCTAACATTAAACACAGCTCTGAAAGACGATAACTGGTGGGAATCTTCTCTGTACATTATACATGTAATTCCACTGACATTGTTAAACAAATGTATCTGAGCTATAATCATCATTTTACTCATTTCTTAAATATTTAGAGACTTGTTAAAGGAAATTGGGATGTGAATAACCCTGTAGCTCATTAAGGAATATTTCTGATCAATTTGACCCATTAAGAATCTCTTGTGGACATTAAGTATAGAGGCATGAACTTGCTGTGTAGCTTTATATAACGCGAATCATCTGGTCTGAATTCATTGTGTGATACATTTAACTGATTAAAAAGTACTAATTGTAATACTCAGGAATATGGGATCAAACAAAAGGTTTGTTTAGTTTCAAACACTTGGATTTGAAAATGATTAATTTTAATAATGTGAACATTTAATTAGTTTAATTTATATCTTTCACTGTAATTTCCTTTGTATATCTGATTTAAATTTGGAAGTATTTTACGGTCCCAGTGTTTGGGATAGGCAAGGCTTTAGGTATGTGCCAAAGCACTCCAAAACTTTAAAACAGGATTTGATAATAAGGATTTGATAGATGTCAGAAGATCCAGGTCCATCGAGTTCTTCCACCATCCTGGCCATCGCTTGATGTGTCGTGTCCCAAACTATATGCTGTATCCCCAGGTATTATTTTCTAACCAAAATTTATCATTTATTCTTAAAAGAATCAACACTTCTTGCCATCGCTCAGCCAGAGGTAGATTTATAATACCGCAGATGTTGATATTCTGATGATATTCTCCAGATTCATTCATATTGATTTCAGCAATGAGCACTTGTTTGCTGCTGCCATAGCAACAAGTTGGCCTTGTATTTGTTCATTTGTTTTTGAAACCAATGATAGCCAGCCATCGCCTCACAACATTGACCAGGTTACGTCAAATACAATAGTCAAAACAGACTGCTTTACACTTGTATTTCTGGTGCTTTATTGTTAATTTCAGTTGCACCGTATTCTTTTGGAAGAAAATGTTATTTGTGCTAATGCCCACAATAAATATCAGTCTTCTCATTTCAAAGATTTATTTCAGAACATTCCTTTTAAAAGATTTCAGAATGTCAGGTTTCTTTTATCTTTACAAAGTCTTGTTTATAACAGCAGCATGGGCTTACAGGTTCAGGGAGCTCCATGCAGATTTAGAAAAATAAAACCACATGGGTTATTTGGTCATTGTGTTCATTCATACTGTTACTACCACATGTAAATATAGAACCTCCTACTTCACTGACCATATGATTACGCTCACTACAGCCCACAGGGTAGATTAGCAGAATATTAAATTTCAAACAGAATATTCAATTCTAGTCTTTTACTTTTTAACTGGTTTTGTTATTTTAATGTTGTTCTCAGTTAAAGCCTTAGCTGTGTTTAGATTTTCTTCAATTCACAATTCTTAAAACTGAAAATCCCACAAACCGGGTATATTTTGTTCCTGAGGATATTGAAAACAGAAGACAAGTCCTGACAACCGTATAAGGAACTAAGGAACCGTATAAGGTGTAAACAAGTAAATTATATAAATCACACATTCTGGTAAAGCAATTAAGTCAGTAAGAGGCTAATTGGGTAACTCGGGTTTAGAACATTTTAACATCTCTATTGCTCTTGTCCTCAAAGAAAAGAGAATGTAAATTTTTTTAAAAAGTTAAAACTTTTTTTTCTCACCCACCGATTTATGACTTTTAAGGAGTTGGTGGACAGATATTTTATTATAAAATGGATTGATAGTGTTAGGAACATCCTGATGATTAAACATTTTGTGAAATGCTGAGTGCAACCTTTCGGCTCGAATGTTGCTGGAAGGAGCTGGTGAGGAAAATTTGTTAGTTTGTCGAGCGGGTGGTTTGCTCGATTACTCTGAGAAATTTAAAACAAGTCTTGTCCAAGTCTGATACCGAGCACAGGGGGAGAGGGAGGGGGGATGTGACCATAAGCACAATCAAGAAGGAAGGTCTTCAGGCAGAATTTGTAGGTGGGGAGGGAGGGGGCGAGGCGGAGGGATTGATGGAGAGAGTTTCGAGTCGTAGTGGCTACCAATGGTGGAGCTGACTCAATCGCAGCACCCTACAGGATCCAGCATTCATAATTTGGATAACAACAACAAATTACATTTGTATTGTGCCTTTCATATCAGGATAGACAGCAGTGCACACCCGAGCTCAGTGGGGAACTGCAGAGTTAAGAGGTTTACTGTAGCTGAACGTAAGTGATGTTGCTTTTCTTCAGATTGCTGTAGTGTTTCAAAGCTTATATTTCTAAACCGTTGGGTAAGAGCTTTTGTCTTGTTGCCCTTGTGAAGAATACTGAGCCTGAACAAATATTAGTATTTGTTAGTATGTTAATACTGAACAAAGTGTTAGTATTGCTTGAAAATGTGTTTAAAAAAATAGCTGGAGTACAGAACTGTTCAAATCTTATGCTCGTGATCCATAGTTCTAAAGCTGACAGAGGATAAATGACAAACTTTACACATTTTTAACAAGTAGACTCTGAAATAGTCAGTGTAAGCTTGTCCAGGAACAGTTTAGTAATACTGTGGTATATTGGAGCAGATTGTCATTTGAGACTTTTTGCTTTACATAGAATTTTAAACCAGTAAGTACAAGTCAACACACTGCTGGAGCAAAACTGTTTGCTCTTAAACTAAGGCATCAAATCATTATCAAATAAAACCATCAATTAAGGTCAGGGCCTTAACACTTTGCCCTTTCGCCCCTTTCCTTCTCTTGGAGTGTAGGTCTATGTATAAAACTGGTTAAGCCAGGCACAGGGCTACTTTATATGCGTTTATACCTTGAAAAAGCCTTAAAAGCACAGGTACTTCAATCAGTTTAAGTGTTGTGAAAGTTATGAAATTTTAAAAAAAAGTGTAAAAGGCCAAGTGAATGGTTCCCTAATTGCACAGTTTAAGAGTGACCATGCAAGCTAAATTCCAACTATTGCATAATTATGTGAATTTAAATTCTTCATACACCCTGATGAAAAAGTAATATTACTCATGACTAGTAAAATATTAGCCTTCATACTACACCAAACTGACCTATAACTTCATGTCCAAAATTATATATTTACAATGAAGTTCTATTGGAGCAGAAACTTACAAGAAAGTCCGAGAGATTAATTAAAGTAAGTTTTTTTTTCTACTCATTTCAGTCAAATAACTTGTAGTTATGCCTCTGACTCTAAGCCCTCTTCCTTTTCCTCTTTGTCTGGTTGGTGGCTGAGTAACAAGAACTTCCCATCAGGACTGAGTGAAGTGGCCTTCATAAGTTTAGCTAAAGCTTCAGGATCCTGAAAGAGAGAATTACATTTATATATTATATATATATACATAGCACCTTTCACATCAGGAGTATGTCCAGAAATGTAATGTACTTTTAGATTGGTGGTGAATTTCACATTCCAATTCCAAGCTGTTTGCTTAGATAAAATAATGTAATTTTAGCATTTGATATAGTGCCTTATCACGTCAGAGATAATAATAATCTTTGCATTTGATATAATGCTTTTCACGTCTTCTAAACGTCTCAAAGCGCTTCACAGAATATACTGTAAATGAATTGACTGTATATTTGTGGGCGAAATGCGGCAGCCAATTGCGCACAGCAGCGTCCCACAAGCAGTCGTGGACTGAAGTGACCAAATTATTATTTTTTTGTTTTGTTTTTAAGGATTATTAACCCTAGAAAAGTGATCTGCGAATCGACTAACAACCGGGTTCCTACTTACTGCTGGTAAACAGAGGCGTGTGGGTTAAGGAAACTTGCCCAACATTTCGCTCGAACCTAGGTCTCTCGCTTGCAAGGCGAGTGCTCTAACCACTGAGCTACACTGAGGTATTCTACTGTGAAGTGTAATGACTATGCAGTTCCCTAGACGTGATTAGACACTAAAAGAAAATTAAGAGGAAAATCAGCAAAACAGTTCATTGAACTATTGTCCATAAAATGCATTTCTTTACAGGAGTAATCAATGTAGTCTCTTGCTCAAATGTTTCAATTCTAAAAGCCTCTTACCTTCTCAGTCTGAGCAATATCTTTTCCAAACTTAATGAAAGAACATATCTGGAAAAATATAGATAACAAATTAGTGCAAAGGATCTTTGTCAAGACAATAATCTCCCAGCCATTCAGAATGTGGGAATTGATCCATTAAATGGCCTTTTTGATTGGAGGTTAATTTTGTTCAAAGAAAAAAAACAGTGGATTGACAAATGTTTGATTCAGTGCTCTCTTATTTATTCCAACCATTTCTATTTCAGCATATTTTTCTATTTTTAAAAAACAGTTATTCCAAAATCTCTGGTCACACTTTCACACCTAACTAGTATCTTGTTGACCAAGGCCTGGGATTAGGTCTCCAGCCCTTTGCCCTCAATATGAAGATGACAACACTAAGGAAAGTAAAGCAAACCATTTTGGTTGTACACCCTTTACAGCACCCAGACATTACATTCTTACCTTTTCACCATCATCATTAGTTTCAAAAATATAGCAGTTGAGTGTGGCTCCTCTTGGTGTCTGTGTATTGGTACGTACCACCAAACCAATTAGCCTTTTGTTATCTTGGTTGGTTGCAAACAGGGTGACATCCTTAAGTGCAAACTGGAAAACATGAAATTATCCAATGTAAAGTAAGCAACTTTAGTTCAGTTTCTATGTGCATGATTTCTGTAATTTTCCCCAATAAGATGCCATTAATATGCTTCTTGGATCAGTTTATCAACTCACAATTACTTAAATTATCTTCTAGTTTATTAGAAACGTGGAATTTACACATTCACATGCTGTACCTTAAGTCCAACACTAGTTTGAATTAAAAGTGAATTCTCAAAGTACACACAAATGTATATTTAATCCACAAAATATAGTCAATTCACTTTACAGTATATTCCATGAAGCGCTTTGAAACATCTCAACAACCTAATAATGTGCTATTTCAAATCCAAGCATTTTTATTATTATAACTGGAGGGTGGGGTAGAAATGTTCATTTATATTGAAGGTAAATTAGTGACAGAATACAATTACTCACACTTATTCTCTGAACTTTGGTTTGTGGCTCAACAAATCTGTAATCAAAAGTAATTCTCAATGATCTATTCCATGATTAACCTGGAGTATATATGCATCTCATTGTCAATTTAAAACAAAGCAGTAAATCTAAAGTTGGTTTCTCTCCTCAAAAGGTTTCTTTGTTAAACTTTATATTCATCTCGCTGTAAGTTAATAAAATGTTGATTCTCAGATAAATTGAGACTATTCATAGGATCATCGGAACAGGAGGAGGCCATTCAGCCCCTCGAGCCTGTCCCGCCATTCTATGAGATCAAGGCTGATCTGTACCTCAACTCCAATTGCCCCATATCCCTTGATCCCCTGACCTGCAAATATCTATCCACCTCAATCTTGAAAATTTATATAGATCCATCCATAATCCACAGCCTTTTTGGGGGAAGAGAGATCCAGATTTCCACCAGCCTTTGTGTGGAAAAACTGCCTCCTGATTTCGCTCCTAAATGGCCGAGCCCTTGCCCCCTTCTTCTGGATTCCCCAACAGAGGAAATAGTTTCTCTATAGCTAACCTGTCGAATCCCTTTATTATTTTAAAAACCTCAATTAGATCACCCCTCAAACTTCTAAACTAAGGGAATAGAGACCAATATTCAGCATTAAGAGAAAATACAGATTTAAGCTTTAATATTTACCTCAAGCTGCTAGAATTAACCACCAAGTGCAACTCAGTTGTACGAAACACATTGTGGATTGCTCGGGCAGCCAAAACCTGTCTCATTGCCTCGTGGATTAATTCAGAGCTTTGGTCAGATCTTGCTTCAACGGATCCTAAAAGCCTAACTACAAACACCTGGTGCAGAAGAGAGTCTGTAAAACAGTAAAACCTATGAAAATGTCGCTACATAATGCCAGTTAATATTTGACAATTCAGTTTATTGTATGAATAAACTGAATTTTATTTCAGTTACAAAGCTGCAAACAAATTAAATTTCATTTCAGCCCCTACCAGATTGTAATTGTAACCAGTGTAAAATAGGTATTTAATATCTGTCCATTATTGAAGTGTTCTATTTACACAACACACCATTTTGCTACACCAAAAGATTATTATTATTATTATTAATTCCTGCAGAATTATTTTGTGATACAAAACAAACAGTAAAATCCTCTCTAAAAGGAATTGTACCTCCTGAGGCAACCCCATTGTCCTGGTCCACCTCCCCAAATGGGTTTGTCCGTCTGAAAAAGGTTTATAATGAATTAAAGTACACTGAAACTGTTCTCTAGAACATTCAAGTTATTCATTTCTCCATCACCACGTTGGCTCACATACCTAACAGCAGCTTTGCTGGGATCCGGGTCGTCACTCACTGTGTGCACAAAGTCAAACTGAATGGGGCTTCCTGGGAGGATGACTGGCTCAGTGACACCAAGGGAATCGGTCATGTCCAACTCCTCGCTGGGAACGTCTGCCTGCTCATGCTTGACTCTGCTTCTCCCACAGAGAGTGAAACAGTAAGCTGTTAGAGGCCTTCGAGGTGCTGCACATTTTACTTAATGATGGTTCAAAAACACATACAAAAATTACAAACTCAACATCAGGAACATGGATAAACTAAAAAAAATCACAATACTGTTTGTTTCAGTTTAATAAAGATAAATAAATCCTTTTATATTTTCTTAGAAATGTTCCTTCATCTCACTTTTTGTGCTAGACACAATTTGATTTTTAAAACGTTTTAAGAGTTGACACTGGAGATGTGGGACATGCCAATATTTCACACTCGGGCATGGAATGTGACACTGGCTCATATCCACCACTTACGGCAAAATACAACATACATTTGATTTGCCAAAACCAAATGTTAGCATTAAATGTAATGCTGTATTTCCTTAATGTAATAAACTTTCAATTACAGAAAGAATATTTTAAGAAGGAATTGCAGGATTGTAATAGCAGGGAAGTCTCTATTTTACAGAAGGAGTAATCTGCCTCATACAGTTGGTAAGTATTCATTAATTATAATAATTTTTGCATTTGATACAGCACCTTATCACGTCTTCGTAACGTCTCAAAGCGCTTCACAGAATATAATGTAAAGTGAATTGACTGTATATTTGTGGGAAAAACACAGCAGCCAATTGTACACAACAGCCAATTGTACACAGCGTGTCCCACAAACAGTTGTGGATTGAATGCCCAAATTCTTATTATTTGTTTTTGAAGGGCTTATTACCCTGGAAAGTGATACACCAATCGACTAACATGCGGGTTCCTACTTACTGCTGGTAAACAGTAAGAAAACTTGCCCAACACTTCACCTGTCTGGGAATTGAACCCAGGTCTCTCGCTTGCGAGGCGAGTGCTCTAACTGCTGAGCTACAGGACTCCACAATGACCTGACTGCAGATCATCTCGCTGCTCTTCATGCTCTCACCTTTCAGGACGTAGACTTTCATGTTTTTTCTGAAACGTGGACATTGGGGTCACTGCTTCCACTGCTGTTTGGTTCAGCTTGATTGCAATCGCCTAACCACACAACAAGAATATAAAAGTAGAAACAATGCTCAAAATATAGCAATAATTGCTATTGGCATTTTACAGGGAAAGAAAAGCTATTTCAATTAGAAAATTACCTCTGGGTTATCAGTGAGATAGATCTGCCTCGAAATATTATTGATGGTACAAATCCACTACGGAGATAAATAAGGACACGTAAACAAATTTCTGCTCAAAGTTGAAGAAAAACACAAAACATAGAAAGAATGTATCTCATTACCTCTTCATATTCCTGTTTGCCTTCTGCTTGCAGTATGATGCCCCTAGAATATAAATGTAACTATTAATGTGTAAATCAGATAGAACCCTCAGTGTTTTCTTCAAGGATCAGTTGAGAACTTTTAAGTACACTATTCACCGAGTTCAATATTACTCTACAGTGATTGCTTGTAATGCCACAAAACACTTTAACTCTCCCTCTGTAGTGACAGTTTAATTGTCCTCTTCCTTCCACTATAACAACCCCCTCTTTGCCCCATTTCTATCAGTGTCACCTCCACGACTGGCAATTGCAGGACATTGCACACTGAGACCAACCTTCTTATGAAGGTGAATCTAACAATAAAGTGGAGTAATCCCTAACGAGCTTCCAGGCCAGGTCTGTTCAAAGTAACAAATCTGACTGAATAGTAAAGGTGTTGCAATCATTAATATTGTAGATTTGGATTCGTTTATTTTTGGAAATGAAGTATATAAGTAGAAAGAGCGGTTAAGGCCAGGAGGGAGGGGGTCGGTCAGGGACACAATGGCTGAAGGCTCCCCATTGATAGTGGAGTGGACTGATCATGGACATGAGGTAGGCCAGTGATGGCTGAACAGACGTAGATCGAGTGGATAGACCACTTGTCACAGAGGAGACCACTTCATCAGAAAGTATTCACACAGATCAGCGAGAACATGATATGGTTCTTGAACATTTACGTACGTCTTTCCTGAAGGTGCAGTGATCTGGAAACAGTATCTTCTGTCCTCACAATCCACGGCCATGACAGAGCAGTTGTCCAGATCAAGGATCAGTCCCCCAGCCACGGCCCCTCGGGGCTGACACATCAGGTTTCCTCCCTGGGTAAAGAAATACAGCCTTTCCCATGATGTGGACACCAGCCCGGTTTTACTGAAATAATAAAAACATAATATTAACAAGTGCAATATTTGCATATGAGCTGAGTCTAAATATAAATTTGAATACAAATAATTAAGTTAAGGGTAATAATCCCTTCAAAAAAAAATTTGGTGACTCAATCCACGAGTGTTTGTGGGACGCTGCTGTGCGCAATTGGCTGCTGCACTTCGTCCACAAAATATACAGTCACTACACTTTACAGCATATTCTGTGAAGCGCTTTGAGACGTCTCAACGAGGTGATAAGGCGCTATATCAAATGCAAGGATGATTACTCTATTATAAGTTGAGAGGTGATTTCCTTACTTCCGTATATTCAGGTAGCCTGCCTTCTGCAGGAGATTCCTTTTAGCTGGTTGAGCTGCAGTAGCATTGTTGTCAGGGATGTAGACAGATTCGTTGGCTAACAGCAGTTCTTGCTGGGTCAGTCTCATGCTCTCTGCCTCAGTGTCCAGTTGTCCTTGTATACTGTGTAATCAGATAAGCACATAAAGAAACAAAACAAGAATGCATTATTTTTTAACAAAAAATATTGAAAACTATGCATTACATGTAGAGCCTGGTCACCAGCTCCGTGACCCTACAACCCCCATCCTCGCCCGACTCCACTGGCTTCCATCGCACAGAAAATACAGTTCAAGATCCTGGTCTTCACCTTCAAAGCCCTCCATGGCCTTGCTCCCCCCGACCTCTGCCACCTCCTAATCCCCTACGGCCTGCTTCACATCCCCCGCCTCGCTCGCCCCACCATTGGCAGGCAGGCCCTCTGTCACTCTGCCCCCACTCTCCGGAACTCCATCCCGCAGTCCCTCCGCCTCGCCCACTCCCTCGCCACCTTCAAGACCCATCTCAAGACCCTCCTCTTTGTCTGTGCTTTTGATCTCCCTGTTTCCCCCCCGGCCTCCACCCTGCCTGATCCTGACCCCCAGCTCAGGTCCGTAACTCTGTCTGTCCAGCGCCTCGGGACATCCTCCTGACGTGAAAGGCACTTTACACATGTAATTTTGTTGTTGTAGATTGTTTGGTTGTAACTAAAGTAATTGTACCTCTATAATAAATGAAAGTACACTTGTCACTATATAAATTTAGGGTATTTGCTGAACTTCTCTTTGAAAATCTATATAGTGTATTAAATAAAATCATATTTGTTCAAAGTGAACCTGATATACATATTACTTGTTCATGGAGATGATTTACCTATGGACCATGGTGGCCACAGAAGACAAAAAATCTTCCAATGTTTTAGAAAACATCTCCACTCCCATCTTGAAAAAATTGATCTGAAATGTACAAGAATATAAGACAACCAAGTTACTAATATACCAAGGTTAAGATCTTTGGCTAACATCAGCTGTTTCAGTGAAACTAAAACTGCCCCCAAACATATCTGAATTCTGAATTTCTAAAAGGTTCTAATGAAATAGAATTGTAAGATAACATTTGCCGTGGTGTCTATCTCAGTGATAGAACTATCCTTATAGAGTGCTATCGATTCCAGCTTTAACTCACAAAAAATAAAATGTATACCTTTCTTGTATAACAGTATCCAAATAGATAAGACTAATTAAATGGAGGTTACTGTTCAGTAGAGCAATGAATACACAACTTCTGATAAGAGAGTGGGAGTGAATGGCTCACACTGGAGCAGTGCATGTTATACAGCTTTGTCTTGTGTAGGGTCAGGACTGTATGGGTCGGGATACCAGAGCAAATAATCATGGGATTTGAATCATGGTCAGGTACAGTAGCACCTGCCTTTATTGATAATAAAATAAATTCTGTGGCCTTTTTTGGTTGATTAAACTACATGCTATTGAAATCCAAACTTTAATTACTAGCTGTTCTGTTTAGTTCTGTCCTGCATAACTTTATTCTGCAAATACCATACCTTTTGCCTGCATTACAACATGTGTATTTTACAGTTTATACATTCAGCATTGATGTTCTTAAGTGGAAAGTTTGCTTGATATTTTATATAAGGGTGAAACCTTAGGAAAGTTTCCTTACTCCACACAGCTCTGTTTACCTACCAGTAAGTAGCAACCTAGTTGTTAGTCAATTTCTGTGGTGGTGGGGGTTGGGGGTGATAATCTGATCAGTCAATCCATGACTGTGTGAGATACTACTGTGCGCAATTGGCTGCCGCATTTCGCCCACAAAGTATACAGTTAATTCACTTTACAGTATGTTCTGTGAAGCGCTTTGAGATGTCTCAAAGTCATGATAAGGCGCTGCATGAAATGCCAGGATTATTACTATCTTTCAATAACAGTTATTGTCCAAGTTTCTGATCCTTTGAAATCAGAAATGATCTCATTTGGAAAATCGGGACCAGACCTGAAGCCCAACTTTAGATGTTCATTCCTATCCAACAGCATCACAGAAGTTTATCCCTTTCCACTGACAGCTTCACTCACCTGACCCTGCGTAAAGCCAAGCAGTGGGTCCAGCATGGCTCCCCTTTTCCTGTACTGTAAGGCATTTAAGGCACAATAGTATTGTAATGAAGTCTGGTGCTGTTTTTTTCTTGCAGAAGCAACCTCGGCTACCACTTCTGACTTCAACTGAAAAACACAGAAAGAACAAGAGCAATGATGTGGTTTCTCTGATGAAAGTTTAGTGCCTCCTCGAAAGCGCAGCACAGATAAGCAGACCTTGAAGTGGACCATTGCTATTCTAAGGAGTTTGATCTGCTCTCACAAAGAGGAAGCAGAGAATACTTGAACTCGGAGCTACCTTGAGCGCTCTGAGATGCTACCCTGCGTGGAGGGGGCTATATAAGTACAAGTTGTTGTTGGTGGTGGTGGTCACTAGGCTCAGGCCGGGCCTGCCGGAGAGGCCATCCGGTCACCTGACCTGCTTGGGTGGTTTGGGGGGATTAGGGTGTGTCTTCGGGAACAACCCTCGTTCCCAAAGTGAAACGTTTTGATCTAATTTGGTTAATGGGGGGTGAGCAGATCTAACCTCGCTCACCAATAAAAACAAACTTAAAAAAATCTGCTATTCTGTGAATTGACATTATCTGGGCTCTAGTCATGACCTGAATGTGCAGAGATCACCCTCTGAGTAGGTCCCCCACACTCACCATGTGATCAGTTGACTCTCTTTCCTCTTGCAGCCCCTCCCCACCACCCCCACTGCTGTGTGGGATGACATTGATGTTCTGCCCCTGGGAGGGAGGGCGTGGAGCGTGTTGGCGTGTGTATGTGTGGTGTTCTGTTGGAGGCAAGCCCCGGTAACAAAGCTTTGACCCGGCAGCTGGTAAGTTTGGTAGCGGCAGGTGAGGTGTTACGTGTTGTGTAGTTGTTAATAAGTCTAGTGCAAATGCATTTAAGTGGATTTACTAGGAAATTCAAAGGGACTTGGGCAGATGTACGACTTAAAAGATGGTTATACAATTTATACAGATCAGACTATGTGAGATCTACGGTCCTCCATATAGGTCTGACTCTCTATGGCTGAGCAGTATTTCCCTGCCCCGGTTATAAAGTCCAGCATCACAATTGTCCATGGATTAGTTTACGAGTGTAATTGTGTGCAATCTGACCTTCATCCTTTGGATTATTAAATCCCTCAAATGGCAAATAAACTGAAAGTGAACCTTTGAGATAATCCCTCAAGATACAAAACATTCCTACGTTTATACAGATGAATGTTATGCCAAACATTACATACCTTTTCATTTTCTCTTCTCTTGGGTAGCTTGCTGTACTTTGCCATTGCTGCATCATGTTCTGCAAGGAACAGACACTAGCAATTTGTATTATTACACATGGAATTACAGTATCTTTAATGACTATTAAGTAATGTATGAGCAGGTAGTCTGTAAGTCATTACCTAATTCTTCAACTGCTAGAGGCAGAATGGTTTTCAGTTCTTCCTCAAAACCTTTCTGTCTTAGGAAGTGTGGTACAGATTGTGAATCTCCCCCTTGATGGTAATGTAAGGGTGTTAAGTCTGCCTGCATTACAGTTTGTAATGCATCAATCTGTTCTTCCAAGAACAAATGAGATAGATTTCTGTGAGAGGCTCTGAGGCGCTAGGGCACTAAATAAGTGCAAGTTGTTGTTGTTAGAAAATAATATCTGGGGATACAGTCTATAGTTTGGGACACGACATATGGAAGCGACTGCCAGGATGGTGGAAGGCAAACCGATGGCCTTTGGTCTTCTTTTGTCTGGCAATTCTTATGCTGTTACAGTCATAACAACTCCCCCCGGTTTGTATTTGCACCTTTACCTTAGTTTGTTCTTCAGCACAGAGTGCAAGGAAAACAAAATAAAAGATGCTGTTAATTGGTTAGGAATCAAACTAAACAATCTGTGACCAGTGATAAGAGATTGACATGTTCAATGCCATCCTCAAACCCCAAATAGACTTTTGACTTCAGAGTCAAAAGGATTTGGATATTATTGCCAATACCAAAGATACTAACATGTTTCACCATCAGCGACCATTACCCTGAACTGCAACAGATTACTGGGACGGGCTGAGCGAGGGCTGTGACCAGTTTAAGAAACAGCTTGAAGGCAGTTGTAAGAAGCTATTGGATTGGTAATCTGAAAGAATTCGACTGAATGAGCCTAAAGCATTCTTCATCCAAACATCTCCTGTGATCCAGTGAACTAATGTGAATTACTGGTTGGGCGTTTGGAATATCTTAGAACACTTAACTCCAATATTGATCCTGGAATAAAGAGAGGAAATGCTCTTCTCTTTAGTGAGCTACTTCGATATTTTCATAATGGAATAATGCATCACCAGCCAAGCTGGAGGCAATCACAATCTCTGATATTGTAATGTGCAAATGTGTGAGAGCAGTTTTCAAATGGAAAGGTGAATTTTAGAATTGAAAATATACATACCATTGCTAGCCAGGAGAAACAAATCTTTTAGAGTGCTTACTTCTGCAAATAACAAAACAATAACATTTTCAGGGCAAGATATACAAACACATACATCAAACCTACAGATAGACACTCATTTTACTGGGGTATTTAAGTTCTTAACTGACACAAATAACAAGATATATTTATCATCTGTGTACAGTTGTGTATAATATTTTAGTATTTTATATATTTGCTAACATTCTAACGTGTGAGGTTGCTAGGGGAACAATACCAGTATTTATAGTAATCTCAGGCATATGCGTGTAATTTTGTACACATGCACAACGGGATATTTTAAAAGCAGGAGAAGGTAAGTGTAATGCTTTAGTACAGTCAAGAGTGACAGAGAAAGTCATAGAAACAGAAAATTAGAAATTCAGAGAGAGAGGACATCAGCACGGAAACTCGATTGGAGGGCGTCGAGAAGGGAATGACGGAAGAGGAAGGAGTAAAGCTGAGAAGTAACAACACGTTCCGGGACCTTGGAGAGGAAAGGGAGGTTGGAGATGGGGCGGTAGTTTGAGAACTGTGATGGGTCCACGGAGGGTTTTTTAAGGATTAGGAGATGATGATGGTCATTTTTAAAGGGGTAGGAACAGTACCAGAGGACAGGGAGAGGTTTATGATGTCAGTGAGTAGAGGGGCAAAGAGGTAGAGCTGGGAGATAAGGAGAGGGGTAGGGATGGGTCGAGGGAGCAGGTGGTCGGCTCACAGTTGGCATCGGAGGTGAGGATGGGCGAGGCATGAGAGAGTGGGTGGAGGAGCCGGGTGGTGAGTTTCCTATCACCTACAGTGACAAGAAACTCCTGATGGCCAAATATCCACACGGTTTCCTTATTTGCAAAGGGTTTAGTTCCATTTTTTTTTAGCCTTTCTCCCAAGTGGAGTTGAAAGACTGCACTTTGTACTAAAATAGCACAGGTCACGTTATGATCTAAGGCACATACAAGGTAATACACGTTAGAAAGGTAGAAACAAAGCCGGATAGAATCAGGAGCAGCCCATTCAGCTCGTTGAGTCTGTTGTGTAAAACCTTGCCCTGCAGAGTAATGTAAAACACTAAATGGTATAATGATAAGATGGATACCTGTGAGATCTCTCTCTCTGAACTGGATCATGGGGAAGATCATTGTGTCGGCCAGCTGCTTAGCCAGCTCAGTGTGGAGAGAATTCAGCTGTGAAACCAATAGACAATTTCACTAGTTACCTTCAGCGCCATTCAACAGTAAACCGATCCATCAAATCAGTCACAAGTAGCAATATTCTCACCGGGAGGACACAATGACACAAAATGTTATTACATTTCGCCCACAAAATATACAGTCAATCCACTCTACTCTTTCTATTAAAAAGCATACGGGACACTAGGCTTTATAAATAGGGCATAGAATACACAAGTCAGGAACCTTTATATAAAACACTGGTTGGGCCTCAGCGAGAGACTGTGCTCAGTTCTGGGCCCCACACTTTAGGAAGGATGTCAAGGCATTGGAGAGGGTGCAAAGGAGATTGACCAGAATGGTACCAGGAATGAGGGCCTTCAGTGATCAGGAGAGGTAGAGAAGTGAGGATTATTCTCCGGGGAACAGAGAAGGTTAAGAGGAGACTTAATAGAAGTTTTCAAAATTCTGAGGGGATTTGATAGGGTGAACAGGAGAAACTATTCCCACTGGCGGTGGGTCGGGAACCCGAGGACACCCATTTAAAATAGTTGTTAAAAGAAACAGAGGGGAGGGGAGAAGAAATGTTTTCACACAGCGAGTTGTTGGGATCTGGAATCATTGCCTGAAAGGCCGGGGGAAGCCAATTCGATAACAACTTTAAAGAGAGAAGCAGATAATTATTTGGGAAGGACAAGTTTGCAGGACTATGGGGAGAGAGCGGGGGAGTGGGGTTGATCAGGGCTATGGGGAGAGGGGGGGGAGTGGGGTTGATCAGGGCTATGGGGAGAGGCGGGGGAGTGGGGTTGATCAGGGCTATGGGGAGAGTGCGGGGGAGTGGGGTTGATCAGGGCTATGGGGAGAGTGCGGGGGAGTGGGGTTGATCAGGGCTATGGGGAGAGGCGGGGGAGTGGGGTTGATCAGGGCTATGGGGAGAGCGGGGGAGTGGGGTTGATCAGGGCTATGGGGAGAGCGGGGGAGTGGGATTGATCAGGGCTATGGGGAGAGAGCGGGGGAGTGAGGTTGATCAGGGCTATGGGGAGAGTGGGGGAGAGGGGTTGATCAGGGCTATGGGGAGAGAGCGGGGGAGTGGGGTTGATCAGGGCTATGGGGAGAGAGCGGGGAGTGGGGTTGATCAGGGCTATGGGGAGAGAGCGGGGGAGTGGGGTTGATCAGGGCTATGGGGAGAGTGCGGGGGAGTGGGGTTGATCAGGGCTATGGGGAGAGCGGGGGAGTGGGATTGATCAGGGCTATGGGGAGAGGGAGGGGGAGTGGGGTTGATCAGGGCTATGGGGAGAGAGCGGGGGAGTGGGGTTGATCAGGGCTATGGGGAGAGAGTGGGGTTGATTTGGAAGCTCTTTTCAAAGAGTCGGAACAGACACAATGGGCTGAATGGCCTCCTTCTGTGCTGTATAATTCTATGATTCTACAGTATATTCTGTGAAGCGCTTTGAGACGTCTCAACTGCCTGATAAGGCGCTGTATCAAATGCCAGGATTATTGTTGTTATTAAATCATCTTTTAAAAAAGCAAGAACACAGAGAAAAACTGTTATTTTAAATCTGGATAGTGGAACAAACCAGTCAACACAGCAGCTATAGGTACTGAAGTGAGGGTATATTCAAAGACATTAGGCAGTTCAGAATTTCCATTGAATTACCTCATCCACAACTCTGGCAAACCGCTGTAGAGTAGAAATCACCTCTTCGTCTCCCTTTACTCAAGGCAAAATTCTGAAAAAAGTTATAAAGGATTTGAAGTTCAGATACATATAGTGACCTGATTAGCTTTTTTGGTCACTAAACATTTGACAATGTTTACCACATTTTATGACAAATTTAACAGAACCCAGAAAGCTGTCTGTCTCACACTGTTTTACCTTTAAACCTGCGACAGCATAACTATCGAAAAATGCATTTAGTTATGTTTCCGAGTTTACTACACAAACACTATTTTAATTGTTGTTTTCTTAACAGAAGTACATTAACAGTAAACAGGTTTACATACTATCCAGCTATTTCTAAGCCACCATTTGTCTGGTAGGGTAGTTTGTTTTAGAAAGTAAGAGAATAGTAAAAGCTTGTTTTCTCACCTGTTTCTCATAGGCAAGTAGTTGTTTAGACAGCTGTTGTGTTGCGATACTCATTTCATTCTGTAAAGAAAACACACACTAATAGGTCTGTTTCAGATATAAAACATTTTGTCTGGACACATCTCTGCACTACTACTTTTGACCAGATTTAAATAAACAGTAAAAACAGCTTCTGGAAGTTGTTGTGGGACAGAATTATGGGAAAACAACAACAATTTGCATTTATACAGCGCCTTTCATGCAGGGCTGTGTCTTAGCATTTTGCTATTTCTACCATTATTTAGGAAATAATGACTTTGGAAATCATTTGATTTGTTGCTTATAATTGTATGTTTGGTGGCAATATCAATGTTAGAAACATCATTCAGTGAAATCAGTTTACAAAGGGGAAAAAAAAACGTAAACGCCTCTCCTCCCACCTCAACCTTCAAGGTTCTGTCCTTGACTGGTTCAGGTCCTACCTTTCACACCGCCTCCACTTTGTCTCTGCAAATGGCTTCTCCTCCAGCCCCCACACCGTCTCGTGCAGTGTCCCTCAGGGCTCTGTCCTCGGTCCCCTCCTCTTCACCCTCTACGTGCTCCCCCTTGGTGACGTCATCCACAGACATGGGGTAGATTTCCACATGTATGTGGGTGACACCCAATTCTACCTCTCTGCCTCCACCCTGAACTCCAGGACTACTGGGGTCCTGACCGACTGTCTGTCCGACATCAAGTCCTGGACGAGGGACAACTTTCTCCAACTGAACGTCAAGCAAGACCGAGGCCCTCCTGATTGGCTCACGCCAGCACCTCCGCACCTCAGGCACTGGCAGCATCAGCCTCCACGGCTGCACACTCCACCTCACTGAGCCAGTCAGGAACCTGGGGGTCTGGTTTGACCCTGAACTGTCCTTTCTCCCCCACATCTGCACCATGACCGGCACTGCCTACCACCTCCGAAACATTGCCAGACTCCGTCACTGCCTCACCCCTCTGGCTGCCGAAACCCTCACCCACGCATTTGTCACCTCAAGGCTCGACTACGGGAACTCCCTCCTCATCGGCCTTCCCATCACAAGCTGCAGATCATCCCAAACTCTGCAGCTCGTGCACCAGGCTCCGTGACCCCATCACTCCCACCCTCGCCCGACCCCATCACTCCCACCCTCGCCCGATCCCATCACTCCCACCCTCGCCCGACTCCACTGGCTCCCCATCCCCCAGAGGATCAAGTTCAAGATCCTCGTCCTCATTTTCAAAGCCATCCATGGCCTTGCCCCCTCCACCTCTCTGACCTGCTGACTTCCTACCAACCTGCTCCCCTCCCTCCGTTCATCGGGCTTTGGTCTGCTCCATGTCCCCCGCCCGACCCACCCTAACATCGGTGGCCGGGCTTTCAGCCTCTCTGCCCCCACACTCTGGAACTCCATCCCACAGTCCCTTGGCCTCGCTTCCTCCCTCGCCTCCTTCAAGGCCGGTCTCAAGACCCTCTTCAATCATGCCTTCAGTCACCCTCCCACCTCTCTGCCTTCCCTCACCGCTCCCCCACCCTTTCCCCATGCTCAGGTCCTGACCCCTGACTGTCCAGCACCTTGGGACATCATCCTGATGTGAAAGGCGC